GCGCAACACAGTGCGGGTTCTGCCAATGATGATCGACAAACCACACAGCAACAGAGCATGAGCGATCTTGATCTTCCCATGCAAAGGCCGTCTCATCCCACAGAGCGAAGAGGTCTTGAATAAACTCATCCAGTGCATCCAGGCCCCAAGGGACCCCCGGGACAAATGCAGGTGCATTGGCTTGAAATTGAAAGATCCCTCCTTCATGTGACGCGGGCGGCAATCCAATGCCGCATGTACTGGCGTGATTATGTGGCGTGGTTTGGCCATGTTGCATAAGGCTCACATGTTCCTCATCATGAGTCATAGGGTGATGGGCGTTGCTAACAACAGACCAACCCGCAACGTGCAATTCAATGTGATCACCAATGCAGAGAGGAATCACGTTGTCAATCTCAAGCGATGCCCTACCATGAAACCCCACACATAGGAACTGCCTGTTTCTACACGCCTCGTCAAACTCAGTGTGAACCCAGAGATCTTGGAGACTCGGACGGCCTTGCGTAATGGAAGCAAATCTCCTGTGGAGTCGAGAGGTATCCTCATGTCTGAAAACACTCAAAAGAACTCCAACAAGATGTTCCGCAATGTTTTGGTGGAGAAGAAAGTGGCCTGCTACCGAATTGTCATCAGGCTGTGGCTGCAATGGCTCAATCAAGAGTCTGGTGCCTAGCTGGACCCGATCATTCCACAATTGCCTGATCAACTGCTCCCAATGCGCTGTGGGATGCGGCAATGTGAGCAACCTTGGATATTCACAAATCGGCCATCTACGCCCGTCCAGATACCAAAAGGCAAAGGTGACACTTGCTTCTTCTGCTGAGGCCGCAAAAACCGGGGTGGCCTGATACCAAGATTCTTGCAGATCGCGCAGGTTCAAGCTTGGTGCGACATCTTCACCGATATGCCATGGTGCGTCAGACAAAGGGATCGTGTTGGCTTGTTCACTCTGTGTCATGCCGTCATCGGCCATATGATTGAAATTTTCAGTCAAAGGGACACGAAAACGAATGGTATGCTGTGTGAAAAGCTGCACATCATCAGTCTCAGAGTCACGCTCCACAGGAACTGCTGCTGGAATGCTAGACGAAGGTCGAACCAAACCTGTACTTCGAGGATCGTCTACAAGTCTGTCAGCTGGAATGCGGATCTGCAGACCTAGTCCGTCATAGATTCGGATGTCAGCATCAAATGGGAGTTCGTGACTACCAATTGAAATCCTACATCCAGGAAGAGTGCACAAGTCTTCAACGCCTGCCTCACGAATGAGAACTGATGGGGCGACAAACAAATCGAAAGAAAACGCAGTCGCGCTGATGTGCCGGATGCTGTGTGAATCAGGAAAGGCCGACACTACACATGCCGCCTTCTGGGGGATCGGATGCTGTACAATAATGACAGTTGCAACTGTTCCTTGATACATAGTTACAGGAGGATCCGGTTAAACTATGAACAACTCGAATGCAGCTGATCTGTCAAAATAATCTTCCCACATAAATTTGATATCTTCTTCCCAAGAGTCATGCTCTGCATCAAATCTCAAGGGTCTGGCAAGATTCATTTTGGGGCATCGTGTATGCGAGATATAAAAAGAGTTCATGTAAATGACTGGCCCTTCCTCTTCCATCTCGGTGGCCCCAACTGTGCAGAGTAGGTCCCAGACCTCTTGATACCATGTGGGACGTTCGACTCTAGGCGGTCGCCCTGGGCCATCATAACGAACCGTACCAGACGATGAACTTGCATGACCACCGCTGGGAATGGACTGGTGGGTGCTGGCGTCGGTTCTTCCGGGCATTGACAAACAAGGGAGTAGGCTGTCGGAGATACACACGGCCGTGGACGACAGCGGATCAGCTTCGACAGCAACTTGTTGTCCTTTGTTCATGAGCTGGAGCATACTGTGACTTTCTGGTTCCTCCCTCAAGGATGCATTCTCCACAGGGAAGGATGACGCCTCCGATTCACTGCAAGAGAGACCATCATGCCAACCAATGCGGATCTTGAGATAATCTCCATCCTCCAGATGCAGAGGTGCGATCTGTCCATCAGGGATGATGACTTTGTTGTGCCACAGGCGACATGCTGTCCGGTGATCAGTCAAGAGTTGCTCAAGCTCCAATAATCGGAATGCTGAAACACGATTCAGTGTCATAGGCATCCATTTGCAAAATCTTTTGAAAGTTCCTGGGAGCACTTCATTCGGTTCAAAAACTTCCAGGTCAACAAGCGTCAGTCGCATGAAGCTCGAGGGTCTCCCATCCGACCCTGTTTGCAAAAGCAAGCATTGAAGATCTTGTTGCACTAGATCACTTGGACGTGAACTTACAAAATGGATCCCAAGGATTCCTTGTCGGTCAGTACCAGCTACATCCGCAATCTGGTGGACCAATTCATCACCGTTGTTCCACGGAATTCTCGCAGACAACATTCTGCCATCCAAGAAGAGCAAGACTGTTTGCCGCCAATCTTCCCTCCTGCTTCTCGAGGTCGCGGAGGATCCTGAGGTGGAAAAAGAGGAGCTGGAAGACGAACGGTCACTGACATCTCTAGGCTGGAGTGATGGTCTTCTGGCCATGAGGCTGATACAATCTTCCTCATGGTACTCATGCCCCTGTTTTGGAACTGGGTCAGCTCGAACAGTCCATGGCTTGCCCGGCCATGGAGAGAGCGAATCGTGGTGCATAGTGATCTTCGCAAAGGAAACATCGTTCTCATTGCCAATGTAGACCACAATCTCATCATCAAAGCGAACACTGTGAATGGGAACTTTGTGTCGCAACGGAAGTGCAAATGCGTCCACAACTATCTGGTCAGCGGCCCCCAATGCTGATGCTAGTGTGGATGCATGTGCCTGTGCTTGCCATTCAGAAAGGAAGTCTTCCTCTGCCATGATTGAGTGGTTCCACTGGAGACGTACAGCTTCCATGTTCGTCTCAGGGAGAAACCTTGGCCATTGACGGGTATACATGTCTGTCATACACCGCCGGCCTTGCCAAAAGACGAGGAAGGTGGCTCTCCAGAAGACGTCCTTGGGCGCTTGACGCGCTGTTCGAGGAGGTCTGCCGACGATGAGAGTTCCTCCAAGCTCGTGACAATCGAGTTCATGCCTTCGTGGATTTTTTGGGAACTCTCTTCCCGTGAGTCCACGGTCATGTCCTCTGTGTTGTCGGGCTCCTCTTCCTCGTCTGATATTTGTTGAACTTCTCCCTTGCCGATCTGTTCCTTCTTGGACGCCACATCGAAATTGCGCTGCGCTTTGCGGACCGCAATGCGAGCGTCTCTCACACTGGCCTGGTGAGCTGTGTCTGAGGCTTGGAAGTTTCTTGTAAAATCTTTCCACTGAATCACAGACTGTTGTAAGAAGTGCTTCCATTGAGAAAGCAACTGCGCTCTTGCATTCTCTGCTTCTAATAAGTCGTCCTTGCTCTTGCCCAGAGCTCGGACCGCAGAGTGCAGGCTTTGCATATTGCTTTTTTCGTCTTGCTTTTTCATCTCGTGTGCCATAGACTGCAAATTTGAAGGCAAATTGTCTTCTTCTTTCTTCATTTCTTTCAAGAGACGGCTCAGTTTTTGCTGGGCTTGGCCTTCTTTGATGGGATCTTCCTGGGGTACCGGTACGACAGGACTCGTTGGGGCCATAGGGAAAGGCATCATCTGCATGCTTGGCGCCCAAGGAGTTGGTATGCTTGAAGCCGCAGTCATACCAGACGTTGCTGGCATTGGCGGCGGCGGAGGCACCATCGCTCCATGGGGTTGCGAGCCTTTGCCAATGCCCTTGTCCAACACTGGCGGTTGCATTGGAGCGGTCATCAATGGTTGCGGATATGGCATCATCATGGGCATCATAGGCGGCACAGGAACCTGGGGATCCTGCCCCTTGCCATATCCCTTCTGATGATAGTAATCTCCACCTCCTCCATGATGTCGTCCTCGATTGGAATTCTTCCGTCCTTTGGTGCGCGGGCTCCTGGAACCAGAGCTCTGTGTATTCCAGGTAGTGCCCTGCCATGATTGCTGCTGCCCAGATTGCTGGTCGTAGGCCTGTCTGACCTCGGGCGGGACGAATGTGCCGTCGTTGCAGCTGTGCCATTCTGTACCGCACTTCCAGCATCTTGGAAATGTCCCCTTCATCACAACATGGCATTGAACACAACGCCATGACGGATGTTTCTTCGTCATTGTTGCACGTAAAGCTGCAAGAATTGAATGAAGAAGATGGGGGTCGCGCGAATGGTGCCTGTTGAGCAAAGAATAGATCCTCTGCAATTGTTGAAAATTCAAAGGCTCCTTTCCAGTCCGGTGCAAATACCAACGGAGTCGGGCTCGTGCCCTCTGTCTTCTCTGACTTCTCCTCAAAGAGGCTGACCACAAGTTCGTACGAGACGCCACTTTGGCCGAAGTAGATGAAGCCGTTGTTGCCCTCGACAGGAGAGAGTCGCAAACAATGAAATCAAAAGGAGGAAGATCTTGATAAAGAGCTCACACGTCCTGAACATACACAGGGATGAAGTTACCCGACAAGAAAATAGGAACCAGCGCAAGGCGTAGTCCAAAAATGTCGAACCCCGTATGTAAACAACCAAAGGCCAATTCAATGGCAGCTGAGGTTAAGCACACAAAGCCGTGAGGACAAACACAAGGGAATATTCAACCAAGGTTGTGACCAGCAGAGCGTACAGGTAGTACAGGAACGATGTAGGTCTCGATCAGAAGCAATGGTGATAGCTGTCAGCCCAAGACAGCCAGAGCACAAGTGAGAAGGCGCTATGGCTCAGCGCCCGCGGGTGTCGCTTCCGAAAACGCCCGCTTAGTTCTACGGCTGACAGGGGAGTTGGGATCCCTGAAGAGCCGAGACCTTACTCCTAGAATACTCTAATATACCTAATAAGGTACTACTTAAGGTATAATAAGCCACATCATGCCACATCGCAAATATCAACAGTTGGACGTAGTTGGACCTCATGGTTTCCCAGGTGTTCCCATGGCGCTTCCAAGTCCTGATTCTGTCGCTCGCACTTCTGCAGGCGCTCGGTGAAGTCAGGCGGCAAAGTCACCTGGATCAGTGGGATAACAACATGGGATTCCCCACCATGGGATCCAATGGGATAACTTTCATAAAACACATGGGATACCGTGGTAGGTGGGACAACTGGGTGGATATCAATATATATATCAATAGGATATCAAGGGAGAGTTGAACAACCATGGATGTTCACATCTTGAATCATCTTGAGGTATGAAACTTTCCCAAGATCTGTGAGACTTGTGGATCCTTCCAACTTCCAAACCACGAACAGCAGGGCAATGGGTCCACTAACTCTTGAACGTCAAAAAGAGATTTCATGCCATTTTCAGTGATGCCCCATAAGCTCTGGGAATCATGGGCAGGGACATGTGCAATATGTGCTCCCCTATGAAATGGATCAAAAGAATTCAAGAGAATCATGGTCAACCATTGGCCAACCAGTGGCCAATCCTGACCAATCCTGGCTGTGCAAACAAAATCAGCCGGAAGTAGTCAACATGTTCGGCCTTTAAAGCCTTTAAGCCGGAAACTTGATTCCCCATTGAATTTATGGCGTTTCAATGCGTTTCACCATGTTAAACTTGAACCAAGCTTCCAAATCCAGCAGATACCCCGGCTCGACCATGCCTCCCGGTCTGACACCGCCAGGGAGCTGCTTGGCAGCACTTGCAGCTGAGTTTGAAGCTCCTGTCAGTCCCAAAATCGGATGGAAATCATCGGTTTTTAACGTCGAGAGATCAAATTTGATCACTGGGGATTCCTTTCGTGCTTTCAGTGTCACTACAGTCACTACAGCGTTCTCTCTCAGCGCAGAATGTGTCCAAAACATTCCAGTTGTGCAAGTTCGGCCAAGCTGATCTCTCAGCCAGAACGAAAACCGGACAAGGACATTAAGGATTATGAATGATTATGATAACTCTCCGACCGTCAGGACACCCTCAGCTCTCCTCGATCTGTTCTTCGCATCTGCTCAGCTGCTTTGCCATCTCAGATACACCATCCACCTGCGGACCATGAAGATATCACCGTGCTGCGTCAAGTTCCAAGGGGACAAGAGTGGCAGAAACCACCTGCATCTGCCTTGAAACAAGTGTCGGTCAGCTAAAAATCACTCTGTTCGCCCCCCCCCACTTGACTTAGACCCAGGGGAAGAAAAGCGTGCAAAGGTGCGTGCTTCACATTTCAAAACGTGGATCACGTCCGCATCCCAAGTAGCTTCCCCTTAGAATGGCCATGAATGGCCATAACAGTGTCGTCCTGTTGAGAGTGCAGCGTACCTTCATGGCGTCCTGTTGGGGCTGCCGCTGAGTCTCCTGCGTGAAGTGGCATCCAAACACGTTCGAAGGAATGCTGAACCATAAATTGTCGAAGTTCACGCTGTGAATGTGGCCAAAAAAAACCTGCTACTAAAAATTACTAAAAGCTGAATTCAATTTTGATTTCACACAGGACCCTTCGCTTTCGCGTGATATTGTTTTGTCACTAAACGAGGGAGGAATTTGACGGACCATCTAGTTTACAAGTAGCGAAGTGCTTGGTGAGGGGCTGAGGGTCTAACAATACATATAATCATACAATTAATATTAATAGACATGTACGTAATGTTTGTCGTTATTGTACCAGTACTGTACCTCATAATGAGATGTTTTATTGGGTTTCTTAGCCTTCAGCCTTCACGAAAAGGACGGCTCAGCGAGACCTGCAAAGCTCTCAGAAGCCCTTGATGCGAATCCACATCGGCTCGTAAGTCCTGGACGAGGTCATCCCCATTTGACTCATTTGAAACATATTGAAACATGTTCTTTGGATTTGTGACTATGGTGACTGGATGTGACTGGTGGCCCAACCCTTCAGTGGTCGCCTCACCTCCTCCAATCGCTCAAAACGCGCCATGCGTTGAAGCAACTCGTCCAACAGCGGGTCCTGGACGGAATCCACCAGTGAAGAGATTCATAGTACATCCAAAAATTGGGATCCAGGCAGACCTCTTGAAAACTTCATCATGCATTCCCAAGCTTCAGGATCTTCGAATCAACCTTTTCAGTCGATCTTTCAATCAATCTTTCAATGGATTTCAGTGAAATTTCAAGTGAGTGGATCCCTAAGATATCCTTAATATCCCTCAATGGATTTGAGATGATTTGATCATGGTCGTGGTTCTTTACCAACGGTGACGTTGCCTGTGCTGGCGCCGCTTCCGCTTCTGCGGCGGCAGGGGCGGCGGCAACCCCTGCAACTTGCGCGCGGGCCGTTCGCAGCTCCTATCCACGGAGTGACACTGGGGAAAAATCACGGTGTCATAGTGTCAAATGTTGAAACATGGAGGTTTCTTAAAATGGGGGATCCCTAAAACCAGTGGTTTCAATACTAGAATGGTGTGATTTTGGATGATTTTGGGGGTACCCCCATTTCAGGAAACCTCCGTATGATGAAATATGATGAAAGTAATGTTAAATGTTGCGCAATCTTAGAATCTTGTGGAATGATGGGCAACAATAAATAGATAGGCGATGCGAGGACCGCAAAATCATTGGGAACTTCTGACAGTGAACGAAAAAGCTTGCCAGTCCACTTTATCATGTCCTAACCCAAGTTCCAGTGATTCCAGATCATTCCAGTGTTGCTGCCTCTACCACTACATCCATGCTAGATCACCTGGCATCGTCAGCCCGCTCCAGTCCTTCACATCGAACTCGCAGCGTGCCATGCGTCGGTCCAAGGTTTCTAGAGCTCCTTTGGATCTGTCGCTGGCCTGACGGACAGCTTAAGGTTTACCTTAAGGTTTAACCCCTGGGTTAAACGTGGTCAAACCATACTTGATGTTTCTTAAGTCATGGGGGAACCCCAGTCGTCACCATGGTTCTTTCAATACTAAGTCATGGTCTAATGACTGGAATGATTTGGGGTACCCCCCCATGACTTTGGAAACCTCCATTTATATCACCAATGAGAGGTGATTTATTGACATACCAACAACTACTGTGGTACTGTGGTAGCTTGTTCTTTGCTTCATGAGTTGAACTTCAGTTGAACCTATCATTGGTTGATTTACATCACCAGTCTTGAGACCCCCCAGTGTCATGGCAGTTTCTTTCACTGGCAAACATGTGGCTTCCAACTGAAAACGTGGAGATAACCAATCACATCAATCACTATGGGTATAAGTGGGTTCTGACTACCCATACCTGGAGGGCTTGGAGTGGGGTTCTGACCCCAGTTGAGACCCGTTGATCACCGCAGTCAAAGCTAAACCCATCAATCCACCTTTTTGAATATCAAAGGATGCGATCTTGGGGGGGTAGCCACAGCTTCAGCTGGTTACAAGCTGACAACCTACCAAAAACCGTATCGCTGGACAGCCCATGTGCTTCAATTCCCAAGTTGTCCCAAACAACAATCACACATACACAGTGATACACACGCTGTTTTTCACGGAGCCAATAAGAGTCAAAGTTGGACCTTTGACCTTGGGTCCAGGTCCTTTGCTTGGAGTTTTTCAGTAGCCATAGCCCAAGTCTGCTTCAATGGGCTCTCCACGGGCTTGCTTCTCCTGCGGAATGGAACCGGTTATGTTGAAGGTGAAATTGGGTGATATTAAAGCAGACATGGGCTCATGTGATAATCCATGATAATCCAAAATCACTGAAAGATTATAATCAGAGAACCCCACAACATAGCCCAGGGATAATATGGGATAATATGGGATAATAGCATCACAAATGTTCTCAGCATGTTCCCAGCTGGGCCCAGCTGAGCCCAGGGATGGCTTTTCCGGTCCTTTGCTTCGGACCATTCGGAGTAGAGGCTCACGGCCTGGATCAGAATGGCCAAGACCACTCCCAGAACCACTGGGATGATCAGCAACCAGGGAATGCCGCCAAACCTGAGGTTTTCGTTAAGCGTTGGGTCAAGGTTCGGCAGAATTTCAGTGATTCTGCAAAGGTCAAAGGGAAAAGATGGGAAAAGAATGTATGAGTTAGGATTTAAACTCAATACTTCCGGCGGTTCAGGTATGTTCAGGTTCTAAAATGTGATGTGGAGAAAATCCATACGCTGTTGTCCTCTCTTTCTCCGGCAGCTTTCTCATCAGTTGGTGAACCATGGCAAGGCTTTCAAATCAACACCGGCGGTGTCGGTTTGCTTGAGAGAGACTGTCAAGCGATTGGAGCCCCTGCCTTGTACAGTGTGCCGTGCGGATCTTGGAAAGACCTACCTAGTGGGTGTAAATCAAGCACTAAGTTGGATCGTCTGGCACTTCATCGACATCATTTGATGACATCTTTGCGTACGGATCTCTAACGGTGTGCCAGAAAGAAGCTCAGATCGACTTGGCAAATCCATCAACTCTACCCCAGTCATATCCAGTCATATCCAGTCCATGTTTTTTTCGGCTATATACATGCTACCATCATGCTACATGCAGTCCATGTTTTTTTCGGCTACATGCTACATCCAGTCACACAGGCGGCCAAGAAACATGGTGTGTGGATGATGTGGGATGGGTGCGGTGGGCTTCTGTTCCTCGGCTCATCGCCAGTAATGGTAATCGTGTGTTCCATTTTTCGGGCCAAGAATGGGATATTCTGTGGAACATATGGGAAAATATGGGAAAATCTGGGGTTGGGATATGGAAGACATCTACCGATCTACCCAGTTTCCAATTTTTTCCAAAAGCTGTGTATATAATATATGATTCCCTGATCAGTCAGTCGCAGCCGCAGCTGAGCTTCAGCCAAGGAGACACCCAAGGTCTCCAGCAACGACAACGCCATGCTCTGATGTTTGGATCGCGAGCTCACCTCCTCGGCACTCAGCATCCAACTGGTGGCCTTCTTTCCCAAGGACCTCAGGGTGGCGACCGGGGTCGGCTGGGGGCTGCGTTGCCTATGGAGCTACCGTTGATCAACAGCACCTGATGCTCACCTTGAGAATTCGTGAGAATTTGGGACATGTCCTTTGATACTCACCACCAAATTTAAGATTGCCACTTAGTAACCATCTAGTGCTCACAGGCCCCTCTCAGTGGTGCAGCCATGATTTTGGTGAACGAAGGCTTGCATCTGCTGAGTATACTGTGTTTAGGTGCGAGACATCATGATACCACTGATATCATTGGATGATTGGGGTCTTTGACCAATCAACAATCACATCAATCGGTATATTCCCAACCAAGCATCTACTGAAATCTACGAATACGGCGGGGGTTAACTTACAGCACAACCTGCCTATAATCGTACGCCCCTGCATGGCACACCGCTTGCCCCGCAACCTAAAGAACTTGCGCCATATCCAAATGTCCTATGCGGGTCGCAATGCTTTGTATCGGTTTTATCTGTCTTAAACCTGACCCAAAGCGTTGTAAACTGCATGGCACATCATAAACTTGGCCTCTAGAAGATCAGGAGTTCCACATGCCACTCTCATTTTCAGACTTTCATTCCTACCCTGAAACTACTCCCAAAACGCTTTTCCCAGTGGCACACCAAGAGCATTCCAGCATTCAACAACACAGCACAATGGCACAGTGATTTCCAACAATAAGCTGCAGAACCACCTTGTTTTGCCCAAAAGTACTGAGACATTTAGGGAACATTGACTTGACTGCGGCTGAAATTTTATGCTATCCTTACGAGGTTCATACGAGATCTGTACGAGATCTCAAGGTAGGGAGAAAGAGAGCAAAAAGACGTAAAAAGACAAGTTTCTCTTTTTTCTACTCTTCTCTTCTATTATCTTCTCTTTCTCTATTCTTTGTCTGAGTCAAGTTATTGAGAAACCATCAGTACCTCGGAGTCTATCTCAAAAAAATATGTCTCAAAAACCGGTGTGACCACGAGACAAAAGCTATGCCAGAAACAACTGCTCCAGAAAGAATGACATGATATGGACATGATATGGACATGTCTAATACATGTCTATGACATGAACATTTATGAACATCCCAGCGGCACAAGTTGCCCCCTGACCCCGCCGGGTGACAGAGGCGATTCTGAGAGGAACCAGCCAATCTGAGAAAGTGCCATACCCAGCCACCGAGCTTCCTGGGAGATCTGGGAGGACGGTATACCAGAGCTGCTGCGGCCCTTTTCGGGAGCTGGAAAAATGGTCAAATTGCGTCAAATTGGGTAAAAATTCAGAAATTGTTGCAAAAAAAACTCGATGTTCTTTCTTTTTTCGATTTTTTGTCGTTTTTGTTTTCGATTCTTGTCGGTTTTTTCGTTTTTGAATCAAATCTGACAAAATCGAAAAATTGCAAAAAAAAACTTGAGTTGTTTCGTTGTTTTCTTTCGATTTGTTTTCGTGTTTTTTTCCTTTTTTTCCGATTTATTTTCCTGTGTGTGTTTTCTTTTTTGTTCGATTTTGTTTCGAATTATTTCGAACCGAAAAAACATTTTCAATTTATGTTCGAATTATTTTTGAAACACAAAAACAATGTTTAATTCATTTTGGAATTATGTTCGAATTAAACAAGAATTTTGGAATTATTTTCGAACCTGAAGCACATTTTGATTTTGTTTTCGCCATTACTGGTGCGATTGCCACAGTGATCTTCACGACCCTGGCAAGATTTGTTGCAACAAGCTAAAAGTCATGTTTTGGGAACATTCCGTGACGATGGAAAACTAACCTCATACGGTTTCGACAAAATTGGTGATGATTTTGTGATGTTTTGGGTGATGATGAAAATGATAATAAATCTAAAAATAGAATATGTTTGGATTTCCAATGTGTGGCTAGCTGAAATTGTCATAACGGTATACCTTGCCTATCCTTGCCTTGATCTGAGATCATCATCATCAGTATCAAAGATGATGAAAAATTAGATAAGATGTTGATAATATGTGATTATGAGTCGGACTTGATTGAAACCACGAACCAATCAAAATCAAATAGATCATAGGTATGAAAGATTATGAAAAAATAGTAAAATAAGATGCTATTATGAGTCGGACTTGATTGAAACCACGAAGCAATAAAATCAAATCTTCAAATCTTCGAAGTAGAAGTTTGAGTGGGGGTCCCCTTTAAGTCGAGCTGCTACATCTTCAATGGTCTCTGGCAGCTCATGCTTGCCCGGGCCCTCAATCTTGAGAAGATCATGTTTACTTTGAACTTCTGCTGGTAGTTCGCTCCCATCCATGACCTCAGAAAAGCTCCAGATCCTTCATTTGTTGATCTCATGTTCTCTTTTTCAAACTGTGTAGAACGTGTCTTGGTCATGCTATTGTGTTCTACTCGACTGACAGAAACAGTTTTTGGGTACATTCAAATCAAAGGGATACCGTGGTGATTTCGACCAGATGCAAGTTTGGCATTGGGTAGGATTGCAATCTCGCTGGCATCACCAAACATGACCGCCAGCGAAAGGGGAAGAATCCTGAAGCTTCTCATCTGCAATCGGAAGGATATGAAAGGTCCGATCTCAGGACGATTGTCCCGCACCAAAAGGATGGCACAAGTGTGAGCCGCTGGAGTTTTCAGCTCTCTCTTGGGCCAAAGATCTGACGGAATGGGCACTGAAATTCTTGCTATTCCCAACATCCGAAAACAGACGTGTCGACGTGTCATGAGACCTGTTAGTGTTGGATCATCTTAAATCTGATTCATAGAGGCAGGTTCAGCAACCAGTGGCCCACTGTGCCTTCTCGAGTTCTTGTAATGCGCTCATGCTGGCCCTCACCAAGGCTTCTTCTTGGATGGCCTCCCGACCCAGAGATCCCAAAAAATCTCACTTTCCAAAGTTCGCTTGAAGAAAAACACATAAAAAACACACTTTCAATCCAAAGTGATGCAGTGCGGGTCTCACTGTAACTCATGTAACTCAAGCCTCAAGTTTCACAATGGCACTATGCAGGCATAGACTATGCACTATGCACTTTCAGCTGCAAACCAACCCCACATATCAGAGCCGTCGGAGCCCACCTTCTCCGTCAGGGTCTTCATCTCAGCACCTTTGATGGGTCGTCATGGTCGTTTCGGTCGTTTGGCAATCCTTCTTGGGTAATGGTAGGTCTACCTGGTAGGTTCCCAAAGACCAACGAAGCCACGGCTCCCCCAGTCGCTGGGAAAGGCCACGAACAGCTTCCGCTGCGGCCATGAGCTCCTGATGGTTATCCTACTCTGACCTGGCTATGAACAAAATCCCCAACCTTTTCCGAGAAAATGGATGAGATTTTTCCAGGATGATCTGATTTTCCATGGCTTTGTGGGGATTGGTTCAAGAAATGATCCATGAGATTGGTTCTGCCAGGGCCCTTTTTTGCTGGAGGATCCCTGATATTCTGCGACATTTGCGTATTATGTTAAACATGTTAAACATGTTAAACCTGTTCTCCTCAGTTTGAAGGTCGATTCTGAGAGCAAATTTGGCAAATAGACTCTACCATGGTCAAAAGTCAGATGATGATCTTGCCAAGCTCATGTTTCATTGCCAGAGGATATACTAATATGGGAATGTCTTAAAATGTGGCATCAATCCTGAAATAGTCCAATGACTTGGATGATTTCGGGGGTACCCCCACAGGTAGCCCCCTCTGTCCTGATGCCCCTGTAGCTTGGCAGCAGCTGTCTCTGCCTTGACGCAGCATGATGCGCATTTCCATTCGCTGACAGAAGTGAGAAATAGAATCAGATAGAATCAGATAGTGTACCTTCGTTGAATGCAGAGTTTTGGTAGCCTTTTAATATGATATACATATAATTATATACATATATTGTATATATATATATATATATACATCAGTTTCCTACGTCGAATACATCCTGGTCGCCTTTCCGAGAGCCATCTGTCGCCGTCCCGGTCGCCGGTCGCCGGTCGCCGGTCGTCCCCGAGATTCCCACCGCAAGCTGTTCGACGCTGCCAAGCTCCTCGCAACTCCAGCAGTGTTTGTTGGATGTTTACCCGGCCTGGCAAAATGTTAACGAAAAACTATGGAAAATCACCATGCTATCAATGGGAAAATCACTGGTTAACTATGGAAAATCACCATGCTATGAATGGGTAAAAATCCACTATGAATGGACCATTTTCAATAGCTATCTTAAATTACCAGAGGGTACCTTTCATGGATCAGTTCAGTGTTGTGTTTCCGAAAGTTCATGTTGACTTTTCAGGTGAATATGCCATGATGGTCTACCTCCTATCCTCACAGCCTTGGAGTTCTCCAAGTGCCATCAGTCCCAAAAAGATCGTCTCCCAGAGGCCTTAGTGAATCAAACATAAGATCCATGCCATGTTTTTTTCGGACAACAATATGGGGGTCCTAAAATAGCGGTACCCCCTAAAATCATCTATTTTAATGGGATTCTCCATTACAAACCAACCATTTTGGGGAGACCCCCATATTGTGTTCAGGGGGGAGGAAAAAAACGAGCCCCATCCAGTGATACCCTGCCAGCTCCTCCCTCAACGCTGATCCCAAGGCTGTCAGTTCCTTCGCCGTTCGGCTTGGGCGGCTACCGAGGCTACCGTGGCTCTGTTTTAAGGTTGGGAAGTTGAAAATTCGAAAATTCCTGACCCAACAGTGACTATGGTCACTGCAGTTAGATCACGTACATCCCGCTCGTTTTTCGCAACATTTTCACGCAACCATCCACTTCTTGTCGTCCAAGTTGGAGCCATTGGAAGTTTGACTCCTGAAATGTCTTTCGCAACTATATTCATAGGGTGCTTGGAAATGTAATCTTCTCCAATTCCAAAAAACTGATTTTTTATGGGTTTTAATGTGAAAAAACATAAAAATTAAAAAAAAAAAAACATGGGTTTTCATGGGTTTGATTGGTGCATTGTCCCATTAAAACCCAGGGATTTTCGCTGCCAATCGCAGGTGCCTTCTGAGAAACCACGTGGCCGTCTCGAAAGGACTCCTCCACCAGTTTTTTGAGTTCCTCGCGGAGAACATGGGGACTGTGGGGGGATCATCTATAGCTATTACATTACATATTATATATTATATGATAATATCATTATTATCATTATTATTTATTATTATTACTATTGTTATATATAATATGTACATGTATATATATATATAATATATATATATATACAAGTAATGTATAATATCATATCAAATTATATGCATGTATATATATATACATACGTATAGATTATGTCATATGCATATGATATTCTATGATGCTATCATGGGGGCATCACTGGCCGGGAGACCACTCCTTCTCTGAAGTTGAACAGAAACCACATCTGGCCTATTCAGCTTCGTTTATTTCTGACAGGTCGCCAGTGCCTCGTAGAATGTGGACATCTTAGGTTCTAGGCTATATGCTTGCACTTGGGGATCCCATTACACTGTAATTCGGGTCGATGCGGGGTTTGGGGTAGGTACTTCTATCGCAGGTGTATTCTACATCTATCTTCTGGTTGATGCCCTAGGTACTATTCATCCCCCAATGTCTTCTTGGTTGGTTCGAAACATATGTGTTACTTTTCCAACCCCATCATCCTAATCGTCTGAAGGACGAATCCTCACATCCAACCACTCCCCCATACAACAAACATAGTAGTGCAAAAATATTCTCCGACCAGGAAATTCGTCTGGCTACCAAAAGATGCACCAAGTGAACAATTTCGAGTACAAAACCATCCACTCTTGGTCATCGATTGTTTTGAACCATATGCAATGGGAAATTAACCAAACAACAACCGACATGGGAATTTCACCCAAGAACAGTTGTTCTAGTGGATGATCCCAATTTGTTCCCATCAAAAATTGGATCATCAGGAGTCTTCCATTATTGAAAGCTAAATCAGTATCTCCACCTTGGTTGCTGGTTGAGTGATTTTGCAGGTGATCATTCCCCCAACATAGACCCTGAGAACCACCCTTGTTCATCTGAAAATCTGCTGTTGTTCCTTCTCTCCATGGCCGGAAAATGGATGATTCACATTGATTCACCATCAAACTTGGTGGGGTTTCGCATGCTTTTCTCATGTTTTCCCCCAGATGTTCATCATGTTCAAAGTCATTTTCAGGATCTTCCCATGGTTTTCCCATGGTTTTCCCATGGTTTTCCCATGGTTTTCCCCCAAATTCCACCAGAATTTAGCCCCATCCCAACACGCGCCTTCTTCAGGACCTTCGCCAAGTCCACCATCTCGGACCGGCTCACCATGTCCGAAGGTGCTGGGCCCTGAAGCTGTGGAGATGGCCCAGCAGGTGATGTTTGGAAACCCACCAGGTACCCTCTGGTTATGTCAAAATAGCGAAAATGGCCCAGTCGAAATAGTGGATTTTCCCATTCATAGCATGGTGATTTTCCATAGCTATGTTAAATTACCAGAGGGTACGGTTTTTGACCCATGGTGACGAAACGAGTGCTGAAACCAAACTTGAGGAGCAGAATTTATCCATGGTTGATCCGTTGATTGGTTTAAGGATGTTTTTTGGTGATGTTGAACTGTTGAGATCCGAAAGCCATTTGGCAATTTTCACCAGGTCCCACCAGGCGCTGACCTCGCTCATCCGGGATTGGAGCTCCTCCTGTTTGATGGAGAGGACCCCCATCTGTAGTTTAACAAAACCAGGGGAGATGGGATTCAGTGAGCCCAAAACCTGATAGATAGTGGTAATATATACCAACTCATTATAATATGTTTATGGTATGTTTAATATATATATATATGGTATATTATGGTATATTATGGCATAATATGGCATAATATGGCATAATATGGCATACTATGGCATAATATGGCATAATATATGGTGTATATATATATACACACATATATATATATATGGTATATATGGTGCATAATATATATATATATATGTATTAATTTGAGTTGCTTTGAATGTGACTAAAACATACTAAAACAGCACGCCGTGCCGTAGCTGCCTCCAAGGTTTTTCGCCAGTGACACATCCGCGTCTCGCTTTGATCGCTGCGCCGGACCTGGCCGCCACAAGGGAAGCGACCTCTCGGGTGTCTCCTAAAATCCTTGTGGGAGATTAGCTCTGCAAAATGAGGAGGTCATTCAGGTCATTCACATTCAGAAACATTCATAAAACAATATAATTAAACAAATATATATATATATATATATAACATAGGCATTGTCAGAACATTGAGGGAAAACGACCTTGAGTGAAATCCCCACCTGGATTTCCATCGACTCCTGGATGCCTTTCAAGTTCCCACGCAACCTGAGGCGCTCCAAAACGTTGTGGCTTTTGGTTTTTGTCACGTGGCGTCTTTTTCGCCCCAAGGAGATGGGATACCCATAGAATTGCCATTTCATGGAAAAAAAGGTGGTGATGAACTGATTCACCAGTGGTTTTCGGCTAAAGGGAGCACCCCATTGCAGATAAACCATGATAAACCCACATAGTGAATCTGAATCGCAGTGCGTAAAAGATCCCCAAGTCAACGTTCCGAATGTCCTGGAAGAATCCACCCGAGTTGTAGAAGTTTCCCCTGCACTTCCATGTCAATTTGCGAAAGGGAATCAGCAATCACTCTCGGCTGGCTACAAACCCCTTTAATTAATACGCATTAATAAGCGATATCTTTGGTTTGGTAGATTCCACCCTCATGTGAATCTCACTTTACTGGCGTGCTCCCAATTTAATGATGGTTTGTTGGCTATGTCCCGCACTTCTGATTTTCAAACTGTCCCCGTGTTCGCTCTAGACCTGTGTGTGTGTGTACGTGTGTCTATCTTGCCTGAAACAACAACATGTTCCCCCATTGCAACTCAGGTATGTCCATGTATTTCCATTCCTGCAGCTTGTTTCAACATAGAGTAATGTGCGATTCGCCCACTGCCATAAACAACAACCATTTGGACTTGATGTTTACCATCCATTTATGGCGATATTGCATTGGATTTAGCCTCCCTGATGGGTGAATAAGTATGTTACAGTATCTTGATAGACATGATTAACTAAACATCAACCGATATAGTAAATGAACTAGTATTATATGGTACAACTAAACATCGACCAATATCACCATAATATGTATATGGCTACAAGTCAAGGCCCTGGCACCCTAGGTACCCTAAAATAGCTGCTTAATGGATATTTACTCCCCCAAATATTGTTAAAAAAAATTGGTGTTTGCCCCATCCCCATATTTAAATTATTTAACCATGTTGGGGCACGGCGTGGTTCACCAATTGGATTATGAGATATGGCTTCACAATACATCGTCATATTTCGAATGTTTTACCCATTTTTGCATATCCATATATCAATATATATATATATCATATATGATTGCCGTTCATCCAAGTCATTAGGCCATTTGAATGAGTATTGAAACAACCATGGTGACGACTGGGGATCCAAACCATGACTTGAGAAACCGCCCATGTGCCCATATCCCCAGTGATGTTTGATGGTTTGTAAACCCCATTCACATCCATGAACACTATTGAATACTATAGTTATAAGTTATCATAAACCACAGTGAAATTGTCAGTATGTTCACCAGGACTGGAGCTTTCCTTAAGTCATGGGTTTTGTACCCCCAAATCATCCCAGTCATTATAATCATTGGATCATTCTAGTATTGAAACCTATGATTCCTATGATTAGATCATCTATGATCATCTTAGTATTGAAAACCTATGATTCCATGTGATTCTCCGAAGTTCAACCCCTCTCATGTTTCTGAAGCTGGCCGTCCGAGTGCCGGGACTCGGCGATGCTGCAATCGATCACCGGTTGACGCCCCTCTAGGGCGGCCACCTCATGGGATGGAAATTGTGGATGGTTTGGGGACAAAATATCCAAAATGGTGAATGTGGATATTGTCGGAACCCAAAAATCCATCAAAACCCATTGAAATCCATCAAGATCCATGAAAATCCATCGAAATCCATAATTGTTTGATGGATTTTAGAAGGAAAGCTGGCTCCTTAGGGGCTATAGTATACCGTATACCTCTTGGGACATCTTGGGACAATAGCCATGGAGATGGTGACATTCGTATACATTCGTGGGATCCCAGGTCCCAATCGGTCGCCTTGGCTTCCAAAGGATGCATCATGATGTCCATGAATCGTTCACTTTGCTCCTCACCAGGAGATCGCAGGAGGCTTTTTGAGTCTTTGCAGCTGGGTAAACCATGGTAAACCCAAAGCTCCAGGTCCCTGAGACACAGTGGGATTGAGGCCCAGCAAGAATCGCAAGATCCAATGGATCATCAAGGCCGAAGGCCCCATGGACCCATGGAGGCCTGCAAGCGCAACACTTGTCTCATCATCTTCTCTTCTAACATCTCCAGTTCCCTCCGCACCTTGGAACACGCGCATGTCACGGCTGTGGTCACAGGATGTCACGGGTCTGACATCCCCAGGGACCGGTAAAAACCACTGCATGTAGAGCCTGTAGCTGGAAATGATGTGTAACAAATCCAGGGTTTCAAAGACAGGTACTTGTGGAACAGCACAAAGTTGAAGTTCCATCTAATTTTAGGAATCCTTTGGAACCAGTCCAATATCTATGCAGCATAGGAGGTTTCCAAAGTCATTGGGGCCCCAAATCATCCGAAATCATCCAGTCGTCATGACCAAACTATACTAAACTATAGTATTGAAAAATCATCCAGTCGTCATGACCAAACTATACCAAACTACGTATAGTAAGCCAGTCACCGGCACGATCATTTCAGGCTTGGAGATCACAGAAAAACTAGCAGCTATAGGAGGGTCAAATGCTCCTCAATCCCCATCAAAAATGCTGAAATCGCCATGTTTGTTTGGAATTTTCCCGACTTTGGGTAATCAAGTTGGCCAATCCACCCAAACTACGTATAGTATTGAAACAACATGAAACAACCTTAGTGACGACTGGGGATCCACAATGACTTCAGAAACCACCAACGCAACGCCACTGGGTGCTCCGTCGGCCGTATCTTCTCGAATTCGCCTTGCGGCCGTATCTGCTCGGTGTTGGTCAATGAGAAAATCTCCGAACGAAATGGATGGTTTGATGGGAAATATTGGAAAACTATGGCAAACTATGGGAACTATCGGAAAACCATGGGCAATATTCGGAAAATATGGGAAAATCATAAAATCATCTATAACCGGTATTTGAGTTGAATCAGTTTAATCAGTTGAATCAAGATTTCCCCCCGCACACGTTCATTCAACAAATGCTCATTTAGAATTCGCGTGGACTTGCTGGGATTATGAAAGTGCTCAAATCTCACGTAATTCACAGGGTGCGCTCGCTCAGATTTTGTCACTTGAAGCTGCCATTCATCCACAGCGCTTCTTGGGCAAGATAACTCCTTGGAGCTCATCAGGGAATGTGTCAATGGTTGAGATTGCCTACAGAAATGTGCCCTGAGCATGGAGCGTTTTGGTCGCTTTATGGCTGTATTGCTATACTCGTACCATTCATATCTGGCTGAATCACAATAATTCACCAAGCTGAAAATAGCTGAATAGCTGAAATACGGCCAGAAATGGGAACCTTACTAGCCAAATATACAAAAAATGTGGGTTTAGGGGACCAATTTTTCTGGTGGATGGGACCAGATGTCTGCCATCTCTCCACCCAAGGGCACGGTGATATGACCCAATGTATGACCCAATGCCAGACCCTGGGACTACAAGTTGCGGTCACAACATCATCCTCATCGCAACCATGATAATGATAATGATAACAATAGTAATAATTGTAATAATAGTCAATAGTAACGAATAGTAACGAATAGTAACGAATAGTAACGAATAGTAATGATATGTAATGATAATGATGAGAATAGGAAAAATATAGCAATTATCATCATTTATATAATATTATATAATCCTAGAATCTCATAGCACCATCCTCTTCCACCATCCGCTCTCCATCGACTTCACCAGAGGGACGCCAGGGCATTCGCCACTGGAGTTCCGCGGATTTGCAGCAGTGGAAAGCCGAAGGACCTGCTTTACAAAACCAATGCCCCATTGATGGAAGCACCGTTTTCTGGACGTGATGGCACCCGTTTTGGGATGGACGTTTTGGGATGGACGAAGCAAGTTGGTTTGGAAAGTATGGGAAAGTTTGCACTAGAATCACTAGAAAGTCGATCTCAAACATATTATCCAGATCTATCCAGCGTCGTAGTTAAGTGTCCGGAAGGCTCACGAACCACATTGTAATTATTGTAATCCCTTCCCTAATATTCAACACCCCATTTAATGGTCCCAAGTACTACTGGCCACACTAAACCATGGTTTCTGGGTGTTCAATATAAGCACCAACCTTAGTGCACGGTGTAGCTGACCACCTCCCACGTAAGTGTTTTCAAGAAAACATCTCTGGCATTTATGCCATCGTTTCAACAGTAAGTTGCAATTCATCTACCAATGCTGGATGTTTCACTGCCCTCTCCTTGAATTTAGTGGATATACTTTGATTTCCTCTAGGATTTATTGGATTTATCAATTTATTGTTTATACAAATGGTGAGTTTATCGGATATCTTTGCGACCCCAAACTCAAAAACTCCTGGGATGCAGCATCCAAGGGGCGAATCCACCGACAACTTTGTACCGGTTCGTCGACCTCCAGGTGCTCCGTGCCGATGCAACGTATCAAAACTCATGTAACGCATGTCATGTGTTATTAATGTGTCTATGCAGTCTATGTATCGAAATTAATTTTGATATTCCCCTGATTGCTCTTGATTACTCTTGATAGCATTGAAGGTTTGAGAACAAGTCGTCCACAGACGAGGCATTTTAGAGGCCGCGGTTTCGAGTCGCACCCCTGACTCAAACTCGGAGGGAAAACGAGACTTCAGGGGCGGTTGGAGCATGTCTGCAAGGCAAGGATCGCTCCTTCCCAACCAGGGGTAACAAACCTGACCAAAGATCCATGCCCCCAAAACAACGCAACTAGGCGAGCCGCCTATTCCCAGGCGACTGCTGGCCAGGTACTCAGCAGCTTTCCAATCAGGCGCTTTCCTAAGTCGTTTCCAGGATTGCAGGAGCTGCAATCCCTTTATGTCAGTGTGGTGCACCAATATTTAAAGTGACAGTGTTGTCTACTGTACTGATTGAGGGTTGATGGATGTTGATGGCATGTATTTCTATCATCCAGCTGTTGGGGCGTCTCATGCAACTCCCCAATCTCCAGTGAGCAATTCATCGAATCCGAATGAACGACGGTACGTTGCTACACCTTGTATACCGCAACAAGCCTCGACTTTGCAGGCGATCACATGGTGAAAATCCATGAAATTCCCCAGCTATAAGAACAGATAGGAATAGAATACACCACAAGGATCCCTGAGAACAAACAAAAAAAACACAGAGTTGTCATAAATAGGTTGACAAAAATCTGCCCATCAACTGCTTACCCAAGTTCTTTATCACAAATAGGCGGATAACATCGGATAACCATAAATGGTGTGATAAATGACCCCCCTATCATCCACCTGTTCGTCCAAGTCGCACCAGAAGTGCCACGTCTGCCACGTCTCCAGAAAAAGCTGCTGGTGAAGGATGCACCGCGGGGTCCAGCTGATGGTTTGTGGCCTGGGGAGTATTTTAGGGACAACTCTATATCTGATATGTATTTATATATATACTGTGTATATATATATATGTGTGTATATATATATGTTAGATTATATATTTCATATTTATATTTATATTTATATTTATATATATACATATTATACATATATATATATATATTTATTTATATTATATTGTATTATATTATATTATATTATTATATTATATTATATTATATTATATTATACTGAATTATATATATGATGTGTACTCTCATATATATATATATATATGTACATATATATATATGTATATGTATATATATATATGTATATATATATGTATATATATATGTGTATATATATATATGTATATATATATATGTATATATATATATATATGTATATATATATGTATCTATATATATATATGATGGTTTCCTAAAATCAGGGTACCCAAAATGGATGGTCTATAGTGGAAATCCTTATTTAAATGGATGATCTGGGGGTACCCCCATTTCAGGAAACCTCCATATTATATTCTGTCATATTCTGTCATGTTCTATCATATTCCATCAAATATTCTTTAAACATCTTTAAACTGTGTGTTTCAATATGTTTTAAATTTAGCCGTTGGCTCGTGTTCGCGCCATCTGCATGCAAAATATACCACACTCGCCCGCACCTTCACCGCTGCCGAAGGCCTCGAAGGCCGCGTGTTCACTGCCTCAGGCGGGCCTTGACTCGCCGCAGGCCGTTGGGGCTGTGGGGGTGGCCACTCTTCGGCCGGTGGAAGCGGTGGTTGCGCTGGCGCTTGCGCTGGCACTTGCGCTGGCGCTGGCTGCGGCGGCTGTGCCGGGGTTCGGGATGCTCCAGAAAAGGCTTGATGTAGAGCTACGCGCTCTCCTGAGAGTGAACATCACAACAGCCCATGGCAGTAACAGTAAACAGTGATCAATGCTTAATGGCTGGTGAATGCTGTTATGGCGATGATGAGTGATGCTTATATTTGATGGGTAATCAATTTAATCAATCACTCACTATTATTATCATAATAATTCATAGGTTACATGTATATAGACCCAATCAAAATACATCCAAACGATCGACCGAACTAGGATGATTAGCATGATTCACCGGCCATGATCTCAACTGGCCAAACAAAATCCATCAGCCTAGAAATGATGGTATCATGTCAACATCAATATAATCGCAATATGGACTTCTCTTCAATCTTAATCAATGTTCAATCAGTTTTGAGCATACTTTAATTGAGCAATGCAAAAAAAAAAACTAATTCCATGGGTGGGTTGATAGGTATCCACATTATGGACTACAATATACCCCCAACAAACCAGCCAGTATAACCCCTTTGAACAACCAATCAACAGGGGTTATATTCTTAATGAATCATATGAATCTTAATGGCTCAATTGATCTGGTGAAGTTCTTCCTACTTGCAGGATCATCTCACTCACTGGTAACCCTGGTAAGTTTCCCTGGGTTTGTCCCTTAAGTTATCCCAATACCAGGTTCCCCAAGGCTCCCCAAGGCTCCCCAAGGCTTCCAAAAGGCTCCCCAAGGCTCCCCAAGTTTCCGGCAAGTTTCGTTGTTCCTTCTCCCGCGCTTGCTGATCTCGCAGCTTCCTCTGCCGAATCTGCTCCTCGCGCTCCGCTTGCCGCCGCAGCTCCTCCCCCGAGGGAGGTGCCGCGGAAAGCGCGGAACCGTCGGTCGGCTCGGCAGCCTGCCGTGGCGATGGAATGAGGATGGAGCGGGGAAAGGTGATGATGATCTGATGATGTAGGAAGTGAATGGAACTGATATACCTTGGGGGGTCTGAGCTGCTGAGCCCTACCTTTTTGGCTAAAAATATGTTGAGAGCTGCCATCTTTTTGCCTGGTACTCATGCTGTTGTGCTCGGGGTCCAATACCATAGCCGCGAGTCGACCGGCCTTTCGCCTGTCGATGGTGCGATTCGCAGTGGATGGGCATGTTGAAGGGTTACAAGCAACGGATCTTCGGATCCAACAATGGAAGGTGAGTCAGCCGCTAGCCTGTCAACGACCAATATGATAGAATGAAAACATATCAATTAGACCAGGACCGGGGGAAGGGGAAAAGAGCTACCCACAAATTGAGTCAAAAGGGTGTCCCCTAAAGGACTGCAAAGTAATATGGATGGATATGGATGGACCTGTTGCCTCAAACAAGCCATCCCTGGGAGTGACTAATTGGTTGGTTCAAGTCTTGAAACCTCCCACCCATTCCTGCTGCCCTCCTTCATTTTTCATTTGGGGTCTTGGTTACTTTTCCAAGGTACAGAGACTTCCAATAATGTCCTTTTGGTAAAAATAGAGGGGCGGTTTGGTATACCATCTATCATCATTCACCTGTTAAAGGGGTAAACCGGTAAACCTTCAAACCCCTCTATTAATCAACCAACCAATGGGAAAAGGACATCACAGGAAACTTCAAGTCTGTTATGTGTCCACAAAGTCACAAAGCGCTTCTGATCACAATTTGGGGTTTGTTCACCACAGAAGTTGGCCAAGGTTCAAATGTTACCCGGTTCTCACAATCACACGACGAAAGCGTGCCTGGCGTGCTTGCTCTTCATAGCACTCAGCCTGCCACAACCACCGAGGAAGGTCTCATTCAAATCCGCAGAATCCGCCGTTTGGAGAAATGAGCGGATTCACATGGATTCACCCATCACCGCCTCCTGCAAGCAAGAACTCTGCTGCTCCATGCTTTGGGCCTGGCCATGGCTCACTTGGTCACCTCTGGTAGGACCAGTTGAAACATGGCCGGCTCAGTATGTCACTAAAGTCGGGAAGCGGAAGAAACAACTTGGAGGTCTATTTCAGGAGCTGGAATACATGTAGAGTTGCCTCAGATTCGGAATCACCATCATCATCGGTTTTTGATTGCCTATGTGTTTCTTAATTCATGCTGCCTTAATGTACTTCCAGCATTTACACTGGAACACCAAAAAAACGTAAAAGCTGTACTTGAAGTATATCATATACGTACTGTATATATAATTATATATATATATATATTGTGTGTGTGTGTCTATGTGTGTCTATGTGTGTCTATGTGTGTCTATGTGTGTGTGTCTATGTGTGTCTATGTGTGTGTGTGTGTCTATGTGTGTCTCTGTGTGTGTGTGTCTATGTGTGTCTATGTGTGTCTATGTGTGTGTGTCTATGTGTGTCTCTGTGTGTGTGTATGTGTGTCTCTGTGTGTGTGTATGTGTGTCTCTGTGTGTGTGTGTGTCTGTGTGTGTGTGTCTGTGTGTGTGTGTGTGTCTGTGTGTGTGTGTCTGTGTGTGTGTGTCTGTGTGTGTGTGTGTCTGTGTGTGTATGTGTGTGTGTGTGTGTTCGTATATAGTATATTTAGGAGCTTCATCAACACGACCGCCTCGGCAGCGCGCAAGCGTAGCTCTCTTGCCTGGAAACGTTGGCCGAAGTTCAGTGAGTGACATCCAACAATCATCAAATTTTATTTTTCAAAAAAAAAAGATCTGGATTTTGAGTCACATTGTAGTCAGAAACCCCGTGATAACATTGGTGTCGTTGTCCAGTTTTCCACCAAAATCCTCCTGACTTTTGTTTTTTTTCAGCCTTGTCTGCAAACATCTTGGCTTCTCGGGCAGCGGTTTGACACTCCTGTGCATGTCAGGGATTCGGCGACCCCAGTAGTGACCCTCTCACATGACGTCTTGATATCTTCGGATATCATGGGATATCAGAGGATAGTCTGAGTCTGAGCTCAGCCAGGTGCTGCAGACTCGTGGGGTCCCTGTTGGGTTTTGCACTTTGAGACCCTGTGCATCTTGTCAGCTCCTGCTGTTCCCTTGCAGCTGTCTCCTGGAGAGCAAGCTTTTGGTCACGAAGGAGAGACAAAAAAGGTGATCTTTATTGGTGTTGCAGTGTTGCACCATCCTGTGGATAAGATGAAGTCATTTCGGCCTAAATTGCAAACCATTTTCCCAGTGTGGCGTGCCCGCAACTGCTTCTTCCTTTCTTTCTCTTTTTGCGCCTCACGAGCCAAGTGCAAAATATGTAACTGCATTTCCATGAGGGGCATGATTTTGCCCAGGGGTTGTTTGGAGGAAGCAAGGAGTCTAACCTGGTTTCATGGTGTCATCACAGCTTTCAGATTTCCCTTGGCACTGTGATGCCAAATGTTTCATCATAGACCCATATAGAAATTTCATATAGATCCATATAGATTATCACGTCATCCACCTGCCCCTGCCTCCAAGTCCCTTTGCTCCAGCTGTCGCGCCTTCCGCGCCTGAGGGCCGTCGTTCAGTCATGTTCAGTCCCAAGGTACTTTCTTTCGAGACAAGGACGGCAGAAATATTTGGGGGTTCCTAAAAGGGGGGATCACCAAAACCATCAAAACCATGATTGTTTCAATACTATATACTATATTTTGGTCATGCAGTACCCCCATCTTAGCAAACCCTGTCTTGTTTCTCTTCAGGTTTCTGTTCATCAGCACCGCCCCACCTCAGCTTCGACATCGGAGCTGGCTGTCAAAGTCGGAAGCCTCGGAATTGGACAGCCTTCTGATGTCATGGCATATGGATCATATGGCGAAGCCTCCCGGCCAACATCATACTGGTCATACCCTGGAAACAAACATAGGGAGACGGAGGCATCCTATTGTGGCGCATGGAGGTCCTCAGATTCGAGTAGATGGCTTTCCGACTTCTGGGCATCACTAACCATGGGGGCCCCAACAAGTGGGCCACATCACAAGTCAATCAGCTATACAGTACCTGGTGGGGTGGCTAGAGCCTGTAGTGTCGCTGGATCGCGTTACATTCGAGATATGATGACGTAAAAACTCCATCGCTTCCAACTGACCTCCATCCATGAGAGTGAATCAACTCCTTGCATCCAGATCATCCAGGTATTTCCCAAGTTTGGGGTGAAAATTTGAACGCAAAGGACTTGGAAAATCCCCATGTTTGGATTTTGTGGCCAGTGCCCCCAGTGCCCCCAAGACCATCACTTCTCCAACGGCACGGCAGCTTCGGGAGCTTCGGCCGCCTGACACTCTTTCACGGTAGACAGTGCGGAGCATCAGCGCAAAGATTGGTTTAAATGAAACTTATATATATATAATTATATATTTATTTTATATATAATATATATATATACTGCATACATATATATGCTAGCCCCCCCCCAAAAAAAAAACGACATTTTTGAGAGTTGGCAATGGTATATTCGAGGTATATTAAAAGCAAACACCGGGTAAACACAAGGTATATTAAAGATATACTAAGGATATATTTTTTTATATTAACAGTATATATATATATTCATTGCCAGACTGGAATATCACAGGTATACTACAGGTATGTTAAATGGTATATTAGAGGTGTATTACATGGTATACTAAAGGTATATTAAAGGTATTTTCAAAGTCAATCAAATGATATATTAGAGGTAGATTCATGGTATATAAAATGGTATGCTAAACGCATATTAAATCATATAGTAATGGTATATCAAATGGAATATTAACGATTCTTAAATGGTAAACTAAGTATAGATGGTACATTCAAGGTTTATTAAAGACAAATTAAATGGAAAATAAACGGTATTCTAGAGGTAGGGAGGTATCCTAAAGGTGCATTAAAGATGTTTTCATGGCCAATAAAATGGTATATTTAAGGTAGATTAAATGGTATATTTAAGGTATATAGATTAAATGGTGTAGTGAAGTTTATGCATTGAAGGTATATTCAAAGTATACTACAGGTATTTTCAAGGCCAACTAAATTGTATATAAAAGGTAGCTTCATCGTTATCCGATGGAATGCTACAGGTATATTGAATGGTATATTATTTTTTTCAGGTGGTATTTAAAAAAGGATACAGAAGGTATGCCAAAGGTTTACTAAAGGTTTATTAAAGATATATTTATGATTATTTATGGTCAATAAACTGGTATATTAAAGTATATGGAATCTATAATGAAGCTATATTCATTGTATATTTAAAAAATGCTGATCAAGATATTATTCTTACTCTGTTGCATCAAAAAGACGACATATCCAACATGTTAGAATCTGGTGTTTTAAAAGAAATGCTGTATGATTGAAGGCAGGCTTAATATTAGTTTGAAAGGAAGACTGCACTTCTTCAGAAAGAAAACACTGCATGTTTAGAGGAATACTATATTTTTGGTCGGGGTACTGTTTCTTGAACGAAGTCATACTTTGTTTGAAAGGACAATTGCAGCTTATGAATGAAGGTGATTTTTTTCAAGCATGCAAAGGAACGCTGCAATTTAAAACAGATTGCTTCCTTCAAGAAATGATGTGCTTTCTGACCTGAGTATGAGCTCATCTTTTTTGAAAGTAATAGTGTACTTACTTTGTTTTTGCAAAAAGTTCCCAACAAATACCACCTCTTTGACATCAACAAAAAGCTAAAAATGGTAAGTACTTAGAGCATTTTTGTTCACCAGAACCGTTTGCAAACGTTTGCAAACGAGACTGGCTCAGGATTCAAGATTCAAGATCCAATATTCAAGATTCAAGATTCAAGATCCAAGATTCAACATTCAAGATTCAAAAAAAACTTCTTGAATCCAGAAACTCTCCTGATCCTAGCCCCGGGATTCAAGAAGTTTTTTTTTGAATCTTGAATCCTGAGCCAGTGTCGTTTGCAAACGTTTGCAAACGGTTCTGGTGAAAAAAATACCCGAAGTACCTGGGTTCAACAGTAAGACAACAATTAATACACACATATTTGTATATATGTATATGTATATATACATGGTACCCCCCACTGGAACTCAAACTGAACAGGGTAATTTGCCCCAAAAGCGTTGCGACCTCAAAAACGTCGGTTTTTTTTTGGGGGGGTATATATGTTGGAAAAAGACTTATGAAGGACTTATTGGATCTTATCGTGTTTGCTTTCATTTTGTGTCACTCGCGTTGGTTTGGCGTCCTATGTGGGAACCATCATCGGAGCCGCAGGGGTCCCAGCCTGGGCTCTGTTGACACGCTTGGAACGAAAGGCCTGTTGACGATGACGACGACAGTGGTGATGATGGTGATGGTGATCTTTGAAGCAACTGACATAAAGAAAAAATGTTGCATCAATAAATAGTCCAGTAAATGACAATGCAACCCCCAACCTTTCTTGACTGGAAGTGCATCAGATCCTATCGATCCACGCCTCCATGACATCATCCCAAGCAGTGTCCTGCGACACAGCAAAGGATGACATCAACAGGTGGTGCATGGTGACTCACATCCCACTACCGTTGCCCTCAATCTGAAGGAGTTTATGGCTGATGGAGAGCTAAGTACTGGAAAAGCCGGTCACAACCTATCAAAAATATCCATGAATCGATAGGGCCTAAGATCCTCCTTGCTGCCTGCACACTACTCTGTTCCCAACCAAGAGACGCCCCATCCAACCTGCAAATCGAAGTCCCTCTCTGTCAAAAGCGCACCTTGACACATCCGCAGCTGCAACTCCTTCGAAGCATCTGCGCAATTCCACTCAGGTCCAACAACAATCAAGTTTAAGTCATACCCTCATACCCTGTTCACCATCCCAATCTCCATCTGGTTGACTAATCTCCCTTGGTTGCGCTTATGTTCTCCCAACAAGCGTCCCCCCACAAGCCCCCATCTCCTGCAAACGCCAGGCCACCGCCTGCAGCTCATGCGTCTCTTCGGCTCGCAGGGTCACCTTGCGGTGCTTCCGAAGGCCTTCGATGATCTCCACCTGCATGGAGCATTTCGTTTCCTCAGGCGCAAAGGAACAGCTGGTAAAAACCATGGCAAAAACCTTGGACAAAAAAACATCATTGGCCTGGCTGTCAACAAATTTTGACAGAAGTTTGGATAAAAAAGATCTTACGGATCTGGCATGGAATGATCATTTGATATGTGGCTATGTCCATCAGAGCTGTTGAGGCTGCAACGCTACTGTTGAGGCGGCGAGGATAGTCCAGAAGGATCCATCGAAATGATTTAGCCAAAAAATGTGAATATTGTGCGATGTGAATATGGCATATATTCAACTATGGTTTAATTGTATGTGTGCATTTCATTGTTTACATGATATTTGTTGATATTCTAAAATCCAAGCACCATGATCAAGGTATGGTACCGTTTTATACTGTTAAAATGCAGACCTTTTAGTCGTCCAAGCATCAGCCAGCAACTGGTCTTGGAGGTAGGCTTCACACTTTGCAGGGACCAGGAACCTGAGCAAAAGCCGACGGTGAAATGCCGGACCTTTGAGAGACTGGCACCAAAGAAGGAGTCACCAACACACCCACTTAATATCTGTGAAAACTCCACAACCGAGCAGCGCAACGTCTTGACCCTCGGCTCCCAAGGACTTCAACGCCATGGGTCCTCGTGCGTTACGCACCAAGCCCAGCACTGCGCTCTGCAGGGCCCTGGGTTCAGAGGATTTGGCAAAGGCCACGTGGTACGACCGTTGCAACGCCTTCCGCGAACTCAACAGGGCAACTCGACCGGGTTGGGTCACGTTGGGTCACGTTGGGTCACGTTGGGTCAATGTTCAGGGCACAACAAAGTGCTTCCATGATGTTCCAGGATGTTCCAGGATGTTCCATGAGAGTATGGGGCAAAATCGATGAAATCTACAAACTTGTTAGACTTTTTCTATGAAACCTGTGACAGATCCAATGTTTGGCCCTGTAGTTTGATCCAGAGCCATGTGCTTCGCCACAAAAAAGAAGATTTCCCCTAACAAAAACGATCAAGGCAGGAACTTGAGACAACATGTCAACGCCTATGTTGAAAGACATGGAACCTTATGAAAGATATCAAGTTGAATGTTCTGTCTTGAAATTGATGATAAGGAAACACAATAAAATCATACCCAAAAAAAGACAAGACATACCTTGACAATCAAAAAGCGACAACCACAAGTACAGTATCCACAGTATCTCCCTCATCTGAACCAAAACACAAACCCCAACAGCCTAAACAATTGTCCCCCTCATCCAAAACCAAACATTGACACATCACTTTAGCAACAAAATTACCCCCAAAATCCCACCTGAAAAATGATCAAAACCAAGGATGAAACATTGAACCCCAACACAAAATCATAACAAGCAACATACAAACATATACGCCCTGAAACCTCCATTTATCCATTTTTTCCTGGGACATGTCATGGTATGATTTGGCACAAGTCCGATGCTCTCACCTCCGGGAGTTGCTTGTCCAAGATATTGACCGTGGCTCCACTCTCCTCTGGGTTGGTTTGTTGCGATCCCCAAAAAGTGATCTACCAAAACGATCAAGACTGGTGGCACCTAAGGAATAACAGCAACAAAAGAGGAAAAAAAGTGGGATAAAAACCAGACCTAATTGGTTTTGGGGTAAATAAGGTAAATACTCAAACGACAATGTCAACGTCATCTGCAGAGATCCACAATTCCCCTGATTTAAAGCTGAACATCTTGAAGCCGTTGAGAAGCCATAGCCACCGTGGCCACCGTGGCCGCTGTAGCCACGCCTGACGCAACTCTTTGATGATTGCGCCCGCCTTGCCAATGACCCGGGGAACCTGCAAAGGTGCAGAACATGGTACCAGGTGAATGCGATCCATAACTCCGGACCAAACATTGAACATAATATATATATATACATATATATATACATATATATACATACATATATATATATGGAGGAATTTAACCTGCGTTTTATTTTCAAAAATGTGAAATAACCTTCAAAAATAAGGAACCAGTCAACGGTAATGGCTGAGTGTCCGAGAACAAAAGGCATAGCTCGTGCCCCAAACACCAAGTCATAGCCTTCATAGCCATGAAATTGTGGAGTTGACCATGTTCAGAAGCCCCGAAATCATGTCCTTTCCGATGGCTGATGGCCTGCAGCTGCTCCAACAGCATGTAACATGGCACATCGCCGGGCTCCAAGGTGATCATGATGGTTGCGATGTTCCCATTCTTCCAGCCCCAATCTTGTTGCTCGCAGGATTTTGTATGGTTGATTATGGTTGTATGTTTTGTATAACTTCTTCATGTCTGCATCCACATCTCATATCTTTACAAAGAAGTAATAAGTGGATATAAGTGGGCTAGAAGAGCCTTTCAATCCGACTTCCATGGCTCTCATGGTCTTGTTCTAGCTGACCATACAGCGTTATCTTCATCAAATTTGATGGGCCAAATGGCTGCGGTGTCTGGTTGTTTCGTAGATGTTTCATAGATGTTTCGCAGAATCGGTGTCTTCCTGGCACCGTGATGTCAACTCTATCTCAGGCAACCAAGTGGTTGTTTTTCCTCGTTTTACAAACCTCGACTCGTGGCGGAAAATGATGGAAAATGGCTTCGAGTTACACTGGACATCCAGCCTTGACATATTCTCCGAAGTGACCTCCAGTGCAGTGAAGGTCCCAGGATCCAATGGTTCCCCGCTCCATGTGTCATTCACATGCTTCAAGGGGCTGTTCCATCCCCCATAAAATGCCTGGCTCATGCAGGTTCAAGATGTCGAAAAATGCCAATTCGGACCCATCCTAACTTGCTATGGCTGAAAATGCCAAGTTCGAACAGCAAAGTGGCTGGTCTCATATTTCTGTCGCTCGGAACTGCCCGTTTTGTATCAGCTTGACAATAAAACATCAGAATCCCGATTTTGATTGGACAATCATGGCATATCAATAGTAAACCTTCTCATTTGGCATGGAACAACATGGAAAAACAATGTAAATCTGCTCTCTTCGGTGATGGTAAATTTTCCCCATTTCCACCTTGGGCGAGCTCAGACTGGGTCGACACCATCTGGGCGGTTCCTGATATCCACTTGCGGGGGTTCAATCAATCCAAAAACTACTTGATGCTCCTGTTACATCCTGTTACAATCCTCAATCATCCTGGTTAGGGATGGAAACTAGAAACGCTTCGAAACCACCATAGCTGTTTCGGACTCTCTGATGATCCTCTAACTTCTCAAAGATGAGCTTGAAAGTCGAAAGGTGCATGCATTTTGGGGCGTTGCAAGAATATATGGGAAGAATGCTGAGGGTGAGCCCTCCTGATTGGTTTGAAAAAACTTAGTACCAATTCGGTATCTACTTACATCGTTGCACTGTGTCTGTGCTTCACCCACCTGGGCACCAGGATTCAACACATCAACCCACAATGCAAAAAACTGGAGGGCACCCCTTTAGTGTGACCAATCACAGGAGTTGGCAGACTCTTCCAGGACTTTTATGGACTTTTGGAGACCTCCAGCGTTATGATCTTTCAGAATCTGTCGGACTTGTTTGTTCCCCCATGATGATGGTTTCTTCCCATGGTTTTTCCCATGGTTTTTCCCCATCATCTGTCAGATATGCCCATGGCGATTCCCCATGGCTAGGCCCCGCAAACCTCTTCCAGCCAGGCCAGGGATGCTGTTCCTCAGGCTGCCGGATTCATCGAGCCGGTATCAATGGGCCTTTCATCAAGGCTGGGGGCCCCAAACTGGTCGGCAGGTCCTGTGGAAAACCAATAGCACATACACAGATTGGACATCGCTACCTAGCCGCCCTAGCCGCCCATAGCCGTTGGAGCCAAACTTTTGGTGGCCCTTTTCGATCCATTCCCATTTCCGTCACCCGAACACTCTCCTGGGCATCGCCACGCTGGATCTGCCACAGGGCGTGGTGTCTTGTGAGCGAATGTTCGTAGCCGCTTGGATGATTGATGATGAGATATGATGAATACATATGAATACAGTATGGTTTCAAAGATTTGATTAGACTGTCAAGGTCCCCACACCTGACAAGTTTGGCCCTTAACAAAGCCCTCGGCCTGTGGACCCAAGTCCAGGCGTGTACCTCTCTGCCCTCAGGTCAAGAGCTGCCGTTCTCGAACTCAAATCCAGCTAGGGTTGTTTCATGTGATTTCAAAAAAGTCAGGCTAAGGTGGCTCACAGCAGCCCATCATCAGGAAACTGCCCACTCTCCAAACTACCGTGTGTTTGTCTGCCCGGCCTCCTCCCCATCCTCATCCTCATCCTCGTCATCGTCATCGTCATCCTCATCATCATCCTCATCATTATCCTCGTCATCGTCATCGGTCCCCCGAAATGATCCTGGAAACTGCCCGGAGGCCACTGGGACTCGCACCGGTCAGACTGGGAGTCTCCTGGCCATGTCAACGCATCAGATTTAGCCGAGGGGCTCTACTAGGCAAAGTGAATGCCCAGCCGATCTACCATGGTTGGTGCTTGCAATCCACCAAAATTGTGAGTCCATTCGGATGGTCATCACATTTTTTTGGATCGAAAGTTGGAAATCGGTTCAAACCACCAACCAGCCCTGAAGTCTCTGAAAAGCCAACGTATCCAGATTTTCCAGGTTGTTTTTTCCTGCAGATGTTCCAGAAGATTTTGTCGCAGCTGGGTCAAAGGGACAACCTTTACAGAAAACGCTGCACGTTTCTCCGGGTTACCTCCAAAGCCATCTTGACCTCAGGGCTGCTGAGTCACGTCTGGTCGTGACTTTCTGGGGCACGAAGGGAAACTGAAAGTATATATAATATATTGGGGGTAGCTTAACCAACTACAATTGGGCATAGAACGGGGACAATTCTTTGGATTCTAAAGATTCTAAAGCAGGCCTTCCAAACGTTGCAACCAGAATGAGTCAGATTTGACCCTGGACCTTGCCTGTCTTCTGCTGATGTGAACTACCGTTTCCCTTGGGAATCCCCGCGCAGCCCCAACACGAGGCGCAGCTGAGGATTCCGTTGCGAAGAGATCATGAATAGCTGGATACGATCGATATGTTAATATGTTTTGAATATCTTATGACCTGATAAAAAAAAATATAAAATATATATATAAATATAGGTGTTCTGTGTTGTTCTGACATGTTGTCCTCAAAAGAAAAAAACGTTTGGACCTGGCTGAGTGTCTTGATTCGGTTTAGAAACTGGTTCAATGTTACAACCGGCAACCAGCAAACCCCGGCAAACCGAGGCCGATTTCTTCAGTCTGTGTCTCATGTCCTGTAAGAATTGGCCACCGGTGCAGCAGAATGATGGCTATGGCGCGTCGTAGCTTTGAGCCAGGGCGCCTGCGACACAAACTAGTCAACCAACCAGCAGCCAAAAACCACCAACCCAATCTGCTGTTCAGCTTTCGGCCAGGTTCCACTGCAACGCTTTTGGTCTTTTTCTTGCCTCATTTCTCCTTTGTTCGCCTTGAAACAGTGCGAATCAATATGGCAACATGACATGCCTCTGGTGAAACTTTGGCACCTTGAGGCCTCCTCAATCCTCCGCAATCTCCAGGAACCACTCCCAACATTTTTCAGGTATCTTCAGCAATATTTGCTATCAATAAACTATAAATATCTATAAATCATATTAAATAATCCAATATCACTTGACCCACTTTCTGGAACGCGGGTAGGGCCGCGGTTTGCTCATTTCATCATTCCTGCTGCATGCGCTGCAAAGCCGACCGTCAACAGCAGGTGAGGGGACATCGCAGCTTCCTTGGTGAGGTGAGCCATCAGTATCGACAAACACAGAGTTGGTCGAGATTCTTCCTAGGCACCTAACACCTTAGCCAAAAACATGCGCCTTTGGAAGGGCTCGTGGTTAGTGAGTTCATCCAGTTTTTGCACTTCGCACACCCTGGTGTCAACGGAGATCAAAGTCATAGGAATAGGCCTAATTCTGGCAGGTTGAGATTGGTCAATTGACGCTCCCAGCAAGTTGTAGGCTGAGGGTGGTGGCGTTCTGGTGAGGCACACCCTCTGAGGAAGTTACCGCCCCTCACTGGTCACATGTGAGCTTTCATGGACCAAGCTTGCCGAGACTGTCATGGACATGGCCCCCATGTTGGCGCAGCTTGGGTCAAAATTTCGCCGTGGAAATCACACTGGGACCTGTGGGTTTTCTCGTCGTAAACCATCCCTTGGGTGCCCATCCAATCCATTGAATATGCCCAGCTTCCTTCAAACTGATTGCATCCTTTGGCCGTCCCACATCACTTTCAGCCACAGCCAGGAAGTGAACCCCCGTGGCACCGGCGTGAAACAGGCTCAGCGCGGCAGAGATCAGCGACCTTTTCAGTTCAACACCCAGGGCTTGTTGAGATATGTTGACACGTGGCAAGCCGATGGGGCAATGGAATACCAACTGTGGCGTAACAGTTGGATGTACGAAAAAAGCCAGGTATCGGACACTGTATTTTCGCCAATTTCGTGGGTGACACGGCCAATATAGAGGCCAACATACAAATTATGTTGTTCGATGCTCATGATTAAGTAAATTGAGAGGTGCTTTGACTGGGGGTAGCCCTAAGTGTAGCAAATTGAAGGTGCAAAATGGGAAGCAACAGCTATTTGCCGCTGCCCTGGCGAGGTACAAACCTTCTCTTCCAAGGAAGTGGATACTTTCGAACACCAATCTTGTTATCACAAAAAATGATATGTGTCTGTGGAAAACACCGTTCGAAACAAATGATGGCTTCAGAACGCCTAGATACCATGTACATATGTATCATATGTATCAATTCTGGAGCACCCAAGCGGATCAATGTTATCACCAAAGTATTGCACTTGTTACACGCATGGGAACACCATGGAAATGATACCTTTTAGAACTCATATTTATATAATACAACATAATACAACAAAAATGTTTGTAAGTGCTATCCCCCACCTCAAACGCAATTCGGAGCGACTTCTGCACCCAATACAACTCGAGAAAGGGCTTCCAACTGCAACTGAGCCACGTGGAACTGTCATGAACCTTTCCATTCAGAAGAACCAGCAGGCCCAGACTGCTCAAGCCTAGTAGACCGCAGCCGTGCCAGCGTCGGTAGAGCCGTGCGCGAGGGCTACTCTCCTTTGAACCCGGGAGTTCCCGTGTCGTGTGAATCCCCAAGTTGCGAGGTGAACCATACCATGGCTGCATCCTGGGAATCCTGGTTCTAGGCGTTTCATGTTCCAATCATGTTCAAACTATTTACATCATTTTTACATATAGATCATATAGACATATATAGATATAGAATGATATAGACTATAGACTATAAATGGCGATGATACGATGGCCAAAGTACAAAAAACTCGATGTTTTCAACGTGTTCCAACCCAGGCCTGCAATGTGTCCATGGCACCACGGCCACGGATCACCAGCAGGGACCCCGCCAATGCTTCGATCCCACTGTGGAAGGCATAGAGAAATTCCTCAAGCAACAAGCCAACTCTGCGACGGCTGGGGTTCCTATGGGGGATCCCCAAGTCACCATGGGTTTCGTTGCTAAAATACTCTGATAACTTGGATGATTTAGGGGTACCCCCAGGTAGAAAGCCCATGTACAGTTGAGCATCGAGAGTATAGTTTAATTCCAGCCCCGTAGCTTGAGATACTCAAATTCCAGCCCCGTAGCTTGAGATACCATCTCCGTAGCCCCGTAGCTTGAGATACCGGCCCTGTACCTTGAGATACCTTGAGATACTCAAATTCCAGCCCCGTAGCTTGAGATACCTTGAGATACTCAAATTCCAGCCCCGTAGCTTGAGATACCGGCCCTGTACCTTGAGATACCTTGAGATACCTTGAGATGGTTTTTTTCACCAAATGCTGCAGCCACAATGAAAAACGATTCCAAATCCCAAAACATTTCTGCATCACTATGGTATCTGGTACTGCTATTCGCATTTAGTCGACATACACTTTTCGTAATTAGGAATTAGCATTCGCTATTAACAACGGCTTTTCGTGATTAGACAATACACTGTTGAGATTTCTTTAGATGGATGATGATCCCATTCATCGCCAAGTTTCAGCTAGACCTATGCCCACCATTGGTGCCAGGCAGAATGGAGACCCAGCTATTTGAGCCAACTACCACACAACAGGAGTTGCAGTGTGGCGCCTTTCAGCTCAAACATTCCAGAATTGATATTTTATGACTATTGTAACTACTGTAGCATGTCTCATGGCAATGTGCAACCGTGCACTACCCTGTCTGCCCAGTCCACAGCCCCATCGCTTCCATTTGCTTCTGCCTGTTGAGCGTCAGACGCCGAAAAGATCCTGGGCCATATCCCAGAGGGGCCATGGTGCCATGGTGCTAGCAGGCCCACCACTTTGCGGTGGGCGTGTGTCTCCAGGCGGTTGGTGCTGATTTTTTCACGAGTTGAACGAGCCTTTTTCAAAGACAGAAGCGGTGCTTCCAACCACCTGGAGCCAATCTCAACCCCTCCCGAAAGGGGCTGAGAAAAAAAATGATCACATAGAGTCCTCGCATCTGGTCCCAAATTCTTGGGAACCAGCTTCGGCGACTTCGGTATGATCTGCTCACCCATTCCACATCCAACTGCAAGCATCCCAAACACAATACGGCCCGAGTTCCTCTTGCAGGAGCGGTCAAACACGTTGAAGACTACTCTCCTCAATCATCCTTGGCAGTGGTGGATGGGCCAAACTCTGGTACATGTTGGATCTGCTATGGCAATTTCCATCTTGGAATTCATGGAGATTTATCTCACAATCCAATTCTGTGTCCTGTGGCAATTTGGGAGATCTTTGGGGAGATCTCTGGGTTTGTGCGGAAGAATGCTGGCAACTCAACAAAGCCCATCAATTCGTTGCGGCCAACAAAGGCCTCCGGACAATGACTACAAAACTGCTAGAAATTGCCAGCTCAGCTGAGGAGTGATTGGCCTGGACTGCAAAGGTCTCTATGCACCTATGCTGTGTATCTGTGTGAAGTATTTTATAATAGGTTGCTGAGTATGTGTGTATGTTCTCACTATCACTAGCATCTACAACTAAAATCAGGAGCATGATCAACCACCTTTCTTCAGTCTTTCTTGGAACTGGTGATTTGCGAGGCCCGGAACTGGTTTCATAGGGTGCCTGTCAGTTGCTCCCCCATGGTCCCAGCAACTTCTGAATAGCCAGCTCGTTTTGCTTCATCTGCTGATTCATCCTTCAGCGCAGTGAATCAGATCTAGAGTAATTTCTGAAATGATGTGTAATGGCTCTAACGTGGAAAGCCGGATTCAGAAATAACAAATGAGGCAACAGCAGTTTCGTCTCGCAATCATCTGCGGCGACCGAGTTCCATTTCCAGCCTCTTGAGAATCTGCATCTGCTTTTGGTGCATCAGCCTGTCCGATACGAAACCAAGAGCTACAGACCTGAATCCGTTGGTCAAAGATGATGATTTTCCAATGGAATTTTGGAGCTTGTAAGGCCATACTACCCATGGCACTACAGATTTTCCCATCTTGTGATGATCATATGAGCAGCGTTCAAAACCCGCAGTATAGATTGGATAGTATAACCCAACCAACAGGTATTTTTTGTCACAGCCACTGCTCAAAGGGTTGCTCCTGAACCTGATGATCAGCTGCCTTCCATCACTGGTTTGCTCCACAGAATCATCAATTGGTTCATTGAAACATTAAATGCTGATATAAAATGTGACAATTACTTATGAATAACATCTAAGAACTCAATACCCTAACATCATCTAATCTCTAGAACAAATTGATCTGTGTCACTGTGTCACAATCTGTGTTTTTTTTGACCCAAAAAACATCCGCATCCCCGGGTTGAAAAAACCCAAGGCACTTGCTCTCGAAGCCCAGGCTCTGCAGATCGAGGCTGGTGGCCTCAATGGATTCACAACGGGCCACACTTTGGCCAAAGGGGATGGGAATTCACGAAAAACCCACCAAAAACAACTGGTCTATTTTTTGGGGGGGGGATCTCATACAGTATCTCATCCGTTAAAAATGAATTGACTAGAACATGAAAATTGATATGATCCCAATTGTATGTCCAACAAGAATCGAACCATCCGCAGCCGAGTGACAAAGCCTTTCATTCGCACGCAGGCGTGAGCCAGCCGTTTGATTTCCACTCCCTGGGGTCAAAATGTAGAAAACTATGTCTGATCCTACTTTCGGGTCAATTTTGAACCACGCCCTCATCTGAGAGTGGAGGATTGTTGGCCATCGTGTGGAATCCTATTATATATATATATATATATATGTCTCCAAATGGTTGCTTTTCACACCACGGTATTTTGCACTAGGGAGGAAAGCATTGGGAAGGTTTGTGCCTCCGAGCCGGTGCTCAGCATCGAAAAGAAGGTTTTGACCTCACAGATCGGCAGATTGTTTGGATGTGGCGATGGTCCCTTGGGCCCAAGGGGGCCCAAGGGGCCCAAGGGTTTTTGCTAAGTCAATTCTGTTTCAGCCAACAGGTCCGCTCACGGAAAGAGACTTCGAGTCGAGCCACGTTCTTCACATCAATGCCATGAGCAGACCTAGGTCTCAGTTCTCCGAGTTTTGAAACAAAAACAAAAGCAAAAAATAACCTGTTGATGAATGCAGTATCACCAAGAAATTTGGTGTAATTGTTGTTACGGTGGTACACAGCCAATACCACGTAACCTGAAGAGGGCACGCGCCTTTTAGCAGCGCGTTTGAGCCAAAAGTCGGTGTGAACCAAAATGAGTGATTCAATTTGGTAAGGCAGGTAATGACTTTGCAACAAGGTAGAAACTCTACATGAGGAAGGGTTTCTTCTTCAAGTCGCCCCTCGATACCATGTTGCATCCTTACAGCCCTATATACAATTTCCGGTGCGCACGGCGCAATTTCATCGGCCTGTACAAAACTAGGTCAGCTTGTAGTCAAAACCGCATTGTTTCAACATCATTGGCCATTCGATTGGAGGGACAATCTTCGTAAAGCCGTTTGCTTTCTGTTGAAGAGTGGCGCAGTGCTCTGCAGACAACCAGGGATCTTCAAGAGCTTCGGAAATCAATGCCACGTCACCTTATGGGCACGACCAGAATGGCGCAGCTTGGCGCTGTACCCAGCCTTCAGCACCTGAAGCACCGCACTGTTGTCCTGATGAAACTTCACTTCGACCTCCTTCCCGACGAGCTGTTGGAGAAACGACTGTAGATTGTAAACTTCTCGCCATCGCAATCATCTCAGCTTCCGTGGTGGAGCGTGCGAGCCAGCACAGTGGAAAAGAATGTTCGCCGCTAGCGACTTCTATCCACAAGCCCGAAGTGCTCTTTACACTATGTACACAGCCGGCAAAGGGAGGTACGATACACATCAATGCAGTTGTATGTCTTCAAATTTTGCCCAGGAAGTTACACGGCTGGCAAGCCTAGTTGCTATGAATGACAGGCCTTGCGAGCCTTGATAGCCACAGCAAACGCATCAAGATGTGGGATGCATCTTGTCCTAGTTCACCTGTCACTGACAAGTCTTCGTCAGTGACTGAGCTTTCTGGGATGCGAGGTGTTGGAACAAACCTAAACCTGCTTTTAAATCAAACCCAGTCAGTTCACAGTAGTTGCTGTCTGCATACGATCTCATGTCAAACACGCATGTTGTATGATCATGTGCGACCTTGAGATAGTGTTTCCTTCCAAGGATGAGCGTGCCCTCTTCGCGAAGGATGTACTGCTCAGGTTCAAGCTTCATGTCCAAAAGCCTGAATGACAACGTTCATCACCACACAAGGTCAAATCGTCAACATATACGTTGAGTAACAAAGTTGCTGTTGCGCTGCCGATCTTCCAGTTGATTGTATAGATTAGAATGAAAGAGATTCATGGTGATCGGGCTAGAGGTCTTAGCAATCCATTTAAATTGGTCAGACTTATCGTGTTTGATACGTTCTTTCCAAGATTTGAGGGCTTGCTCCTTTCGTGCAGAAACGAGGAGCTGTTCTCGCATGGAAAGTTCGGTGCGCCACAGCTTAAGAGAGCGATTTTGCTGCGGAAATAAACGATCAACTTTGCGATGCAGATGCTTCGCATGCTCTGTCCATCCAGTGGCATCCACACATCGTTGCAACTCATAGAGTCTTCCAATTGCATTCCGCAATTGACGTACCTCAGTGTGGCCATGGGTCAAACATGACGGTGTTTTTGTTGACGAATGCACGACTGAAATTGGCGAATTTTTATCATGCTTACCAGCAGTCATCTGGTCATATCTGTCTGGCAAATCATATGTGCAACTTTGAAAGTATCCTCAAATGCTGAACTCAAATCATGCCAATACGTGTCGATACTGTCTTGGCTGTATTCACAGTGAACTGAAAAATCTTGAACTTTCCAAGCAACCGCAATAGCGGCACGCCATGCATCGTCATCCACGTTCTTGGGTGGTCTTTACGAATTGACTTTTCTCAAAACGCCGTGGGAATCGGCATTATAGCAAGAGAAGGCGTATTCGGAGCGATACCGATTGGTTATGGCATAGTCTACAGTTCTATTACCATCCCAGAGTGTAGGTTTTAACCGACTGGGATCGAGCAAATCATACACAGCAAGCAGCCATCCATTCATGTGAGAGACTGCATAGACAAGTGGATTTTCACTGGGCTCCAAGTTCCAGTCGGGCAATGGAAAAATAAGGAGTATTTTGATTCCGTAGTAGTTCATCGAAAAGTACCTCCAAATAAGCATCAGCATTTGCATTAGGTCTTAGGTAGATATTGCAAAGGAGGAATCCAGCAATGTGAACAATTGATATTGGCCATCTGTCGAGCAAAATGTGGCTTCAACCTTGTGTCACCCAATTTTCTGAAAATACTCCAAGCGCTGGTTGATCTGATCGAGTCGAAGCCCGTATACGTATCGCCCAACAAAGAGATATTGCAAGAGTCGGGCGACTCTTTCTTTGAGAACCTCTGTGGATCCCTCGAGCGCGAGCTTTTCCCTGACGACCACCTCTGTTCATGGAGATGTTTCACCAATGGGCGTCCATCAAACCACTCTGCCTTCGATCAAGAGGCGACCTCGAACGTCTCGGGCGAGGTGGCATCGACGGTCGACGCGTGCACGGATGACCTTGACGATCAAATTGGTACGGAATCGGGATGTGATCTCGAGCCCCTTACTTGTCACGGATGCACACTTATTTGAACAGAAATTAAATGGATCCAGGCTCTCACACTAACAAGTCCTTAGGATAGCTAGGAGAACAGTCAGGCAAAATGCCGTGCTGGATCTTTTCAGCTGAGGGTGATTTCAACAAAGACACAACAAGTCACCATGTGTTTCAGGGACATGACTTATGATGTTATGCCCTCACAACTATGGTCTGAAGCAACGGTCAACAACTTATCACACTAAGGGACACGGATGCTTCTTAGATATAGATGTTCGGGTGTTGTGAAATTGGAGCTGCAATGGTATCCAGACTACCAATCCGGCGGAAAATCCGTCCTGGACGAGTACCGCCGTTTGCTGCACTGGAGAATCGAAGAACACCTATGCACGGACACTCAACGCGATGCGTGTGCTGGCAGTAGGGCTATCGATGGGAGAGGGTTAGAAGTGCAAGTGGGCTCAACAATTGCAGTTCTATATATGGATGGATGATCCGGATGAGGCTGTTAACCTGTTGTTAAGGTGGTACACAGCCAGCCACCACGTAATCTGAAGAGGGCACGCGCCTTTTAGCAGTGCGTTTGAGCCAAAAGTCGGTGTGAACCAAAATGAGTGATTCAATTTGGTAAGGCAGGTAATGACTTTGCAACAAGGTAGAATCTCTACATGAGGAAGGGTTTCACGTGTGATTCTTCAACTGTAATGACCATCATTGACCATCCTATACTAACTGATCTAACTGTTAGCTTGAGTTTGATCCACATCCACATTGCCTAAACGAATCACTCGCCAGAAGTTGAACATGGAGCTCTGAGGCCGTATTCAAGGCTCCAGCTCCACTGGAGCAGCTACATGTCACTGACAATACGAGTTGAACTAAGACCCTCATTGCTGCGAATGGGTCAACATGGGCCAACTCTCAACTCAGTTTTGATGCCCTTTTTCGACTTAACATCGCTTGCGATCCATGAAACAACTCACCCCATATCACCTTGTCATCACCACCATAGGTCCTGGTTGGCGTCAGTTAAACTCAGTTGGTGCGTCCCTTTCATGTCCCTTTTTTCGCCAGGCAACAAGTAGCAGCGGAACTTGGGATCATCCACCTTCTGTTTGAAGGCTGCGGGGCTGATCTCCTCCTCATCATCCACCTCCTCCGAACCCTGGATGGACGAGAAGAAATCCACCAGGCTTTTGAACATCGACTTCTCCTGGCTCAGCTGCCTCGGCGTTGGAAGAAGAACGCTGGATTTTGGTCCGTTGATGGCTTGCAGAAGTTGCGTGATTCATGTTTGGATAGTGCTGAGTGATCAGTCATTGAGAATTCACTGACTTCAGGCAACTCCCCTGTTGGCAGTACGGAGGCATGCTATGACTGATACCTCTAAAAAGTGAACCTTGACCATGTGACATCCACAACACCCAACCCAATCCAAGATATCCAAGCCGCTCCATGACAATGGCGTCCAAGTCTGGCTGTGCCAGCTTCAGCGCCTTTTCAACAAAGACACTTGTGACCTGAGATCAATCAAAACGTTCAAATAATGGATGTGCCCTTTTTATGTGTGGGTGATGTGTGGTTGTAGTCATCCCTACTGAGAAGCTTCGCATAGCATTTGCTGGGCCTTCATGCAGGAACAGGATGACACTAATTCAGCACCGCTAAGACTGTGTATTTATCTGCGGCCAAACAATTCTCCTGCATCCTTTTCCACGTGTCCGGACATTTCCACAAAGCCACACGTTTTCACCAGGCGGATATTGGTTCATGGGATGGTTGTCCGACCAAAGGTGATCATAACCTGTGGTCTTCTGGGCCCAAAAAAACTCAACCTGTGGGGGTTTCCTAAAATGAAGGTACCCCTTTAAATCATCCATTTCATGAAGATTTTCCATTAAAAACCAACCAGCTCTTGGGGATCCCCCATGACTGTGGAAACCCCCATATCTTGACCCAGCTGAGCTCATGGCAATGTTCCAAATTGACACGGTGAAGACCAAAATGAAGGCGATGAAGAGCACCTGAAGTCACTCACCACTTCCGGATGATTTGCACCCGGCAATCGGAGTACAGTGGTAGACTAGCACTTAGAATATATTTTTTTCACACATAGAATATGGAAAAATCCAAATTAACTCTTCACAGGTAGAATTTAGCACTTAGAATGTATTCTATGTGTGAAAAATTTAGAATCCCCAAAACATAATATTATAACAAATCATTGAAAAAACCAATGGTTTTTGCACTTAAGATATAAAGAAACCTGGCAAAATCAATAAAAAAATAAAGAACTTAGAATCCCCAAAAAAAATATTATAACAAAACATTGAAAAATCCATGGTTTTTGCACTTAAGATATGAAAAACCTTGCAAAAATCAATAAAAAATAAAGAACTTAGAATCCCCAAAACACAATATTATAACAAAACATTGAAAAACTAATAGTGCTGGTCCATCACAGTATATACTTTTTATCCGTGCCGCTGCCGACGCCAGTTGCCCGTGCCGTACGCTATACGCCTGTACGCCTGTACGCCTATACGTATTCTTTTGAAAGAGCCGTAAGCCAACCACAAAGTAAAACTCCAAACTAAGCGCAAATAACTTTAAAGCAACCCCAAAGTTAGCAACCCCAAACCAACCCTAAACAGACCCTCAGCAAACCCTAAAACTTAAAACGACCCTAACTGAGACTTTAATCAACCCGGACTAAAGAGGAAACAAAGCCGAAGCAAACCTTGAACCGACACTAAAACAAACCTTCAACCAACCCCAGAACAACTTTGAAACCGATCCAAAATAAGCCATAAACTAACTTAAAATAAATCTGGAACAGATCCTCTGAGCAAACCCTAGAACCGATCCCACATAACCACTAAACCAACAACCCTAAAACAAACAAACCCTCAAGCGGCTTGCAAACAAATCCAAACCCAACCCTAGAAACAAATAAACCAACCCTACAACCAACCCTAAATAAACACGCTAACCCTACATGAACCCTAAACCAACCCTAACTGAACAAGCAAATCCAAAAAACAACTCTCAACAAACCCTTTACCAACCATAAATATACCGCCCTAAATAATCCCCTAAATCGATCCCAAAGGGCACCTAGCCATCAACTCGAAAGAAATACCAAACTTGCCGTAAATAAACCGTAGGGCAACCCTAAATAAACACAAATCTACGCCAAAAACGAATCTAAACGATTTAAACAAACCCGCAATAGACTTTAAACTAACCCTAAGTAAGAGAAAACTCCCACTACAACCAACCCTAAACCAACCCTACATAAACCCCAAACCAACTGGAAAGAAACTCTAAGCCCAGCCGAAATAACTTAATCAAGCCAAGCCTAGAACAACCCCTAAACCAACCCTAAAGAATCGCTAACCCAATCCTAAACAGCAAGCCCGAGTAATCATAACTTCAAAACAAGCCCGAAACGTGGCCACTGCAATCTAATGAAACTTTAAACAAACCTGAAACCAGCCCTAAAACAAATTTAAACCATTCCAGATTCCAGACTAAACCATAAATTTCCCCAAGTAAAGATTAAACATACCTTCAATAAACCCGAAGAAACCAATAAATATATGCCCAAAAAACCCTAAACCAACCCTTGACCAAACCCAAAGTAAAGCCTGGACCCACCCGAAAATAAACCCTAAACCAACCCTACATGATCGAAAACTGACCTGGCCAAAAGCAAACCTTACAACTCTTAAGAAACCACAAGCTGACCCTGAGCCAACCACTGGAAATAAAGCCTACGCCAACTCTATTAAGGAGCCCAAAACCAACCATAAAGAAGCCGCAAACGAAGCGTGAAATTCGAACATAACAAACCGTTGTGGTTGCCGGTTGGCGGGTGGCCGATTGCCGGTGCCGGTTGCATATGAATAGCAATCATTTGCGATGCTAACTCCCCCAGTTGCGTATGAATTGAATAGCAATCATTTGCAAAAAGGGGGGTCAATTTTTGTAGATCGCCTCCCTTCATCTCACGTTTCTGGGCTAAAAATATCTGGGACCCCGCCTGCAGGACAACTCCTGTTGGCGCCAGTGCATGGAAAGCATCTGCCCAGTCCAATCCCGAAGTGGTGGACTGCAACAGGGTCACCTCAGCACTGGTGATGTAAATCTCAGTCGATGCAAACTGGTGACGCGTTAAGTCAGCAAAGTATATGCAAACAGCTAGTGACCAGGAAAGTGAGTTAGCCCAGCTTTGCAACCCAACAGCGAAAGGTTCAAGCAAGGTTCCAGGACTGTTCCGGCTTTTCGTGTCACCAGTCCCCGGCCCCAGAGATTGAAACCCAACAGATTCGCTGTTGGAAATTGGTAAAATTAGTGTCCAAATATTCCTGGAAATTCAACTTGAAACCAATACTTGCAGGTCTTCAACGTAACTGGCAGGAACCAAACTTGTGGCCGCAAACCAAAAACATCCCGCTGAATGCCAAAAGCCACCATGATGCCACTCACCGATGGGTAGAATTGCAGAATCCTCGGCCGACTGGAAATCTACCCTGAAATCGCGTGAGGTGTCTGATCTCATGAGCGAAAGCTGAAGGTTTCCACCTGTCCTGCACACCATTTTCTGAAAATTCCAATTCGAACAGCCCAGCATGGCAGATCAGAGGTTTTCCAGTCGCAACCAACACACATCCAGTCGCTTTTCGCCACATGGAACGACCCCTTGAATCATTTGGAACCAGACTTGTTGGCCATGTTTAGCATCCTGCAGCATCAAACCATTTGCTGCCAGAGATTCATTGCAGCACCAGGTCCTTCCGTTCCACCTTGGTCGAACCAATGTCCTGCGCCGAATGGATGGAAGCAGCTTGCAGCTAACTCATCATCTCATAAATTACAAGTCATATAATCTTACAAAGTAAATAAATCATATCAGAAACTGTGCTTCCAACTAAACGACATGGTATGTTCATAAGTGTAATAAGATTCAGAAGGGTTTTTCTAATGCGGTTTTCATGAACCTAATGAACTAGTCCTGTCGCAACACCAAGTTATGTTCTGGATCCCCATTTTTTCGATGTCTCGCGTCCTACGATTGCCTGGGCTATGAGAAGCGCAAAGATGTACTTCACGATGAAGAGCAACGCCACACCTCGGCGTAGCAGCCTTGAAAAGGCAAAGGCGAATGGATTTTTGTCAAGGGACTCATCGAATTCAATCCAGTTCAACATGTAAATTCACCCAGGCGCTGGGAAATCACCTTCATCCTTTTATATGTTTTATCAAATATTTTTTATACCTTTTATTCAAAGATGCCAGCGTCACATGCTGGATTGTCAATGTCAATCGGACTTTTAAAAAAAAAACGGTTCAACTGGTGATCCACGAGGGAGGGATCAAGTGGCGTCATTTCCAAAAACGTTCTCGGTGATCAAAATCGAAGTACTCCCTTCTCCCTTCCCTCTTTATTTTAAATTCAGAACTCGCCGGTTGGGTTGAATATTATTGAATCCAATCATTTGGAAGCTCATCAAAAGGGCAGATTGAATATCGAGGCAATTGGATGCCGTTCAACAACGTCACTGATAGAGAATTCCAAAGCCGGAAGTCAAGTAGGCTGTCTTCATCCAAAAACGGTGATACGAAGCAAAAAAGACACGTGGGTTGTCTGGTGCACGGGTGGTGGTGTGTTGCGCGTTTGGGTTCCCCGGCACCAAACAGCGTTCATCATCGACCCAACGACACACTCGGTCATCAAGCGCAGCTCACGGAAGAAGCGAAAGGTTCCTGACCGACTGTCGCTATGCGCTGGGACCAAGAACTGGGGAATCAACAACTTGACTCTTGGGATCAGAACCTCGAATCATAGCCAACCGTTCCATGTTGGACCCAAAATACCAAAGGAGCTGCGGATCACATGTTCAATCTGGTGTCAAACACGAAAGACTGGATTAATAAGCCCATGGGCCAATGGAGAGATGTTCCAATGCCCAAAAAAAACGCACTTGATGCTCTTGGAAGCCGAGCCCTAAGTGATGGCCCAGAGTTTCTGAGTCCGGAGCAACACAACGCAACGCAACGGCTCATACTGCACTCTCAGTGACCCTTTTCAGAGACATCCCACAAAGCTCTGGGGCGAGTATTTGCGGTTTTTCCTTCCCCTTGCTTACAGCATCTCAAACCCAGACGTGCTGAAAAAGATAGATGTGAATTTGGTGCCACCAAATCAGTTTGAACTCAGTGATTGCCAGGAAGTCATCGTGAACAACACTTACATTTGGGACTTGCCTGCATCGCCCCTCGTATTTGGGCTTTTCGGGCCCACAGGGCCCTTGAGCGTTACAGATCACATGGCAACGCAGATAAAACCTGAAGTGCCTGCTGTGCACGTTGCACTTGTCCATTTCCAATTGTGTTCAACACTTCGAGCGGTTGAAACACGCAGATCACTTTCCATATCTTCACATTGGTAGCGGAGCCTACAAGGCTCCTGCTCCATACCCTGTGCTGCAGCCATGTCGCAATCTCCGAAGAGACCTACGGCATTGGGCTCAGCACCTTCTGGTAGCGAATCGCAGTATGTCAAAGACAACTTTGTGCCTCGCTTTGACAACACCTTGACCGGGCACAAGGAGTGGAGAAAGCGTGTGGTGTTGTACTCCAGACGCTTGGCGGTCCAGGGCAGGGGAAAAGAAGTCGGAATGAATGTCTTAGCGATCCTAGAAGGTTCCAGCTGGACACAGTGTGAGGACATAGACTTGAAAGAACTCGAAGATGAAAACGTTTTATATAGATGCAGCAACATTTTCGACAACTTTTTCTTCAAGGTTCAACGGAAGACTGGTCAAACTCTCATGGAGTATGTCACAGGGTTTCATCAAGCCCTGAGGGAAGTCTCACGTCTGAAGGTGTCCTTGCCTGATGAGATCACAGGTTGGCTGCTTCTGAGCGTGCCGCACTCACCAAGGATCAGCAGCATCTTGTGCAAACTCAGGTCGGCAAGAACCTCACCCTGAAGAGTATCGAGCAGAGCATGTATCAGGTGTTCAGCCAGGACTACAGGCAGACCTACTTGGCCAAGGGCTTTGCGAAGGGCAAGGGCCGTCAACAGATCATGCATGCTGATGATTCATATGATGGTGGGAGTGAATGGCAAGAATACTATGAGACCGATGAGGTCTACTGGGATGAAGCTGGCGAATCACCTGACCGTGAAGGATACTATGATCCAAATGATGAGACGTGGAATGATACCTGCTATGAGACTGAAGAGTCCTACCAGGATGAATCGCTCTTTGACATCCAAGAGTATGATGAGGCTTACACAGCATACACCGATGCCAAGCAGCGCACACAGCAACTTCGTCAGGCCAGAGGCTTCTATCCAGTTGTGGCTCTCATGGGCAACATGCAGATGCCTCTTGCTGCGTCAGGCGAAGGGCAAGGGCAAAAAGTCAAAGAAACCCACCAAAGCTCCACCGTATGCTTGCAAGGGTCCTAAGGCTAGAGCCAAGCCTTTCTTTGGTAAAGTTGTTTGCTTGCGTTGTGGCAAAACCGGCCATCGAGCGGCCAACTGCACTCAACCCTCGAGCTCTTCGGCATCGGGCTCCAGCAAGAAGCGTGTCATTGATCTTGGTCCCATGGTGAACATGGTCTTTCGCCAGCAGTCTTCTTCATCTGGCGAAACTGATGAGTTCTTTGGCAACACCCATGCTTCTCAATCGTCCAGTGTTGGAACAGCTTGGAGCGGTGGTGGACTTTGGAACTGGGAAAATGAGGGTTCATGGGCGGCCAATGGACCAACATCGAGCGTGGGAAGCAAGATGCAATGCTTCTCAAGCTGGCTGACAATGTGCAGAATATTTCTGCAGAACATGATTTCCAAGACCCTCGATTTGATTTGCGAGCCAAAGATGATGATCACTCCAAAGCCGAGCATCTACGAGATTTTCTGGCAGATCTTCGAGCTGAAGATCGATATGATGAGATGCAATCCGAGGTTCAGTTCACCGAAGATCCTGATGATGAGGTTGAGGTTTTCTATGAAGCTGAAAGCTACATCAATGTGGAGGACGACGCCTCTGACGAGATCTTCAACGAGGATGAAGTGGTCGAACGAGACCTATGTGCGATGACCAAGACATGGGTCCTGGATGCAGGGCCAACTGACTGCAACCAATCGTCGCACAGCAGCTCTAACCAATGAAGCTCGAGATCATGCTCAACCCAGGAAGAAGCTCATTTGGGAGATCTACAGTGGCACAGGTCTTCTTGGCGAAACGGCTGAACTCATGGGTGCCGAAGTCATGCGATTTGGGCTTCACAATGGTTGGGACTTTACCAAATCATCTCATCGGCGCCAGCACTTGCAAATGGCCGATGAACTTGAACCTGATGAAATCTACATGTCTCCAAAATGCACCTTGTGGAGCCAAATGCAAGCCATCAACATCCACAACGATGCGAATTGGCAGGACCTTCAAGAGCGACGGCACTATGATCATGAAGTTCACCTCAAGTTTTGTCGAAGGCTTTACTTGCGACAAGTGCATCGAGGAGCACATGCCCATGTGGAGCATCCCAAGGGCAGCCTGGCCTGGGAAACACCAGCCTTGAACAACTTTGCCGGATGAACGAACCACCTTTCATCAGTGCTCCTATGGCACTTCTCTCCAGATCGACAACGAGGACTGGCTCGTGAAGAAGCCGACATCAATCCAAACAACCAAACGAGCCATGTGCAAGATCATGTCACGACTTTGCACTGGCGATCATCAACACGCAAGGCTCGAAGGTGGGAATCGATGCAAGAAGACCGAGAACTACCAAGCAGAGCTCTCCTGGCACATTGCCAGGGCTCTCATGCATGACGAAGAACTGTCTGAACAGGCCTATGCAGTTCAACAAGATCACGAAGCACAAGAGCTCACCGGCATTTTGCGGAAGCTTGGCACTCAACACAGCCACGAGGCTATCAGACTGGCCTACAAGCTCCATCGAAATCTTGGACACCCACGGAAGGAGACTCTTGTCAAGATGTTGCAGGCCAAGAAGTGCAGTCCCAAAGTCATTGCAGCGGTAGAGGCCATGAAATGTCCGTATTGCAACAAGTTCGCGGTCAAGAAACAATCAGCACCAGCACATGCAGAACGACCCACCGAGTTCAATAATTACAGGTTGACACCATGTGGCTTGACCTCAGCTCCATCGATGGCGCTCCAAATGCCACATCAACCGCTTCCAAAGGCCGAAAGATTGCAGTCCTGGTGATGATTGACACCGCCACAAAGACCTTGGAGCGGGAGTGGATCAGAATTTTTGGTCCGCGAAGCAGCTCAGTGTGGATGAATGGTCAGGATGGGGCAGTGACGAAATGTCCCAGTAGGCAGGGGAGCATGCCATTGAGATGCGCATCTCTCCAGGACAAGCTGCTGAGAAAATCCCTTTCCTTATTCATGGCCTTGGATGGTCTTCACAAAGCTCTCTCCTGGACAGTGCCCTGTCTCAATCAGAGCACCTTCGTCAATGGCTACACTCCAATGATTGACTTCGTCGAAGACTGGAGCTGAAAGCTAAGGCTCAGTATGCCTGCGCTCAAGCTGAGATCGACGTGAAGCTCAGGAGGGCAATGCTGAGAAGATTCACTGGGAATGACGAAGATCTTCAACCAGGAGAACGCTGCTTGTATTGGAGGGAAACGGGCAACCGCTTCCATACCAACCAATGGAAGGGGCCAGCAGTGGTTGTCGCCGTTCAGACAGACCCAGACACTGGCTGCATCGACACCTACAGGCTGGCACATGGCACAATGCTCTCCAAGCAAGCCGACAGCATGTTCGCCGACTTGTGAGCGACGATGGATTGGTCAATGGATCACAACGTGCCGAACAAGCACTAGCTGGCCTTCGCCAACGACGGGTTGTTCGCACAGTTGACCTTCGAAGGATCAATCAACACACCCTAGAAGAGCTGGAACCCGAGATCAGCTCACCTGAAGATCAACCAGACCTTCAAGATCAACAGATCCATGAGCCAGATCAACTACACCAACAACCTGCGCAAGTACCACAACAACCTGATCCCTTACACCAGCAGCAAGATCAACAACACCAACAACTTTCTCAAGCACCACACGAACCTGATTCCGTGCAACCTGACATGCAACCTCAACCGACAAACTCAACAACAAATCAACCTGTTGCTCCAAATGGCCCACACCTGGATGACACACTGATGCCAACCGAGATTGAAGCACAACTTCCTCACGAAGTAGTGCCTCACGATGAGGAATCTGAGCCACCTGGTTCCCAGCAGTGCACCACCTGCGCACCTGCGAGATCCAACATACATACCAGCTCAAGGAGAAACTTTCAGACAACAACGACGTCGCTTTGAACAGCAAGAGACCATCTGGATGAGAAATCGTCCTCCGCCTGTTCACGAACGCCCTGAAGGCGAACAGCAACAGCGAGCCAAGCGTGCACGCCAGCAAGATCAAGAACTTGAGATGCACGTTGATCTCTTTTGTGGAGGAGAAGGGCAAGAATCCACGGCACTGCCCGAAGGATGGTACTTTGACTCCAAAACACAGGAGTTCTATCTTGGCGGCACTGTGGACTGCTGGAGCTACGAGGATGACTTCCTTGTCCGAAACCATGTTCTCAGCAGAACCCACACTTTTCAGGCTGAAGAATTTCCAATTTCTCAAGACCAACTTCAAACCACCACTGGCCTGACTTTGCAGCGTGGATCAAGACAGGTCAACGTCAATGACTCCGAGCCTGTTCAACTAGGTCATGACCAGCGGTTTGGGAAGACACTCTATCCTCTGACCAAGGAAGCTGCTGACAATCGAGGCCAATACTACTTGGGTGACTTTTCCCAGAAGCTCCAGAATAACCAGACAATTCGATGCCGTGGTCATATCTGAGCAGCGCAAGTTTCCCCGAAGCGAAAGGCCGTGAAAGAATCTGCAGCTCCCCGAGAGAAGATGAGCTTGGAGATCGTTTCGCCTTCGTGGAGGGCAAGAAAGCTGAGCCTGCAGCCATCTTTGGGCACAATGTCTGGGAGGTGGAACTACATCCTGAGAAAGTCGACTGGGGGCGAGTTATGAAAGCTCGTTTTGTCCTCAAGTGGACCAGCGATGGAAGAGCCAAAGCACGGTTAGTGCTTCAGGGCTTTGGCGACCCAAAGCACGGTTGAATTGAACACCTCATCACCGACATTGGCAAGGTCGTCACGACAGTGCCTTTTGGCACTAGCAACATGCTCGATGTGGAAACTGTTCATCTCAGACGTCTCCACTGCTTTCCTTCAGGGTGATCCTCAGACTAGAATCCTGTGGGCCAAGATCCCAAAGGACGCTTGCCAATTGATAGGAGCGCCACCTGGCACACTCATGCGGCTTCTCAAAACCATATATGGACAAGCCGATGCTCCCAGACAGTGGTTTGTCGTTGCTCGACGCAGATTGCTCTCCATCGGCTACAAGCCGCATGCCTTGGACCAATGTCTCTATTTGTTGCATCATGGCCAAGATCTCATCTCGATGATTGGCCTACACATTGATGACCTTCTAGGAGGAGGAGACGAAAACCATGTGCGATATCAAGAGGCGAAGCAACGACTGAAGGCCGAATTCACCTTCAAGCATTGGCGTGAACAAGGAGAAAATGAGACGCTGGAGTTTTGTGGATGTCATCTCACACCCATTGAGACTGGATGGCTGCTCCATCAGAAAGGGTACCTCATGAAGGTGAAGCCAATCACCTTCGCAAACGGCAATCAAGAAGATCGAGAACTCAATCCAAAACAAGTCAGTCTGTTGCGCGCGTTGCTTGGAGGTCTTCAGTGGCCTGCTACTCAAAGCGCCTCATTTGCGCCAGCGTAAGTCTTCTATGCGGAGACGTTTCTCAAGCAAAAGGTGTCGACAGCCCAACAAGCTAACAAGCTCCTGAGATTCTCCAAGAACAATGCAGATACTGGACTGAAATTCACTCAGCTTGGAAAGCTCTGCATGGTAGCCTTGAGTGACGCAGCCTGGGGAGTGAGACGCAATTCCGGGTCCCAGGGTGGATACTTTGTCCTCCTCATGCACTCTAAGGTTCTTCAAGGACACATGGACCAGCCCTATATCATTCTTGATTGGCGCTCGTTCAAACTACCACGAATCAGCAGGAGCAGTTTGAACTCCGAAGCTCAAGCATGCTCAGCTGCCATGGATGCCTTGGAGTATCTCATGATCTCTTGGCATGGATGCATGGTGCATGATTTTGATTCGCGCTACCTGGACACTCAGGACATTGCTATGCAATCAGCACTGTTCATTGACGCAAACGCGTTGTTCGACAGCATCGAGGCCGAAGTTCCCCAACTTCAAGGAGACAAACGCACCAAGATTGAAATTATGATTGTCAAGCAGAAGATGGACGAAATTGGCACCAAGCTCCGTTGGATCAGCTCAGAGATTCAACTTGCGGATGGTGTCACAATCGTCAGCTCTTGGCCGACCGTGTCAGGACAAACCTGCTTTCTCTTCAAGCTGATCGAACTTTTCAGGCAGCAAAGCGAAAGACGCAAGCTGAACGACAAGCGTCAGCTCATCGCAATGCCAGTGGACGCATGGCCCACAAAGGCAGCCTGGGCTACGTGGTCTTGACCAACCAGCTTGTGCCAGTTCGAGGCGAAGATTCTTCACATGACCATTTCCATCATCTTCACATTTTTCATCATCATCTTCATTTTCGTCATTTGGCAGTGCTTTCAACGAATGACATGGGCCTTGAGGAGCTCTTTTGGCTCAACCAGGACAGTTTCCCCGCTCTTGCAGAGCACCTCGACTCAGACCGAACCGGACGGTGAGATTCCAAAGATGCGCCAGCACGTGGAAAATCAACGTCATCGAATTAACATGCTAACCCAGCAAGTCCATGACAAGGACGACACGATCACAGATTTGCAGAAATGGATTGACTACTATCAAGGAGACCTGGCATCGACACCACTTTGGGTGAGCCGAGCCGGTGAAAGATTTCATGTACGACCAGAAGGTGATTCCCTTCGACATGCCAACCCCGGTGGCATCAGAAGGATTACACTTTGCTCACATTGCATTCGAGATTTGCATTCGAGCAGCGATGAGTGATGACTCTGGCAATTTCCTTTTCTCCACCAATGTGAATTTGGTGCCACCAAATCAGTTTGAACTCAGTGATTGCCAGGAAGTCATCGTGAACAACACTTACATTTGGGACTTGCCTGCATCGCCCCTCGTATTTGGGCTTTTGTGGTGCATCGGCAGCTTTCCATTCGGGTCCACAGGGCCCTTGAGCGTTGCAAATCACATGGCAACGCAGATAAAACCTGAAGTGCCTGCTTTGCACGTTCCAATTGTGTTCAACACTTTGAGCGGTTGAAACACGAAGATCACTTTCCATAACTTCACAATAGAGAGTCAAGTCACAACCAAAATAGTAGGGTCCCAAACTTCTGCTGTAGGAACTGCTGTTTGGACTTGGCCAAGCATCGCATGATCCGAAGCACCCGAGCCAGCTTGAAGAGCCGCAAGACGCCTGGGCGCGTCTCTCTCTGGAGGTTCAACCCTTGAGATATCCAAACAAACCTGCCGGAGTTGTTTACTGAGGAAATGAAAAAATCCATAGGACAACTGGCAAGATTACCGCCCATACTTAGATGATTTCCCCATGAAAACCTAGTAACTAGCAACCGTTTCTGTTTTCAGATGATGATTGGGTCAGCCCAAGGCACGGATAAACATGATGTTGACAGATCCTGTGGGATCCACCGACGAGAATGCCGAGATGCAGTTCCTGGCAAGTATTTTCAATGAAACAACTTTACAGCAGGGCACAGCATGTCAAATTCCAGGGAATAGGTCGTCAAAAGCAGTTGGAAGTGATGGATTTCCACTTGCTTCAAGTGCAAGTCTGGCCATCATTTGTTGGTCAGCATTCACCAAGTCGAACTCAAGAGATTGCAGTTTGCTAGGACGGGGTATCAGTCGGAAGTTCAGTTTTCCCATGTGTGGTCTCAACAGCTGTCGGAACGACTGTTGTGCCACCGGGAAACTCCAGCAACACCAGTAGCACCAGCAAGAAGTCAAACGTGTTCCAGCACCAATCCTTCAAACCCGCGATGGCAGCTCGGAACTGCAAGATACTGATACTACAACTCCAAATCCAAAACTTTTTGAGGCTTCACCTGAAAAGGAGCAAACCATAGGTGATTCTTCTCAGCGTTTCGGGTCAATGTACCAATGGAGTATTGTTTACCCACATCTTCCTCCAAGCTAAGGCGGGTTCCACGACTTGTACCTGGTCTCTTCGTTTCTAGCAAAGGCACAGTGTTTTTGCCTCCATACATCGCAAGGTCACTGATACCTCGTCAGAATAATTTGTATATTACTTGTAATGACCAGTAGTACCGCACAAGGCGGTGGCGGAAGTTTCAAAGATAGGACACTATAGGAGAGGTGAGTTGTTGTGATGCATGGATGGCAGAGCGAATCCACTGATGGACCGAAAGGTGGTTGTGATTTTTGGAGTGGGTCACCTCACCCACAACTGCAGGATGTAGTGTGGTGTAGCGAAGTGCAATGTAATTGTAGTTGCAGCTGTAGCTGTAGTTGTAGTTGTAGTGTAGTTGATGTTGTTGAAGTTGCCATGTTGTAGTTGTGGTTGTAGTTGTAGTTGTAGCTGAAGTGTAGTTGAAGTTGTAGATGTGGAAACTATAGTAGTTGTAGTTGTTGGAGTTTTAGTTGTAGCTGTACTTGTCGCTGTAGCGTAGCGTAGCTGTAGCTGTAGTGTAGTTGTAGTTGTAGTTGTAGTTGTAGTTGTAGTGTAGTGTAGTGGTATTTGTAGTGTAGTGTGGTGTAGCGGTAGTTCTTGCTGTAGTGTAGTTGAAGTTGAAGCTGTAGCTGTAGTGTAGTTTGCTGGTACTGGTAGTTGTAGTTGTAGCGTAGTGGTAGTTGTAGCGGTCGTTGTAGTGTAGTTGACGTGTAGTTGAAATTGTAGTTGTAGCTGTAGCTGTTGTAGTTGTAGTTGTAGTTGTTGTTGTAGTTGCTGTAGTTGTAGTTGTTGTAGTTGCTGTTGTTGTCGTAGCGCAGTTGAAGTTGCAGTTGTAGCTGTAGTTGCGGTTGTAGTTGTAGCTGTAGCTGCAGTTGCGATTCGAATGTAGTTGTAGTCATTCTTGTGGTTGTAGTTATTGTAGTTGTAGTTGTAGCTGCAGTGTTGCGTAATGGTAGCTGCTATTGTAGTTAAGTTGTAGTCGTAATTGAAGTGCAATTGAAATTTTAGTTGTAGTTGCAGCTGTTGTAGTTGAAGTTGTAGTTGTAGTGTAGTGTAGTTGCAGTTGTCTATCTATCTATCTATCTATATATGTTTATCTATCTGTCTGTCTATCTCTCTATCGGTCTATCTATCTGTCAGTCTATCTAGCCATTTTGCTGTCTATCTATCTCTCTATCTATCTATCCATCCATCCATCTTTCTACCTACCTATCTATCTATCTGTCTGTGTACCTGCAAGCTTGAAAACGAAGCTACCCTGCAAGGCTTCCTGCATTTACGGGGTGACAATTTGGAAAACGAAGCAATTCTGCGCGACTTCTACCATTTTCCAACTTGACAACGTCAAAAACGCAGCAATTCTGCGAGACTTCCTCGATTTTCGAAGTTGACAGCATCAAAAACGAAGCAATTCTGCGAGACTTCCTCCAAACATGGAAAGTTGAATGCAGAGCTGACGGCCTCGTACCAATGCGCTTTGCGATTTTTCCGGTCCATCTGTCTAAAGTACTGCGCCTGCCATGGAAAAATGACGCCAAGTCATACGAACTGCTGCACCCCTCACGCAAAATCATCTTAGCAAACCTGACGATGTGATGCACCAAAATGCAACCACTCTCAGGAAATCAGCGCCCTGACTTATTAACATCTCTGATGAGCATGTCTCTTGTACTGCGCTTGCCACGCGAAATGCATCTTTGCAGATCCTCTTGAAAGGTCCCACGCCTGCCAACGTTTTTGAAACTGCTACAAAACCCTCACGTTTTGTTCACTTTTTGCGAAGGTGCACAATCCCTTGCGCCTGCCACACAAAACGACATCTGAACGTCCAAAAGTGCTCCGAACCCGTCTTTTTTAACACTTTTGACTTCGAAATGTGCTTCGCGCCACAACGGCGTGCACTTTTTCGACATCTCAATTTCCAAAAGTGATCCGAGCATGGTGTGCTTTGTACATTTTGACTTCGAAATGTGCTTTGCGCCACAACGGCGTGCACTTTTTCGACATCTCAACTTCCGAGCGTGGTGTGCTTTGTTCATTTTGACTTCAAAACGTGCTTCGCGCCACAACGGCGTGCGCTTTTTCAACATCTCAACTTCCAAAAGTGCCCCGGACGTGAGGTGTTTTCAACATCTACTTCGCGCTACCGGCGTGCAATTGTTCATCTTTCATCATTCATCTCTCATCTCGCCAGATAGCTCCGCACCCGCCGCTTTAGCGAGCCTGCTTTTCGACCCTCAGGAGCCGCAAAACATTGGAAAAACACAGTGTTTCGCGACTTTTCTACCTTGCGCGCACCTGCATCTTCTTTCTTCTGACTCTTTCTCTTCTCTGATCTTCTTTCTTCCGATCTTCTTTCTTCTTCTCTTCTTTTCTCTTCTCCGACTCTTCCCACCTCTGCTTTTTCATCTGTCCATATTGTCGGAAATTGGACTTTTATCTATCTATCTATCTATCTATCTATCTATTTATCTCTGTGTGTGTGTGTCTGTGTAGAGAGAGAGAGAGAAAGATAATGTATATGTGTGTGTGTTATATACACATACATACACTACATTGCATTGCAATGCACTACATTGCATTACATTGCATTATATGGCGTTACAAGGCATTACTTTGCATTACGTGGCATTACATGACATTGCATTACAACTCAATACCATACTTAATACCGTACTTAATGCCGCGCTTAATACCATTCTTAATACGGTTCTTAATACCATTCTCAATACCGTGCTCAGTGCCATGCTCAACGCCGTACTTAATACCATACTCCATACCACACCATACCATACCATACCATACTGTTGCATGGCAAGGCATGGCATTACATTGCGTTGCATTGCATTACATTTCATACAAGTCTTATCTAAATAACTACACTATATATACACTTAAATGTAACATCCTGAGTCCATGCTAACATCACTACTTTTCTTTTGGTCCTTCAGCACCCATTGTCACAAAACAGTAGACCCACCCAAATATGTCTTGCAACCGCAATCGCTGGAGCACACCAATACAGACTTCATACCGCAAGTGAGCGGCTGAACCAAACACCGCAAAGCAAGACGAACTCAAGTTAATCCTAACCCATTCCTTTTAGGTGGCAAATTCACCTGGTACCCTCACCCGTAGCAAAACATTCATGCCGAACTTAATATTGTTGGACACTTTGGAGCACTCCCACTCTTTCGGTGAGACTCAATAGAAGCACTTATCAAACGCTGGAGTCAGAAAGTGCAGACAGCTGAAGCGATCTCCAAAACTTGGGATGACTTGTAGGATTGTAGGGCTTGGATGACCAATCTCAGAGATCCCAAGCCCCGCCTCATTCAAAAAGAAATAGAAGCGATGCACCGCCAACTTCGCTGCCAGCTCCAAACCTGACGCTGCGAAGCAGCCAGGCACAGATCGAAATCCGATGTGAAATCCGAGCACGGCATCCAAGTCCACCATGCTGTCTACGTGGCCTAAAATATGATGCGATACAGTGACATAGCAGGGGTCAAGAAATGGGTTCCCCCAAAGATGGATTTTTACAGCCAAAAATGATGATAGTTTTTGATCCATCCATGAGTCTCTTTCTGCATTTCAATTTCCCTAACCAATACTGTGCCCAGCAGCAGTAGAAGGCTGAAAAGGCCCATTCCAGCGCTTGTTCTGGTTCTACACTCACACCTGATCGGCTTGTGGCCAAATTTCTCTGCACTGATCAAGTTAGTGAAGGATGCAAATAAGACGTTCTTGGGCACTATCCTGGACTGACCAGGAACAGACCCTGATGTGATGTCCAATTCGAACAAAAAGGCAAGTTAGCATTTCACAAAACCATGAGTGAGCCGGATGTGAATTTCAAATATGTTCAAATGAATCATCGGAAACTCAGATTTTGCAGCGTTTTTGCAACTGAAGTTTCTTGAAGTTTCTTGGAGTTTCTTGGAGTTTCTCCCACCTCTCGGCATGTGGTTAGATCCCTCTTTTGTTCCAAGCGGCCAGGAGAAGCAAGTTCGTAATCCGCCCAGAGAGTGATGTAGATTGTATTCGATAGAATCACCATCAAGGACAGGAGATTGAAGTAGACGCTTTGCCTCAATGTGAATGTTGTTTTCATGCAGAAACTCTGGTGCTATGCTGCTCCTTTGCAGTGTTTAATGGGTATGATTCTCGTTGATTCTCCCCATTCAATGCTGCAAAGGGATGCGGGATATGTTCTATTTCATTATGTATATATATATATATACATATATATATATATACATATATATATATATACATATATATATATACATATATATATTGTTATCGTATATATATATTGTTATCGTATATATATATATGTACATATTCTACATCCATCGGGAACCAAATAAGTCTCAGAGCAATACCGCTGCTGGAACTCCAAAACTATCAGGTCTGTTCAGTCCAGACACACCACAACTGCAAGGCCTCCTCGTCTTACTGGTTCACGAATCGTCTCCTAGGGAGCTGTCAGTACGCCCCTGAGTTTCACCCCCTTTCCCCTTTCACTGCGCAGCAGAAACAAGGGCCTGAATTCAGAAAGGGCCGCATCCTCTCATCCTTTCGGTCCAAGTTTCCAACATGTCGAAGGCTCTGGCCATTTGATTCAACCCTCGTTGGGCGAGGCTGTGTTCCCTCATCCGCTCGGAATGTTGTCGCAACGTGGCCGCCTGCAGGCGAAGCACCGGTGACAACGTGGAAACTACCACCTATCCCAGCGGACTCACGATCGAGCCAGTTGAGCCCAGTTCCACCATACTGGTGGCTGTTTCCAAACCCCCGGGCCTTGCCAGAATGCGAAGTGGCCAGTGCCGGCATGTCCCAGGATATGTCAGCGTCACCGGATCCCTCGGAGAAAGCCAGACCCACCTGGGCAGTCACCATGGGCACAAGAATCTGTGGGTACATGGTGGTTTCCTAAAATGATGGTACCCAATAATGGATGGTGTATAATGAATGATATGAATGGTTTATATTATATCCCATGGATGATGGTACCCCTATTTTAGAAAACATCCTCTGTCCTATTAATTTCTATAAGGTCATTTGCAGATGTCATGTTTCCATGTCCAATGTGTGTACAGGACAAGGACTCATCATACAACTACGGATCTATGTTCACATGAAGACATTCTCCTATGGGTGTGGGTCCAACATGCTCCAACAGTGGATACCCCAAGAATTGGAACTAAAGCTTTGGTTTGGCTGGGTACGTCATTTTGATCTGTTATAATCCGGGTGGATGAATTGTGGGGCCTGGATGTGATAAATCGGTATTGCGAATGGCACCCCGTCCCCACACCACTAGACCAGGCACTTTTGATTATCGTTATTTTCTTAAAACTAGATAAAACTAGTAGATCTCACTCATTCTGGGGCCACAAAAACCACAATGGGAGTTCTCCGTTGCCTCAGCCTTCACAGCCGTTGCCGACCTCGGATGATCCACCCATGGCCCCATGGTGATGAGCTTTTCATGTCCACAACATGTTGTATGGGTTTTGTAGTTGCACCATGTTGCACCATGTTGCACCATGTTGCACCCGTTTCTAGAAGTGTCGCGCAGCAAACATGTGTGTGTGTGTGTCCTAATGCTTGCAAAAGTTTGAACGAGGGTTTTCTAAAATGGGTGTACCCCCAAATCATCCTTTTTTGGTGATTTTCCATTATAAACCATCCAGCTAGTGAAACCTCTGGGAACAAGGAGATTGTCTGGGGCATTCTTCGGCCACCTATCGGACCTATCGGCAACGGTTCAATGCCAAGAGACTTAGCAGTATTGCTGGTATTGTCAGGATCAAAGGTGATGAGATGATGTGCCTTTCGCCACGGGCGCCACAGTGCTTTGCGCATCCGATTGTTGCTGGTCCACCAGTTCTTCAAACCCGGCCGGTCGGTCACCGAGAATGGTGGTTCTCCCATCCTAGAGACATCCACCTGGACCTGAAGTTGGCAACCATTTTGCCATATTTTTCCCATTCAGAAAACTGCACGATCGAATTGATCAATGGAATTTATCCATATTTATCCGATAATTTGTCACCTTGCGAAACAATGTGAAGGTTCATCAGGCGCCCAGTACCTCGATTTTACCGTCAACTACACGGGAGCGACTTTCAAATGCGTTCCACTTTGAAGATTTGCCAACCAATTGTGAATTCCAGTGTATCAATGTAACGCATCCGAACCCCAGTGGGACCCACCCAGACCTGTGGCGTGTCCATCTCGTTGGCCAAACCCTTGGTACATCCATGTTGAAGCCCAGCTGGGATGGGATGATAAACTCAGGGACCCCCGGGCTCCCCAAGGATCTTCCTTTGATGGGACAAGGATGGACAAGGTATCCCAAGGTATCCCAAGTTCACGAGGATAGGGCGGCCCCTAAGCTGAACATTGTCGACACACACATAAAGGCCACCTATGCAGCAATGGGGACAACTATTGTGTTCGAACTGGGTTTATGGGTGTTGGTCGGAACGCACCGCACTGCCAAATCTTCTGTGGCACTGCAGTTCAAGCTCTGATCAGATCAACGTTGCCAAGAGACAAAATCCACTATGAGGTGTCCCACACAGGATTGAATCTTCTGACACAAATGTTCCTGGCGAAAAAGTCTAAATGACTGAAGATACTGCAGAAAGCATCTCAGAAAACGGCAAGCTCCGTCCAGTGTCCCAAACCGAGTGATGTTCCTTTCATTTCCTTTCCAAATCGGAACCCAAATTTACATTTCGGACGCACGAACAGGTCATCTCTCTTTGATGGATGTCCATTTAGGTCCCATCCTTTCAGAGACTCCCTTCACTTCGGTCAGCTGACAGCTGACACAAGGGGCTACTGTGCCATCCGTCCTGTTCCATGGCCCTCTTCTGATGCTGCTGTAGCAACTGCATACTGCGCCTAAGTTGGGCGACCTGTGACCGGATTCTCAAACGGAAGGGTCCCAGTTTCACCTGGATCGTGACGACTTGCCCGATTGGTCAAAATTCATGGAAAAAATAATGAACATTGGCAACCGGAGTGACCCCACAGCAGCTTTCCGAGGCGGCCCAGGGGCTGATTCTCTTCCACAAAACCCTGAAGGGAGGAGACCTTGGGGGTCAAGAGTCTCAAAACTCAATGGCTTTCACATGATTTCACATGTGATTTCACATGGTTTCATCGTTTCAGCAGTTTGGGATTTCACAAAGTATGTGTCCCACATTGGATCAACACCAGAATCGACCCAGTTACCCAAGTTTTCGCCCATCGCCAAGTCACGACCTCCCTGAGCGTCCCTTCCAAGCTGCGGGGCAACATGGACTCACCCTCAGACATGACCTGCCTGACAGGAGAAAGTTGGAGAAAGTTGGAGAAAGTTGGAGAAAGTTGGAGAAGGTGCTGACTGCTCACCAAACTCTTGGGAGATAGAGCTCTCCCCAGGCCGAATGGCGCCAAGCTACTCAAACACTTGCTCAGATCCGCTCTGTTGCAAGCAGCTGAACATGGGGGATATACGACGGCCGTCTCGAATGTAACCAGGGATCTAGTGGATCATCTCGCGGGCGTAGTGATCCGTACTGTCTGTGCGTCAAAAGGCATGGCATGTTGGTCATGTTGGTTGATTTTGGCGGTTCGAGCCTGTCTTTGCTAGGAAGATTCATATTAGATATATTAGTCAGAACCATTTCAGAACAATTTCAGATACTGTAAGTAGCGGCTGCTTGTGCCTGCTGCATAGGTTGATGTTCAAGTTTCATGGTGGACTCACTGTGTCACGGAGCCACAAACATCCGCAACTGCTTAGGTGACCACCCCTGGCAGAAACCCACAGTGCACAGATTCACGGTACTCGGGTGGCCTCCAAAAAATAATTTCAGGGGCCCATCAATTTACGCAAAGCATCCCAAATCCAAACCCACCATTATCATGGATCATCATGGATCATCATGGATCATCATGGATCATCATGGATCATCATGGATCATGGATCATGCATGAAGTTCAGCCCGTCCCCTAGTAGCTCGCATTTTCTCGTCTGCTGCGACTCGGGGCGCTCAGTGCTCACCAGCCTGGCAGGTGAATCATCAGAGTCATCAGATTTGGATATACAAAATCCGCCCGCACCGAAGGTGCTGGGGCGTGATCGTCCGGATGGCACTCGTAAAAGGTTACAGGTTTACCTGGGGGGGGGGGCATTTTTCGGCCAAAACCTCCTGTTTTTGATAGGTCGTGACGCTCGCCTTCAAAAAACACTGTAAAAAACAGTACGGAAGACACCTGTTCGTGAACGCGCCCGTCCAAAATCGGCAAGCGAAAAGTGAAAAAAACCCGTGTTTTTCAACTTTTTGACCTCAATTTTTTGGTTTGCAACATCTTTTTTTGCGGTTCCGCAGGTGGCCTGGCCCGGAGGCGGATTTTTGAGTTTTTGGACCCGTTTTCGGACTGATTTTCGTCGTTTTGTGATAGCAGAAACACTGGTTTTTACAGTGTTTTTCTGTTTTCTGCATGCTTGACGGCTAGCTTCAAAACTTCCAAAAACCTCGTAAATTACGCTGTTTTATGTTACGGTGTGAATGAAAACATCGTAAATACCAGTGTTTTTTGACGTTGGTTAAAAAAACACTGTAAATTACAGTGTTTTTGGCCACCTGACCCTCAAAAACCATGGTATTTGCAGTGGTTTCTGCTTCTCACCGCGCAAAAACACTGTAAATAACAGCAATTTCGCCGTTTTTTCATGTTTTTCGTTATTTTTTGAACTGCGTTGGTCCGCTATACATGGCTATCAAATTCTTCGCGTTTTTTTTTTTCCGACAATCAGTACTTTCGGATGTTGTGAGCCCAACGATGCGGTGCGGGCGGTTGCCGTCGCGAAGCGACGTGAATATTACAAAATTCTGATGGTATATCTGATGGTCAATATGCTAAAGATAGGGGAACCATTCAACATCATTCAACCGTGAATTTTGAACGCTGCCTCGCCCGCAGCATCCCCCGCGTCGTCAACAGCGCCCGCGGCGTCGCCCACAGCGTCGCCGGCAGTGTCGGTGGCAGCCGCGGGAGCGGCCCTGGGAGTGGCTGCCATGCTGAACCAAATGAGATGAGGAGATTCTGCAATTTTTCAAAATTTAGGGAGGCAACAATCGCAACAATGATCCAGCAATCCACCAATCTCCATCAAACTTGGTGCACATGATGACATGCCTGCTGCATATTCGAGTTCAAACAAAAACCTGCTATGAAAGATTCACCAAATGAAAAACAGGCTGGTGATCCAAAACGATCGGCGTCAAAAGGAATGCGATCCTCTTTTGAAGAGACCACTAGGTAGAAAACCAGGGGCAACGTGGGGCAACCAATCCACCAAACACTGAGACCGGAGCTTGCTGAAACGATCCATTCTCTTTACTCGCTTTCGTTTTTCCTCGTCATCTGCCTGTAGCAAAATGAGTCAAAATGAGAGATGAGGCTTGAAAGTTCTTCAGGGATCTTGATCTGTAGAAACATCATGAAACATGTGGAAAACTGGAATGTCGAATTAATGTGGAAAACAGCCCCAGATGTCGAATTCATCTTCGGGTGAAGCCATGGCCGCCATGGCCGCCACGGCCGCCTCCCAGACCAGTGGCTTTTGCGGCGCATCTCTGCGCGCGTTGCCTGTCAGTTTAGTTCAAGATCCTCGCAAGATCCGCTTGATCCACATCTCGCAACTCCCAGCCTCCGCGATTGGTACCCCAATCATCCTGTGGGCCGCACAAAACATTCGATTTTTGTGCAAATCTGGGAATGCCATGGGATGCCCAAAAGCAAAAATTCAAAAACACCAAAGTTGATCACTGGAACTTCGATTTCCCCCGCACAGCCCCAACGCTTTCAAGTTCTTCACACTGCCATTGTTTGTGTTTCTGAAAGTAACCGACAATTCGGAGTCTAGGTTCCAAACGGCAGGATTTCCATCTCCTGGCTCCAAAGAAAGTTGAGATGTTTGCTGGCGGGATCCTATATAGACAAAATGGATCGAAATCGATGATTTTTGCTCACTTCAACATTTCAAGATTGAGAGGTTTGATATCACCAACGAAGCAATGATCAATGACAAGGAAATCTCACAAACAACGGAGAGATCAATGATCAGTGAGCTCTGGTTGTTTGCATCTCATGCCCTTTTGGCACTTTCCCACCTCGACCACGCTTCCTGGGGGCGGGTCCAGGCACCTCAGAGGGTGCGCCGGCACCTCAGCAACATGTCATATTTCAGAACTCCTTGGGTCATGGAATACTGGGCAAATCTGGGCAATTGACCTAAAATACTTTGAATATCGTAGAATGCCTCAAATGGAATGGTTGAGGTCCTGAAATGACCAGCATCTGGGTCTAGCTGTGGCCCAAAAAAATATGGATTGTGAATGAAACATGAGCAAATTCTGTAGGTCCTTTGACACTGATTCATGAATTTTGAATTTGCTCAGTTGGGAATGCACTTCACATGTTGCTTTTGGGTAGTTCTTGCTCACCCTAGGGATCTGGCGGTCGTCGTGGCCCCACGCTCCTAAGCACGAAGGAGCTATAGGGGTGAACTTTCATGTATATAGCAACCCGGGATCTCACATCGTCTATAAACACTAAGAATCAACATACTCGGCCGCAAATCCATGTGGTCAGGACCAAGCAACAGTCGGTTCTGATGCAAAAACCAAAGGAACCTTCCTTTTGGGACGAACCCGCAAATTGAGATCACACAGAGGTGTGGGTCCCAAATCATCGGCTCAAAGGGATGGTTGAAATATGTCGTTTTTCCAATGGATTTCAATGGTTCGGGTCAGCACGGTCAGCTCAATAGACCTTGACACCCAGAAAGATTGGGCATGTTCCCAATGTTCCCCTTTCTTTCAGCCTGGAGCAGTTCCAAACACAACTCTGCCCAAGTCCGCCCAAGTCCCGCACGGCTCACGCGAGGCCGATCCATATCTTGGAACTGGTCGTGCCTCCAGTCCTGATCTCGACCTGCAGTTGGCCCCAAAAAATCGATGGAAAATGCCAAAAACAATGAAAACCTCATATAAAACCGAAGTTTCCCTACAAAAAATTGGGGCATATCATCATATCCCCCATTTTTAGCAAACATGATGATGTTTATCTCAGTACCAGCCATATGGATGTTTCATAAATTGGGGGTACCCCCAAATCATTCATTTTCATAGGATTTTCCCATTATAAACCATCCAGCTCCTATTATAAACCATCCAGCTCTTGGGGGAACCCTATTGTAAGAAACCTCCATATAACAATGATTGCAGATTGAGGATATATGATTATATATGATTGACAATAATTAATTAATATATATATATCATAAATTGTTCACATCAATGATGAATGATTCGATTATTATATAATTTAAGCTATTGGGACATACTGTGACATATCTATGGGTAGCATCAAAATCATGACCACTCCATGATGCCATGGGTCCCATGCTCACCTCTTCTCCTGGGAGCGTCGCGCACATCCCGCCGCGAGCCTGCTAGCGGAACTGGGAAATCATGGTGGACAACTCGGTGAACAGTAGCTAGTAACTCGGTTAGTAATGGTGAAGTCCCACTATATAAATCGTATTAAATCGTCATATTTTTCATGATTCATGTGCACTGAAATGTAAACGGACGCAGATGTGGAAACGCACCATCGTTAGATCCTTTTTTGGGTTTTCCACATCTATGTTAGTTTACACCAGGGTGAATAACCTTATAATGAGGGTAACAAGCACAACAATCAATCAACCACCAGCTAGAATATCTAATTCTAATCCAATATGCTATCATAATGCTGGACTATGGAAAGTGGCCAGAAATAGAGTGGTTTGGTACCAAAGAGTGGATTGAGTGTTTGCGCATTCTGGCTCATTGCTCCACTAATGAAGAGTTACACTACTATTCAAAGCCAGCAACATCAGCAGCAGCACAAGGGAACTCCAAGATGACGCAGCCGAAATATCTGTTGACATCAAGCCCACAGCAAATTCAGCGCAGCTTAAGCCGGAGATTGTTACAAATGGTTGTTGGCAGTGTTCCACCATTGCACCCTCCACACCTACAAGCCATTAGATGCACTGCCAGCGTGGATCCACACCTGTCGGCCCAGCATCTTCACGCGGTTCCAAGTCATCTGCCTGGCATCCGCCAGTGGAACCAATGGGTCAAAAATGGGAGCAATGGACCAAAGCAGCCTTTCTTGGTGGCGAATCCTTTTGAAAGTTTTGACCCATGTCTGAATCTTCCGAAACCAAAACACTGAATGGACCCCACCTGCGCATGACGTCCCCAAGCTTCTTCTCCAGTTCTTCGGCCTGGGGGTTCAGCTGTAGCATCCCCAAGCTTAGTAAACCAAACTCCCAGACCAGGGAATGGAAGGTACACCCTAAGTGTGGAATTAGAAGTTTGTACCTCAAAGCTTGAAGGATTTCACAAAATCTGCAGGTTTCTGGGTCAAAAAAGACACTTTCGTACTTTCATTTCCAAGGACAAATGATGAAAGCCCTGCTGGCGCCTGCGTTTTTGGCCTGCTGTGCGAACCAACTGTCTTCCCACTTCTCCTGTGACCAGCAGCGAGAGAAGACGGAGTTCTGTGAGGGTTGCTGTCATGTAGGTCATGTAGGTCATGTAGGTATCAAGATTGAAGAGTGACTCAGCTTCCTGGCCATATGCAAATCATGTGCAATTGACCATCCAATTCTTGGGCCGCTGCAGCCGCTGCATCTTTTTTAAGGGCCGCTCGTTCGATTAAGCGCTGGCCCCTGCTGAGCACGGGGCTCCATCTCTAAGCGCATAGGAGCACCAGGGGTGCCCCAAAATCGGGACTTTCTCAGCACCAAACAGCGATCGAAGATCAAAGGAACTCTGATTCTCTATAAGACCTATAAGTGAAATTAAGTGAATCTGTTTGGATATCTTTGGACATGTTGGATATGTTCCAATTGTTTCTACTTCTTTGAACATGTTGACCCTTGATCCCTGGCGCAAACTCCGGCTCCATATCGCATCACACGGCGCACGGCCACGGGTGAAGCGTACGCATTGGCCGCATTGCCAGGTGGATCAAAGCTTGGCGCTTGGTGTTTGTTAAAGTGTCAAAGTATGCCAAGGTATATCAAAGATTACCCTCTGGTAATTTAACATAGCTATAGAAAATCACAATTCTTAATACGTAAACCATCTACCAGTAGTACCGCACAAGGCGGTGGCGGAAGTTTCAAAAATAGGAAACCTATAGGAGACGTTGGTTGTTGTGAATCAGGGATGGCAGAGCGAAGCCACTGATTGACCGAAAGGTGGTTGGAGTTGTGTTTGCTGGAGTGGTTGCAATGGTTGCAGTGGTCACCTTACCCACAACTGCTGGATGTAGTGTGATGTACTGCAACTGTAGTTGTAGTTGTAGCGTAGTGGAGTTGTACTTGTGGTGTAATGTAATTACTGTAGTGTAGTTGCAGTCATATAGTTGTAGTTGTAGCTGCTGTGTAGTTGTAGTTGTTGTGTACTTGTAGTTGTTGTAGTTGTAGTTGTAGTTGTAGTTGTAGTTGTAGTTGTTGTGTAGTTGTGTAGTTGTAGCTGTTGTGTAGTGTAGTTGTAGTTGTAGTTGTAGTTGTTGTAGTTGTAGTTGTTGTAGTTGTTGTTGTTGTTGTAGTTGTTGTTGTTGTAGCTGTTGTTGTAGTTCTAGTTCTAGTTCTAGTTCTAGTATAGGTTCTAGTTCTAGTTCTAGTTCTAGTTGTTGTGTAGTTGTAGTTGTAGTTGTAGTTGTAGTTGTAGTAGTAGTTGTAGTAGTAGTAGTTGTTGTTGTTGTTGTTGTTGTTGTTGTGGTTGTTGTTGCTGTTGTTGTTGTTGTTCCTGCTGTTGTCGTCGAAGTTAGGGTAGTGAAGTTAGTTAAGTTAGTCAAAGTCAAGTTAGTTAAGTTAGTCAAGCTAGTTAAGTTAATCAGTGTCTACTTTTTCGACATCTTAACGTCAAAAAAGGCTCAAAACCCTCAGTTTTTTACACTTTTGACTTCGAAATGTGCTTCGCGCCACAACGGCGTGCACTTTTTCGACATCTCAACTTCCAAAAGTGGTCCGAACCTGGTGTGTTTTGTGCATTTTGACTTGGAAATGTGCTTCGCGCCACAACGGCGTGCGCTTTTTCAACATCTTAACTTCCAAAAGTGGTCCGGACCTGGTGTGTTTTGTACATTTTGACTTGGAAATGTGCTTCGCGCCACAACGGCGTGCACTTTTTCGACATTGCAACTTCCAAAAGTGGTCCGAAGCTGGTGTGTTTTGTGCATTTTGACTTGGAAATGTGCTTCGCGCCACAACGGCGTGCACTTTTTCGACATCTCAACTTCCAAAAGTGGTCCGGAGCTGAGGTGTTTTGTACATTTTGACTTGGAAATCTGCTTAGCGCCACAACGGCGTGCACTTTTTCGACATCTCAACTTCCAAAAGTGGTCCGAACCCCTGGTGCTTTGTACATTTTGACTTGGAAATGTGCTTCGCGCCACAACGGCGTGCAATTTTTCATCGCTCCTGTGGCCAGCTGGCTCCGCACCCGCCGCTTTAGCGAGCCTACTTTTCGACCCTCCGGAGCCACAAATCATTGGAAAAAACACAGTGTTTCGCGACTTTCCTACCTTTTCGCGCATCTGTATCTTCTGTCCTCTTACTCTTTCTCTTCTGATCTTCTCTCTTCTAATCTTCCTCTTCTCTCTGCCTCTGCCCTCCTCTGCTTTTCATCTGTCCATATTGTCGGAAGTTTGACTTCTAAACTTCCTTCGATAAATGGGTAATTTTCCATAGCTATGTTAGTTTACCAGAGGGTATATCAAAGATTATCAAAGATGATCAAAGTCATGTGGGAATGGCTCAAAACATGTCAAAACCTATGAAATTACCATCTGACCGGGGGAATCAACGAATCAACATCCATTCACCCGTGTTTCCTTTGGGCGCCCAAAGGCCCCAAGGGCCCGGTGCAGGATGGGTGCATGCCTTGTAAGGCCCAACGAAACATGTTTTCTTTATCCACATGTTATCCATGTGTTAGTGTTTTGTTTATCCATTGTTTATCCATATCTTGCCCATTTGTTCATGTGTAAAATCATATATTGTTTCTATCATCCATTTTCAGATCCAGTGCTTATAAATATTGGAAATGATATATCTCTTATCCATGTCTTGTTATACTCATTTATACTATCATATACTATCCATACATTCATGGTATATATTCATGGTTATCCATCGAGAAATGCCCCTGTTGGTCCACCTCACCATGTCTTGGCTCGCTTTCCCGAGGGCTGTCTCAGCTCGGCGCCCTGGTCGAGCTTCAAAAATCAAGGGATCTAACCAACAAAACATATCGTAAAATGATGATTTGTCGATGGTTTTTGATGTTTACCCAGCAAAATCTTGACTTCTTTTGCTGATTCTTGGATGTTTACCCAGCAATCTTAGTTGATGTTTCGATGTGTTTTTCCAAGTTTTGCGATGTTCTATCGGGAAAAAAAACGATGCTCAGAGATCTGCAATGATCCAAATCCAGATCCGTCTGGAGCTACAAGCAGTTGGAAACTGGCAGTCAATTTGGTGTCCACATCCCCGCCTGGGGTTGGCCCTTGACATTCAGGAAGCAAGTAAACTCCACCTCGCTTCCGACCTAGCCGCTGAATCCCATCATCCCATTCCTCCGTACTTCCTCCATTTTGGGCCGCTAAATGTGTGTATCAGTGACCTCTTATGACCTCTTTACCCACAGGTTCTATCATGTTCTATCCCAAGGTGAAGTAAATCCGACCAACAACTGCACCTGCAAGCCACTCTCCAAGAATTGTGCCTGGCAAGGCACAAAGACTGCAAGTTGCAGCTTGAAAAAATGATATGGTGCTCACAACAGTTGAACCCCCAACAAAATGGATCCCAGAATGCCCCGAAAAGGTATCAGTTGGCACCACCACAGGTCCGTTTTGTGGAACCATAATCAGTGGATCTTACAATATCTCTCGAAGGAATTGAGATCCCAGTTGTACTTCTGAAATGGGACACAATCGTTTCAGCACCCAAATAGCTGTCCACGGATGCATGGTGCATGTCATCTTTTTAGGGATGGCAGGTGCAACTCTGGCCAGCGGGACTGCTGGCATGAAGACATCATGCGTATAGCCTTCCTGCTTCAATGCCTGCGCGTCCATTTCACATGGGCACTGCGTGGGACTCTCCACACAAGAAACAACAAGAGAACTGAAGGGACCCATCAACATGATAGTTCTTGATGGGTTTCTCTGACTCTTGGTTTCTGAAGCCTAAGTTCAAGTATGAATTTCAACTTTCTGGATTGTGCAGCGGCATGCTCGTGATCGCATCACCCGCCTCACAGGCAATAAAGCCATATCCATTGTTTTGATTGAAGCCTAGGCGATTTCCGTGGTTTGATGACAAGAGGCCTTAAATGCCCTCATATCAGGTCGGTTGGTCACTTCGAATGCCAGACGCTTATGGTTTTGTGGTTTTTGTGGGATGGATGTGGTTCGCTTCCCGGCCCAAAATCATCCAAAATCTCCCAATCCAACCGGGTAGCTCTTGATGTATCCCTGGTAGTCTCCGATGACCTGCTCTTGGGTATAATGAGCTTTCCTCACAGCGCCAGGGAAAAAACGCGAAGGCACAATGGACCACAATGGACAATGGACCACAATGGATGCAGGCAGGTCATGGCAGGTCCTTTTCGCGGCGCCTTGCGTCCACCTGGGCGACTATACAACTCAACGTTTGGGCGTGTGATACCGGGAAAATCTACGACCGGATATACGTCTGTGAACCAATCAGGAAACCTGGGGTTGAAAATAAGTCTTCTCAGATGTTTCCTCACTTCGGTGCTGGTAAGACACAAAGTTCACAAACACCAACGAAATGCCAGGTGCCACTAATTCGGCATTAGCAACTGCCAGTCACTCCTGTATAGACTACATGGTACTTTGCCCATGGATCTTACATCCGTCATGTACTCATCCGTCATGTGCAGCGATGTGCCCACCGTTGGGCAAGATAAATGTCGTTGGTCTCATCCCGTATGGTGATTGGTCGTCCCCAAACTCCAAGAGCCCAGTAAAATCTCCCAACCAAGGTCCCCACTGTTGAGCCTGCCCCTGCCCTTGTTGTCCTTGTTGTCCTTGTTGCCAACCGGAGCCCTGTTCCAATGGTGCCGCTGCTTGGCAACACCCAGTGGATTTATTGAAAATGGGCGTGTCCGAAACAACAACACTGGGCACATATACAACTCTTACTGAGACTTTGTTCGCTTTGTTGGGTCCGCGCGTCCGCAACATCTTTTCTGATGATCAAATTATATAAGATGTGTTTTTCTTGTCTATCCAAAGAACATGAAAGAAGTGAAAGAACTTCAGAATCCTTGGGACACGTTTTATCCCTGGCGATGTCTCTGATGAAGCTCACACCCAACCCTTCGGGATCCATCTGGCTTCCCCACCGCAGGGCCTTGGAGTTCCAAGCTTCTTGTGCATTCCAGTTGTCTTGTGCACCCCACTTGTCTTGTGCGCCCCACTGCTCCTGCGCGCCCCATTTCTCCTGCGCACCCCATTTGGAAGACCTCAGGTGCAAAGCTCTTGGAGCGACATGATGTTGGGTACTAGAAAGAGACGTCCTGAAAATCACTTTGGGGTAAACGTGAAAAAATCCAGCCATTGCCTTGGCAAACTAACATGTCTTCCAGAACGACTCGACAATGACCAACCGCGCACATTCATCCAGTAAACAGTGACTCAGTTCCTCCCCAAAACCACAGGTCCCGACTGAGTTTGAGCCGCTTGTGCTGGAACCACAGACCATGCACCCTGTGGAACCCGGACACAATAACATCAATAACACGTTCCTGCTGTACTGCAAGCTATCATAGCGAAGTCAGTACAATGCCTGGCCTTGGAAGTGCCTTTAGCCCCGTTGGTAATCTGTGCAACCTCGTTCTCGGCGCTGCCAGATACTGGGTGCGCAGAAAAACACATGCCCAGAATGCAAAAAGAAACATGTTGAAAATCAAAAATTGGTTGCCAGCTTTGCCAAATATAGTGATCAAAATGGGTCTTCTCATACGTCTCATATAGGAGTGATATAGGTTACCTCCCAAAGCAGTACAGGAAAAAGCCCGCCACTTGATGCGGTTGATGTTGGCTTGCAGGCCGAAGGTCATATGCCTGAAGCGCAAGGCCCACAGCACCAACTCTTGAAAAACACACTTCACGCCTCACATCCCAACAGTCATATATCTACACCAAACAAACACCTAAATTCCCTACAAACTGGGCCCTTCAAAAGGAAGTCGAACATGTTACAAGGTATAGCTGCACAGAGCTTTCGAGGTTTGGTTTCATCAACAAATCAAACCAGGCAGAAATCCTTGGAACGGATCGCCCAACCAGCAGGCTTGAGTGCCACAGCTCCAGTTGTCAGCAACCAAGTTATGATGCCGCACCATGCCGCACCAAGCCCAAACAAATAGGATTCAGATGGATGATGTAAATTTAGTATCCTATAGGTCCTATAGATGCAGAGTCCATGGTCACGAGGATGGCTGTGCCTGTGGCTTGTTCTCCTTGTTCAATGCCACCGCAAAACTCACCTGCAAAGCATGCTGAGCTGAGCGATCTGCTTGAAACAGGAGACAAATGAATGGCCCAATGGTAAATGGATGTACCATCTGGTTATGATTAACATAGCCATGGAAAATCACCATTTGTAATAGGTAAACCGGTAAACCATCTATAAATGGGCCATTTTCCACAGCTATGTTAGTCATAACCAGAGGGTAAATGGTGTTCTTCGACAGAATTTGGAGATCCCTCAACCTGAAGTACCTGGCGGTCTCCTGGGGCCCATGGCCACCCCGCTTAGCAAAACCGCCTGCTCTCCCACTTGGCAGCCGCGAAATTGAAAGCTGTTCACAAAAACGTCGTTCCCAAACACCTGGCCAATTTGACCCATTTGGGAAGTGCAACATGTAACGAGTCACCAAAAACCTGTGGGAATAATGTTGGGGCTACAGATGGGTACAGTCAAATGTTGAATCCATGTTGAATCCGTTGAAGCATGCAGCAACTGTTTGACATGCTGTTCAGATCTGTTCAGTGCTTCTTACACAAAGGTTGGCCAGGTTGGCTCTGCAAAATGAAGACCCGATGATCCGGGCGAAAAATTGGCTCTGCATCCCGAAGATGGACCCCACAACTGAGCGCCTTCTGGAGTTCTTCGCAGGTAATGAAGCCATAACCCTGGCGTTTTTCGGGGAATCATGTTGTTTGGATGGAGAATTCTTGGGTGATCCCTTTTTTGGGGTCACAACCCATTGCTGACCAGTGAGCGGAAGCCCATCACCAATCCCAATGAACTATGGGGAAGGTCCCTCTGAAGATGACGCGACGTGCAGCTTGGCAGCATAAGCCCTAAACTTCCAGTCTTCATACAGATTCCTTGTGGAGCCATGCAGAAAAGTCTCGGATCTCCAAGCTTCACAAAATATAGCACGAATCAGTTCCAAAATTGCTACCAGTTCCGGAGTTCCCGAATCCGAGGCATGGATAGGCATGGCACAAGAGATCACAGATCACGGCACCATGATGCACAATCACGGCACCATGGCACCTTCTGCTCATTGAAGCACTTGATGGTGCCCTCAGATCTTCGCTCCGTGAGGGCCTGAGAGTTTCCGTCCGGATCCAACCGGAACCGGCATCCTGGCGGTCGCGGTCCTGGGGCACGGGCCTTGATCGGTGGATACGTCAGATCCGGGACCGAAAAGGTCACCACGGAGGGGGCCAGGTCCGGCCTGCCATGGATGCAGGGAGGTTGAACCATGGTTGAACCATGGAGCTGTGTCTGGTGCGATTGACAATGATTAACAGAATATTAACAGACACCAAAGATTTTCCAAATGGAAACACTCTGAAACGCTTGTCAAACTTATCAAACTTATCAAAGTGATCTCAAGTTTCCTGCATTCGCCACCCCATCCACTACCATGCTGGGCTGCCCTGGCCGCGACTCCAACACCGAGCAAATCACGCTGACGGCGGACTGCTCATCTAGGGCCCTTGGTGCCACCACAAACTTCGAAACTGGCGACCACAGGGCCCCGAAACCTTTTGGATCTTTTTAATCGGGACATCAAAACATGTCTTTGAATAAATGGAAACTCGTACAGTGTAAAGGGATTCCAAGGGTGGAGTTCGTATTTCCATTCCATTGCAGCTCCAATAGCAGGTGTTGTCTCAAAATAACCAGCCAATGTGTCGATCCCGTCCCAGCTCAAATTTGACAACGACCTGCCGAGGAACACCAAAGTCTCTGCCAAACTTGTCAAGTCCTGGCTTCCACAATCCATGCGCGGGATGGTCATCCCACCATCGTCAGGAGGATTCAATTGCAACAGGGACGTACTGTCATGCCCGTCACTCACTAAGAAGTCTTGGGATTTACTGCCTCTCCTGCTGCTGCATCTCGACTGGGTGCCACAACCACAAAGAGCAACCCGCGGGATTTTCCGCGCTGAGCCAAACACAGCGGCAGTTTCTGTGGCTCTGTGTCAACTCGCAACGTGGCGCGGAAGTCCTGAAACATTGGCCCAACTCAAGGGGAGATGAGTTTCCCGAGGCCGGGGTCCAAAAATACTGACAGTTACAGAGGTCCACCTGGTCCACATGGTCCCCCTGGTCCGCGTCCCGCAACTGGTGGCGACGCTTCTCACGCCTGAGCCACCACTTCGCAGACCGCAGCCACAGCTTCATTCTCCTGCCGTCAGACAGAGGGGTGTCAAAATGTTGTGGATCCAAAATGATCCAAAGGTCAGCAAATCTGGGTTTGGTTTTTGGAGTGAAATCATTTGAGGTATCCAGGCTTAAGCCAACAGGTGATCAATTTCCATGACCATGTTGTGTCCAATGCTCTTAGTGGAACCAATCTCAACACCCGAAGGACCAACCATCAACAGGCCACCAGAAAAAAACACGGCTGGGACTCCCAACGCCCGTCTCTGCAACGGGTGCCGGAGATTCTTCGACCTGCCATGGTGATGCTGGGTACGGTCTGGCCAGAAATGGAAAGGCTTCTACATGGCCATTGAAGGATTCTGTCCAGGTCTGTAACAAAAACAGGCCAGTTGCCAATGGCCATCTAACTTATCCGACTTATCCCATCCTGTCACAAAGGCAGCAACAATAACTCCTTACACATCTTACACTTCAACAACAATAATCCAGCATCAAAATAAGCTGTGAAGCTATCAAAAAAGGCCCTGATCCAAGGATATCCAAGGGATGTTTATCATCCAATCAGATTACATCCAGGTTTCAATTTGGGTTTACATTTTCGGGCCATCCAAAAACCACTTCAGCACCAGGGACCTCAGCCTTGAGTCCCAACAACTCTTTGTCCTGAAAATGATTCAACCGGGATCCGATGCTATCAGAAACCGCAGTTTGTTCATGTGCATTGCCTGCAAAAAAACAAAGTTCATCTGATGTCTGATCTGATTTTGACCATTCCAAAAGACATCAAAACACATCAGCTAGTTTCAAGTTGCTTTATAAACCTCATTAACTATAGTTGCAATCAAATGTGCCCAACTGCGGCAACTGCTCGGCACGGCTCCTTCTGCGCCATCTGCTCCAACAACTCTGGAGCTTCAGGTTCCGGCTCGTCCAAGTCGCCTCGAGTAGAGAAGTCAGGAAGCCACAGAAACTATGAAGAAATTCGATAGATTGGTTCAACTTGTTTTAATATGTGTATTTGTGTATTTATGTTTATCTGTATATATATATATACATGTATACGTGTATGCATACATTTATATATATGTGTGTGTTTCAATTCAAAGGTTTAGGTTTTGGATCAGAAGCAAATTGGTGGTTTGGGGTTTGAACTATACCCCCGAACCTTGCAAGGCCATGATTCTGCCACGGTGCTTTCGCTGACGCATGTACTGTGCTGCTCTACTTGGCCAATCCAACTAGAAAACATGTTTGGGCCTTCTCCAGCAGGCATCTTGCGTCGCTTCTTGCGTGGGGCCTTACGAAGGATGAAACGATTTCAGGAGAACAAAACCCGAAAATACAGAAAACCAACAGGATGCACAGAGGAGGGATATACCAACCAATAAACTAAACTCTAAACCTAGCAAAATGGGTTTGGATTGATTGTGAAATGTTGAAATACGTTTGACGTCTTTGGGTGGGTCCATTGGTACCCCAAATTCGAGGCAAACCCTGATTTATGGACAAGTCATAACGAAACTCAAACCCGCCATTACGCAGACCTGATTCGTCTAAATGACGGTTCGCCGTACATAGGTATGATGGTGAAAAAAATACTTTACTTCGTGTGATCCCCACCATGATATTTATAAGTTTTGTTACTGGCAAATCTTCTGACATTCTATCTGGCATATCTCCTGGCACTCTATCTGGCATATCTTAGGGCATTTTATTTGGCATATCTTCTCGCATTCTATCTGACATTCTATCTGGCATATCTTCTGGCATTCTATCTGGCATATCTTCTGGCATATCTTCTGACATCCTATTTGGCATTCTATCTGGCATATCTTCTGGCATTCTATCTGGCAAACATTCTGGCATTTTATGTGGCATACCTTCTGGCACTTTATCTGGCATTCTATCTGGCATATCTTCTGGCATTCGATCTGGCATATCTTTTGGCATTCTATCTGACATATCTTCTGGCATTTTATCTGGCATAACTTCTGGCATGCTATCTGACATTCTATCTGGCATATCTTCTGGCATTCTACCTGGCATATCTTCTGACATTTTGTCTGGCATTCTCTCTGGCATATCTTCTGGCATTCTATCTGGCATATCTTCTGGCATTCTATCTGGCATTCTATCTGGCATATCTTCTGACATATCTTCTGGCATTCGATCCGGCATTCTATCTGGCATATATTCTGGCATATCTTCTGGCATTCCTGCTGGCATTCTATCTGGCATATCTTCTGGCAGATGTTCTGGCATAGCTTCTGGCATATCTTCTGGCATTCTATCTGGCATTCTATCTGGCATATCTTCTGGCATATTATCTGGCAAATCTTCTGGGATTCCATCTGGCATATCTTGTGGCAGTCTATCTGATATGTTATCTGGCATTCTATTTGGCATACCTTCCGGCATTCTATCTGGCATATCTTCTGGCATTCTATCGGGTATATCTTCTGACATTCTATCCGGCATATCTTCTGGCATTCTATTTGGCATATCTCATGGCATTTTATCTGGCATATCTTCTGGCATTCCATCTGACATTCTATCTGGCATATCTTCTGGCATTCTATCTGCCCGTTGAGGTCCAGCAGTGCAAACTGAGCTGGGCTGGGCAGGTCCCAGGTTGAGGTCCAGCGGTGCACACTGACCTGAGACGGTGCCTGGTTGAGGTCCAGCGGTGCACACTGAGCTGGGAAGGTCCCAGGTTGAGGTCCAGCGGTGCACACTGAGCTGGGAAGGTCCCAGGTTGAGGTCCAGCGGTGCACACTGAGCTGGGCAGGTCCCAGGTTGAGGTCCCAGTGCACACTGAGCTGGGAAGTTGGCAAAGAGCTTGGCGAAGAGTTGGCAAGGCGGAAGTGGAGGTGGAAGTTGATGCAGACATGGTCGAGGAGAAACTAGAGGAGGAGGAGGACGAGCAGGAGGAGGAGGAGGACAGCTAGCCGAGGAGGAGGAGGAGGAGAAGAACAACTCTGATAAAATCTAACAACCCTCACCTGGCAGGTGGGGAACAAAATTTCGAGCACTCGTCAACCCCCGTAACTTATGGTCATATTAGTTTAAATCTGGTCTTTTCATATGAACTATAGATTGGGGACCCCAATTTGTAACATATCCCCACCAGGGTTTCCCTTCCCAATGGGGGAAACCACAACCACCAGCCCACTGTAGCCTCTCCCAACTGATTGGCATACACAGCCGCTGCAATCGCATCTTCTCCAGAGGGCGCGTCACGCTTGATGCCCTGAGGGAGCTGTTGGACCAGGGATGAGATCTGGGAACAAAGGAAATATGAAAGATGGATCTCGTTTGTTGGGATTGCTATACTATATACATATACATATACGGCCAGGCGCTGTGTGTTGCCCGGAAGGTTCAAATGGCGTTTCAACATGTTCAAACATTATCCTTCAACATGCTCAAACACATGCACAGAGCCAATGTTTTCAGCTTCTCCAGACGACGAACCCTAAACCCTAAAACCCTAAACCATCCTGAACCCTAAAACCCCAAACCCTAAAACCCTAAACCCTAAAACCTAGGCTCTGAAAACTTTGAATCCTAAGCTGGAAAACACAGAGTACGCTGTATTTTCTGCAATGTCTCCTATCATATATTCGACAGCACGACATTCTCAATGTTAATGTCTGGGCAACACACGGCGTCTGTGGGTACATATACATATGTCAATGTATGTGTATATTTATATGTATATTTCATATATATATATATGTGTGTGTATATAGATATATATATATATATATATGTGTGTAAATATATATATATATTATATATGTATATATACTGTATATATATATATTGTATGTGTATATATATATATCTATAGATATACATCTATATATATATATATATATGTATAGATATATGTATATATATATATAGGACTCAGTCATTCTTTTCTTTTGTGCTGAACCTGAGAGTTTTCTGTTTGATCTGGCTTTGCCAGACATTTCTCTACTCAAATTATGAATTCTTCCACCTCAAGGTCAAGTGGCATGACCTTTGAATTTCACAAAGTTATAAAAAAAGAGTTAGGTGGTATCCCAAGAGGCATGAGATCCCCTACCTCGAGACCGCTCTGCTTTCGTTCAACTTGGCATGGATGTTTCAGAGACGGCTCTGCATTTGGGCTTACCACGGCCCCATACTGCCTATGGCCTGAAGGCTGTTTTTGGGCATTGCGACGCATACTTGTCCAAGCGCTGCTTTTCCAGCGGACTCATCCGCAACTGCGGAATTTGCGCCAGGCCGTCCTCTAGATAGAGGCGTGCCACTCCTAGAGATCTCCAACGTCCACGGACAAGTATAACATCAAGGGGTACTCCTTGTTGCAAAAGCCACGTTGCTCCTCCTCTCCTTAAAGAGTAAGGTTTCATATTGAGATGGCTAATGCGGAAAAAACGCATATAAGCTTTAAGTCTATTCCGGAAAGATTGACTGGAATGAGGCCAGAGACGTTGACCACGAAATTGACCTTGCTGCGTAGACTCCGGCAAGCCACCACTCCGAAGCACTCAAGCCTCAGGGGTGAACCACCCAAAAGAGCACTATCCTTAGTTGTCAGGCCCGTCAACGGGCTCATCCGCGTACCTGACGTTCAGGACATGTTTTCGAACCAAAGCAATATGCTCAAGCACTGCAGGGTTTCCCCGACCAAGTCTAGCAACAACCGGGTCGCTTGGTTTTTCAGGCCGGATTCCCGGAAAACTACTGCAAGTCCAAACCACATGGTCGTAATGCGCCATGCTAACAGTGCACCAAGGACATTTTTCCTCCGCACCCTCACCTTGCCTGTTGCGACATTCCGGAGACACGAAGGTTCCAGTCAAGACAGCAACAACATGCTTGGACGCCCCTTTGCTTTGAGCACGGGCACTAGCCACCATTTCAGATCTGAAAGGGTACCCTGGAAATTCGTTGACTTCATGGCACCCTGACACCAAATATTCCGCCCACCAAAAATGTCGCCAAGCTTCACGAAGGAAATGAGCAACATGATCCCTTTCATTGCACCAAAAATTGGAACTTGGGTCAAGAGACAACCGAAACCAAAAGGCAGGGTGAGTCCATTCCCAAGGTTGCGCAACAACCCAACCAAATGTGGACAGCCAAGCTTTGATACGGGCAGAAGGCCCCGCAGCAACCATCCAATCCCGCAAAACTCGAACCTTGTGTTTGCATAAGCTCCAAACTGCCATAACAGCTTCAGCACCTGCTTGGAATTCAATGTCTTGTGTGTGACCCAGGGCCAAACGAATAAGACACGGACTTGCCATTCTATGGCAAAATCCCACCCGGCGCAACTGAGTCTCCAATTTCTTCCGGTCCTTTGCAGCTGGCTGACGCACCAGCCATCCATAAGTTGCTTTTGCACTGGCCGCGGCAGAAGCAATGAAAGCTCGCACACCTGCAGAAACCGGTGCGACCCGAATCTTGGAAGCAGCGTTTCGGGCCTTAGTGATTCGAGCTTCTTCTTTCGGAAGGATGGAACCAAAGCCCATCGCAGCTCCAAGTGCCCACAAACTGGACGTCACTTCAGGTCTTCATCCTGCTCCATACGAGACCGCTGAGACGAGTCTCGATGAGTGAACTGGCTTTTATTGATGTTTTCTTTGAAACCAAGCCAAGAGCTATGTCTGCGCCACAACTCCAAGACATTTTTAAAACTACGCATAGTGACGCTGCCCCGGAGCGGTCATCAACGAAGACGACCATCTGAGTGTCCGGCTCTGCACGCATGACTGCTCTCATAGGCATGGTCAAAATCAAGTTCAAGACTCGTGGTGACAAACTGTCCCCTTGTGGCATGCTGCTACCGACCTGCTGCTGCCTCCCACCATTGCCAGAGTGCGCAAGAGGTCCAAAACCAGCAGATCTCGGATTGAAACTGCCTCCTCACTCCCTGTCCTGAGGCCACTTTTGCTGCTATAGAGGCTGCAAATACCGACCTCGTCGCCTAATTCCAGATCTTTAAATTAAAGGGCTAACGCCTCACCTGTACGTAGCATGCAGTGAAATGACAACGCTATCAGGGCTGCAAAAGCTAGCGCATCCAGTTCCAAAGCTCTGGCAATAACCGCACAGACAATTGGCACTGTCAGCGGTGCTGCCTTTTGGGGGCATTCGATTCTTCGCCAAGATTTGAAAAGTTTCCACGATTGCCGGAGCCTGCCTTTGTACTCAGGACAAAACCAGTGAAGCCCTGACAAACAGTCTGCTATATTGTTAACGGTTTCACCTTTGCACCACTGAAGCTCCATCCAATCCATAACAACTTCATCAATAAACGCTAGGCTCTCCTGCTCTTCCAAAAACGGAAGAATTAAGGCAACAGCGGACTCATAACGGGCTTTTGTTTTGGCTGTGATCGTGAAGTCTCTCAGTCTGATGCCTGCTCTCTGTTTCTGTCTACCCTTTCGGGTCTTTGCAGCAAGTATCAACCTAGGCAAAGTTCGCGGCATCAATCACGTGACGCCGCGTCTGTAGGGTTTTCACTTGAGCCGACATGCGAGTGCAGTAGGATGGAGCCCATTGCAAGCTGCACAGCTCCTATCTGCCGACACAAAGGTTGAAGTAATTTACTGGATGCCCTCCCCTTGCTAAGTATGTATAAACAAACGATGCTGTCTTCAAGGTGCATCCACCGCTTACTGACTTTGGCACAATCCCGACATTTCCAAAGCAGCGTTAATAAAATCATTTTCATCTCCAAAAAAATTATGTGTGAATCATGGTTCCATTTTACTTTGAAGAGGTGTTTCCACAGCCACCACAGTGCCCGAGATGATGCGTGTGCCGGCGCTTTCTTACCTATTTCCTCCCCAGTTGAAATCCTTACGCCCGAACTAGTGTGGTTTACGGTGAGACCAAGATGCTTGACCAGCTCTACCTCCTTGTAGTGTTGGGCAGTATCACCGCCGTATGCCAACCACCGCGTCATAGGAACCTGCAGGTCAGGGTGACAAGTTGCCCCCGCGGCCAACCCCAAGCGGTTAACTATTTGGTATGGGGGCATGCGCGGCACCCAATTAGCCAGCATGGCACCTGCCATGATGCAAAAAGATAAAATGGAAAAGGAATCCCCACAGAGGGAACATCTCAGATCTTCATAACTCTGTAGGCTCCGTTTTGCATCCGATGCACTCAAAGCTGATGCTGTGTGCCCCGGTCCAAATCCTAGCAAGAGCTCCCTCTCTGACGCATCCAACACCCTATCGGGAAAGTCTACATTCTTCAGTGTAAATTGGCTACGGTATTGACATGGGGGATATCGGTCGGAGTCTTCTGTCCACCGTTGTCGAGTCTCCTCATCGGTTCGAGCTAACCCCGCGGGCTGAGGTGGTGGCCGCTGTCTGGGGATGCACTTCATAAAAGTAGGAAAACATGTTCCACTCGGAGCATCCCACTTCCATCCTGCACGAATCCATTGATCCGTTGTCACCGACCCTCCGCGAAGATAGGCTCTGGTATACTCTTTCTCCTTCCATAGCTCCACCCCATCCATTTCATATAGTGGCTCGCTGCACCAAGCAATGCGAGGGCGACTGCAAGGGAGTATGTCCGCAGGGTCCAATTTCATGGGTGAGATGCCAAGTTCACCACAGATTTGAAGCCGGGCTGACTCATCCATTGAAGCCACGTTTTCTACACAGCACTTCACCCGGCAGAAAGGGGAGAAAACCTTGTCGATGGACTCCAAGACTTCCAGCAAACGCCAAAATAAATTCGATCCCTCGCCGTCCAGTTTCTGGCGATAAGCTCGCACTGAAGACAAATGGATGCAGGGAAATCCTGCAAATACGTGGGTCTCACGTACGTGGGGGAATAAATTCGCCCAACGTGTAACCTCTTCCAAGGTGACATCAGCTATGTCATGAAGTTCAATTACATCCGGCCACGTAGTTCGGGTCACCCGATTGCCAGCTTTTGAAATGTCAATTCAAATTCTTCCGCTCGGGGCAACCCCTAAAACGTCGTAGAGGCGGAAAGCCCCGCCTATCCCATTGAAAAATGATACAACTAAAATGGGACACTCGACGGCCATTGAGTGCCCCCACCAGAGAACGTCCTGACCAGGACAATCCATTGCTGATAGCACAGGCTCCACCGCTCTCAGAGGCGTCTGAACAATGCACCTGGCCATCATATTCGCTGGTTAGGTCCTGCTGCAGTAGTGGCCCTAAACACATAAGCATCTATAACTCCTGGTGCAGTATAGCTACATGTTTAGAATAGGGCCACGACATTTCAACCACCTCCCAAGACCTTGCCAAAACACTCATAGCCGCTCGTCGGTATTGTAAAATGAATGCCCATCGGCCGAGAATGATCTGAGCCTCCTTTTTGCTCCAATTCCCCCTCCTGATGAAATGTAGCGTCGCATACATTGTCTTCAGCAGCCGCTCGGGTGAGCTACCCAGCAGCTTCTGGGTCCCATCCACACGGAGGCCAAGCTCTGTCACAGTAGGGATTCCCAAAACTTGCTTATCTTCAGCTGTCAAAACACCCGCGCTATCCCAGGCGTGCATGGCCAACCCTTGCAACACCTGGTCTGCTCCAGCCCCAGCCTTGTCCTTGACGTCGGCCGCAAGGAAGTTGTCCAGATAGATCTGCCACCAAGTCCTGCATGTCGATGAAGCTGCTGCTACTTGAGTGAACCATTGAGGCAGGACGCTACCCTTCTTCAACTCTAAACTCCCAGGAAGTCCCCGGGATTACAAAATCTCCCTAGACACAGCTTGCATGATGCCAACTGATCAAGACCAACCCATAAGTAAAACAACACAGGTAGGGCGATACCAGGCAGAAGGGTCCAGTTTAGTGTCACCTATGTCAGCGCCTGTTGCCTGAAAATTGACACACATGAAGGGTCGCCATGCTGAAGGGATTGAGAATAGGTAGAAGGCCCAGTTCATGTCCCCTTGAGATAAATTCACTTCCTCACCACCAGAGAAGCAGAGCGGAAGCCACTGAGTTGCGTTGGGCAGGCAACTGATGTCACCCCGCAACACTTCTCTGCCTCCTTCTCCGGAGGGTGAGCCATGGCCGCGACGGCACATTGCCAGCGGCTCCGTCTTGCGCTCTTCTCTCCAGCCCTGACCTGAGGTCAGGGGCAAACTCCAACCTTGACTTGTCCAGCTTCCTGTGGCTGGTCCTCAAAGGGTCGTCCCTCTCGCGGTAATGCCTCTGGTGCTTACTTCCTCCTCTGCGCTTGCGCTTCTTTCCTTTCCCACGTGCAGCTCCTCTTGGAGGGTGCCTTGGCTCTGGGTTTTTTTCAGGCCGGCGCCGCTCGAGAGCAGGCGCCTCCTCAGCTTTGACCTCAGGCCTTACCTCGTCTTCTTCTTCACGTGCCTCTTCCTCTTCTGGCTCCTCTGCCTAGCTGTAGTCCTCAGGAGGATGCCTATCCTCTTCCCTTGCACGAGGTCGCTCCCTGCTGGGTGCTGCCCTCAGCAAAGGTGGACGACGGTCCTCTGGTTCACGTCGAAGGCTCCTGGTCTGCGGTCGCTCCGCCTTGGACTTAGCAGACGTCAAGAGGAAAGTCAAAGTCCCCCAGCGTCACGCCCAGACAGCGACGAGTCCAGTTGAGAGAGTCCTCTGATGAACCTGGCAGCAGACAGCACGGCTTCTTCTGCCACGGCACGCACCCCTTGGTTCAACCACTTCTTGCGAAAGAGGTCCCCAAGGTATGAACAGCCCAGGCACCAGCTGTCTCCGTCACACCCACGGCTCCCCTTACACTTAACCCCCATTTTTGAGCCTAAACCCCACACATCACAAAAACAAGAAACTTCGTCCTAATTGTCGCCCCGTCTTCTAATTATGTTTATATAATTCATAATGTGTACATATAATATATATATATACTGTATTTGCTGCTAGGGCCTGCTATGATGAATCTGATTTCAGCTGATTTGGGAGAGAAAGACACCACTTGCAACATTGGAGGTAGATCAGGAAAATGCAACCATAACCCAAAACCTCGTTGCTTCGGTGTCGACCGGCCTTCTGCTCCAGGCCCTCCATGATGCTCTTGTCGATGTCCTGTCCAAAATGGCGGGTTGATCAGATCACCATTGTTTCCCAGTTCTACATGGCACAGGCAGCAGGACCATTTCAGTAACCCGCACCATTCCTGGATCCTGGAAACCACTGGGCCACTGGGCCCGGTCCTTGGCCGCTTCCCAGAAGCGGTAGTCCCGCACCTGCCCCAAGCTGCCCCAAGCCAGCTGCCGCTGTGAGGCTGTCCATGGGACCCAGCCTGGCGTCCTGCCCGGTGTTGCTTTTTGAAATTGGCCGAGGGCACATCCAACACTGTGGCCTGCCGCGCCGTTGACCAGTGGCATTTCCAGCAGTGGTGCTTTGAACATGCTGCATACAGTCATACACTCAAGACACTGCGCCATCGAAACCCGCACTGCACCAATTTGCCTGGCGAAAGTCCATGTAACCACGGATGGCACGCCACAGTCCCGGCCCTGGCTTGTCCCGCCCCTGGCAGGAAGTAAACCATCAGGAATCAGAATGCTACGCCATTCTAACCATCTCAGTTTGAACATGTTGGCCGTGTTGGGTACAGAATCTGTAAATGGTTTCAGGATTCAGGATACTTCAGGATTCAAAATTGGACCTCTTCAAATCCATCCAACGCTGCATTGAGGGACTCGGCGGCAGCCTGTTTCACATGGGTTGAGTGGGTGAAAATGTTCCCAAAATGCGCCATTGAATACGGCACAGCATAGCTGAAAAGGACAACAATCTGCAGGTTCGTTAGGTCTTAATTTTTGACCCATAGCTAAAAGACCTTCTTCTGGAAGTCACTTGGAAGGCAACGTTGGCAAATCCTCTTGACAGATTTAGGAGTTTTGAGATCCTGCTCGTTGAAGGCGTTCTCCAACCTGCTTGTTAGCAAAAACCACCACGCACTTGTCATCGGCAATCCATTCGACACCTTGGGAGCAAATGTCTACGGAGGTTCAACCAAAAGCAGGATAGCCTCCCACCAGCTGGGCTTCGCGCGTTGGAAAGCTGGCAACCTCTTAGAGGCAAAGACCTGTCGCTAGAAATTGGGAAATTGGTCAGATCCAGTCGGCGATTCAGATTCCTTAGCAGCCTTGGTAGCCTTCCGGACCAAGGAGTTGCGGAAGCTCACGGGAACAAGTTCAGTTCCATAGTCTATTTCATTGCGAAAAGAAAATATCAGGATTCTTTGTTTTTCCATGCGTTTCCATTGTCCGTGAATTCCAGCTGCTGTGCAAAATCTCATTTAAATTCGGTCACGCAAAACGATGGTGGTAGCCTCGGCCAGGTGTGTTCGAGTAAGTCGATTCACACCTGCCAGGAGGGTCGGCTTGGATACCTGGTGCAATCAAATCAATCAATAATGATAACTAATGATAACATAGTATAACATGTACAAGGACAAAAGACTTATGGACCAGAAAAAATCAAAGGCCTAAGGGATCCTAAGGGTATCCAAAAAAAAATCGATTCAACGGCGGTCGGAGATTCTTCTGTCACAGTTGGGAGGTCACACAGACTTTGCCCATTTCAGGCGTTCCAACCCGTCTTGGGTTGAACGGACCCCTGGAGACCCTGGGCGAGACCACTTTTTCGCCAAAGGGCGGTTACTCTTCGCCGAAAGTGAAGCTCACCTAAACATGTCCCATCATTTCCCATCGTTTCCCAGACTCTTCTACAAACACATCTACTCACTAGCCTTGGTGACCCTGACTTTCCCATCCCGGCGCCGCTTCGGCAAAAAGTGTCTCTTGTGCTATACACACCATTCGACATATTTCTGCGACTCTTTGGGTTCAGCGCGAACGACAGCTGTGACACTTTGCTAAGGGTTGACTTTGTTGATTTACCTTGAATTGATGTCCTGGTTGTGCCGGAGCAGGGGATTTCAGGGATTTCTTTCTTGATCACAGATTTATAGGCCTATCATTCTAAAGACTTCGACGGATTTCCCATCACACCAAGGGCACACCTCGGCTTTGGATCACGGGGAATCCTATTGCAACTTCATCCTCACTTGCGCATACTGCCGTTGCATATCCATCGACTGATAGAACACATCCTGGGAGGCAAAGGAGAGAGTGCCCCAGCCCGAGGTCACCAGCGCTTTTTAAATATGTGTAGATATTTGTAGTAAGATTCGGATGTTTCATGATTTTCCTAGGAGGCCAAGTCTTAGGGCATACTATATACTAAGGATTACTAAGGGATATGAACAAATACGATCCCACCATCAAACCGGCTTTGGAAGCCTCAGATTCATCATTTTCACAATCCAGAGCAATCGAGGCACAGTGTCACGTTTCTGTTGTTGCAAGGCACTTAGCCTTTCCTCTTGCTCTCGCAGAATCATGCGCTCACGCGTTAGTCCTGGAGGTGCTTTTTCGTGTCGGGGTGTAGTGGCCCTTCTGCTTCCTATCACCTTGTAATTTATTAACTCTTAAGCGTTATGCTCTATCGGGTGCCCGGGGACCCCAAAACTGGGTACGACTTGGGCGTCGGTACGGGGACGTACGGTGGGTACGTACCGTGGGTACGTACACTGGGTATGGGTACGGTGCGGGTACGGTGCGGGTATACAGTACGGGTACGGTACCCGTACCGTACCCGTACCCAAAAGCACGTACCTACGTACCGTACCGTACCTAACCCCCCTAGGTATGTACACCGTACCCCCCTGTGATGCTCAGATAGAAAACCTTGATTTCATAACTCTTAAAATTAATAACTTGTAATATTGTCTTTGATTCAATTGTCTTTGATTCAATGGATTGGTTTAAGTGAAAATTACAGGAAACCCACCATATTTCATGGGAAAATCTACAGGAAAGCCAATCCATTGATTGGCGATGCTGCTTCACTTTCATTTTGACATTTCTGACTGCGAGGTATCCTCATGTCTACAATTCTTCCAGATCAGGTCTGATGCTATCCTATTCTCGTCAAAACTCTTATCAGAAATCGTCCAATGGAATGGCAGGAACGACAACAGGTCAGAGGGGTCTCACCGAAAAAGCGTTCACCTTCATCCAGGGTGGATATGGATTTGACCAGATAGTGTGTGTCCAATGGGTAAACCCAATTGTTGTCATTATCACTATTTGTCTCACTGCTCTACTAATGATAAATAATCATCATCATGTTCTTCTTTTGCCTTTTCTTTTGGTTTTTTCTTTTTTGTTGGGGGGTGTTACCCTCCAAGACCTTGAATTGCTGCACATCAATTCATACTCGCTATGAGTACATAAATGGAATGTCATACTGTACATTCATGTGATTTCATGTACTCATTTGGAGGTTTCCTTACTAAAATGGGGGTAAAGATTTTCCATTATAAACCATCCAGCTATTGGGGTACCCCCATTTTTGAAAACCCCTATTTGAAAAAGACTCAAATTCCAAACGGTCACCCGGGACCGTTGAATCCTTTGCCCAAATCGTTGAAGCGCTTCTGAAGAGCATCCACCTCAGCCACAATCCCGTGAGTGGCGCCAGGCGAAGAAATGCCTTGACACATGAGACAAGAACCCATTTCAACATATTTCAATATATTTCCACCCTTTTCCATCCCTTTCCCCATCAGATCTCGGACGTGGCCCCTTTTGCCGTCGGTCCCGCCTCCTGGATCAGACCGCGAACTCGACTCACCAACTGTGTGGCGCGGCTCGTCTGTCGGTTCACCACCTCAACGGCTCGCAACGCCGGTTTCTCGGAACCGCTTCACACAGCGGAAGTGTCCGGAGTTCTTGAGGAAATGGTGTTCTTTCGTAACGGGGTAACATGAATTAAGATGATTATCAAAGGAAGTTGGGAAACAATCTTCCTAGTTACGGATGCCTTTTACCTGATGAAGGCTGGTGTGAGACTTTGCATCACATAAGAAGACGCTCAATGAAGGGTGGTGTGAGACTGCAAAACGCATTGTAATGGCTGCATCAATGTTGCATGGGGCGTGTTTTGGGGAGGAAGCCGGAGCACGAAACCTTGTGTTTTTCCGTGTAAAGTGGCTGATAGTGGCTGCAGCCGGTGATGAAAGTTACCTTCTTAGCGCGGCGGTTGCAGCTGGGGTGCGTAATCGGTTCCTCCTCTGTGTTCTGCAACGAGTGGTTGTTCATTTGTGCGTACTTCTATGCGCTTGTTGAATCTCTGGTTGCAGATCGCAGTGGAATGGCTGTATGATTTTGTTGTCATGCTCTGTTGCGCTGTGCGTAGATACATGCAGGTTAGCCACGTGATGCTGCAAAATGCATTGTGATGGCTGCATGAATGTTGCATATGGCTTGTGTTGGGGGGAAGCCGGAGCACGAAACCTTGCGTTTTTGGGTGTAAAGTGCCTGCAGCCGGCGATGAAAGGTACCTCCTGTGTGCGGCGGTTGCTGTGTTCTGCAACGAGTGGTTGTTCCTGTGTGCGTAGTTCTATTCGTTTCTTATTTCTCAATTTGTGGCGCTAGCAATTTTCCTTTTAAAATTCCTGCTAAAAGTGCTTCAAATTTTTTTTTTCGCTTTGGCGTCGAGATCCGGTTTTGGAGCTGCATTTTCCGACGCCATCGCGCGTAGTTCTTTTGTGTTTCACAATTCAATGTCTGCAGATGGCATTGTAGTGGCTGCGTCAAGGTTGCTTGTGGGACGTGCTTTGTGCAAGCTTTGTAGTACAAAGTAGTACAGGGAAGGGTTCTGATTCTGTGCAAGCTTTGTAGTACAAAGTAGTGCTCGGAAGTACTTGGTGCAAGCTTTGTAGTACAAAGTAGTAGTGGGACGTGCTCTGTGCAAGCTTTGTAGTACAAAGTAGTACTGGGGAGTACTTTGTGCAAGCTTTCAAGTACAAAGTAGTACTGGGACGTGCTTTGTGCGAGCTTTGTAGTAGCGCTTTGTGCAAGCTTTGTAGTACAAAGTAGTACTGGGGAGTGCTTCGTGCAAGCTTTGTAGTACAAAGTAGTACTGGGACGTGCTTTGCGCAAGTCTTGTGCAGGCTTTGTAGTACAAAGTAGTACTGGGAAATGTCTTGCGCAAACTAGTACGTAAAAGGTTCTGTTTGTAAGAGCTTCTGTGCGTAAAAGCCTCTCTGTGTAAAAGTTTCCGTGTGTTAACGCATCTGTCTCTAAGCTTCTCTGTGTAAGAGCTGCTGTGTGTAAAAGCTTTTCCTTGTAGAAGTTTGCTGTGTGTAAAAGCTTCTCTCTGTAAAAGTGTGCTTGGTGTAAAAGTTTCTGTGTGTAAAAGTTTGTTGTGTGAAAAATTCTCTGTGTAGAAGCTTGCTGTGTGTAAACGCCTTCTGTGTGTAAGAGTTTTCTGTGTGCAAAGCTCTCTCTGTACAAGTTTTCTGTGTCTACCAGCTTGCTGTGTGTAAGAACTTGCTGTGTGTAAAAACTTCTCTGTGTAAAAGCATGCTGTGTGTAAACGCTTCTCATGTGCAGAAGCTTTCTGTGTGTGTGCAGGCTTGCCTGTGTAAACGCATCTGTGTCTCAAGCTTCTGTGTGCAAAAGCTTCTCTGTGCATTGATTTTTGTGTGCAAGAGACTTCTCTCTGGCAGCAAAAGCTTTGTGATATGGTCTTGTTTGACGAGTGACTTTGTCGATGCAAAGATTTTGGCTCACGGAATGACATGTGAAAACGTAGATTTTGAGCTCATTTGATTCATGATGAAGCACGTCAACAGATACAGGTGCGACACACGAGACAAGATTCCAAGAAGACATGAATTGTTGCATGCACAAACGTATGTGATGAGTTTACTGCAAGACAAGTGGTATGCACAGCACTTGGACTGAAAGGAACTAGGCACGGGAGGGTATGGCAGTGCGGCCTGTCTTCGCACTTTTGAGGTCGGCGGGACGTTAGTGGGGCTAGGGCAGTGGGCACGGCAGTGCGGCCTGCTGGCTGCAAGGTTCTGGAGCCATGGCGGAACCGGATGCTTTTGCGAACTTGTTGGTATACATCGAAAAGGAAGCAGACACTTTGAACGTCTTGCAATGAACGACTTGAAACATTGTTTAGTGACTGGAAAAGCAATTGGCAAACGTGAAGGAGATTATGCACGGTTCAAGCATTACAAGAACTTTGAGACGCTGCAGAACAAGATGTCTGCGGAGCAGCGGCAGGTGATAGAAGAATGGGAACGAAGAAATTGCGTGCCAGATGCTGCGCGATTTTAGAACAGCATTTACGAGAGATGAAAGTTTTGCGAAGAGCGACATTGAGGGAGGTTTGCTTGAGTTATGTCGTTCAAAAAAATCGTATTGGGAGTTCGAGTCTTGCATATGGTGGAACCTGATTGCGGTGAAGAAACCCACACTGAATGGGCTATAGGTAATACCAGGCTTATTTTTAAGGTACGTTGCTTGGACAAAGACGATCTGCTGTTGCATCGCTGATGCTTGCACATACAGGATGTGCAATGCGATGGCACGCGTGCCAGTGCGGGCCGTGTGATTGTAGCATGATTGCTGCCAAGGATTCAAGGATTCAAGGTGCATGGTCTGCATCGCGGTGGGCTCTGAATTCTGCAAGACTCGATTCTGAAGGGAGGACTTGTAGGTCCAATGGTGTTTGATGCAAACATGAACCAGATTCTGTGTGATGCCAAGCAAAGAAAATGTAGTGGCCAAAAAAAGAAAACATCAGGTTTTCAAACTTTGTGAAGAGACTTGGGAACGCCAATCAGAACAGGATGAGTGTATTGGCTGTTAGATGTTTCCTGGTTATGTGCAGCGGTGTTTGCTGCAGACTGGAACGATGGGGTTGTGTATGATAGTGAGTCCCAGCGTCGATGTCATGTCACTGGCATGACGTGCTTGAAAATGTTTGAAGTGGTAGCTGCCAACGATAAAGTTGCAGTTCGTGGTTTTGTAAGTACAGTCAGGGAACATGTAGAGAAGAAGGCACCAAAGTTCATGCAATGACGCACATTTAGGGATGGACAATACACCATCGTTCCTGCTGTGTTGCACGACAGTGCGGTCCGCAACACCTATGGCGAACCTGTCCTCCGATGGATCCCTTGAAGGTGGATCATTCGAAAGCACTCTTGCACACTGTGTGCCATTCGAAGAATCTTCGCACAAAGTTATTTTTACTGTAAATTATTCTTCGCTGGAAAGCTTGGTTACTGAACTTCGTGGCTTGCCCCCGACCATGCAGCTGACTTTTCCACAGCACCGGTTATCAGAACTGACCATCGAATTCTTGAGGCTGGAGGTGGTGAAGGATTTGGAAAACTTGGTTCGCAGCACGGTTTCACGAGATTTGATGGACATCCAAGACACGAATGCTAGATTGTGCCAAAGCCATGAAAGTCTGTTGCATGTCTGGGAAGCAGCGGCGATGCCACCCGACATGCATTTAAAGGCTGTGTTCTCAAAAAAAGGCAACGAAGCGGAAGCTACATGGTTGAACTTGTGGGCACAGCACGCAGAGCATTGACTGGCTTTCGAACAAATGACGGTGTGCACGCTGCGGGGACCTTGCTGAATGCTTGTCGAGTAGGTGCAGAATGTCGTTTGTCACAAGCAGATGCGGCTTGGGTCCGCAATGTCATTGCGGATAGTGAAAACTTCTTGCCTAAATTGCTGCGCGAGGTGCCATGACGAGCACCCAGAGAGCCAACTAGTGTTTGCGGATCACGTTGTCCAGCCTTTCGTGCCAGTGCGGGCCGAAAGAGCTGCCAAAACCTAGGCATAGTGCAATGCTGAAAAAGCATGCAGCTGTTGACGCTGGACTGTGTGTGTGTGTGTCTGATTGACAGATTACAAGTAACATAAGATATACTGTAGCTAAGGTTTGCTGCAATGCATGAACATCGCGCGTGGGTTACCACAATACTGTAAATTTTAATAAGCTTTTGTGTGTTGACGAAACTTTTTTAGGATACGGAAGAATTGGGGAGATGAGCTAAGCTTTGTATTACAAAGATACTTTCTAGAGGCTTTTCCTGTGTAAAGTGCAAATGCATCTGTGTCTCAAGCTTCTATGTGCTGACAGTAAGAGCCTTCTGGCGTGCAGAACAGCTGAGATGAGTTGAGAAGAACTTCGAGGAGATGAGAAAGGTTGATCAGTGCTCGGGTGAGATGAAAACAGTTGAGAAGAACTTTCTTGGATGACATGTGAGAGGAGATGGGATGAGATGAGATGAGCTGAGATGAGAAGAGCTCACATGATCCGAGATGACATGAAGTGTGGAGTGTGAAGTGTGAAGTGCAAGTGTGAAGTGTGAAGAGTGCAGCGTGAAGTGTGAGGAAAATGTTTGCTTGGCATTGCATTGCGCCGGGGTCGTGCGCAGGTCATGTTCTTGGACAACATCTGTGCAACAGCTTCGCACAAAGCACGCACGCACGTGCCTGGCTGGCGCACGGCGCATGCAAATTCTATAGATGAGAAAAGTCTTGTAGTATATCCCTAAGGCAAGTTCCGCCCCGCCTCATGCGGGTACTACTGGTAGATGACTATAGATGATTATAGATCATGAAATATGATGATAGTTGCAACGATCACATTAATTAAGATGATTCTTATCATTATGATGATAGCTGTAACATCTGCAACACTTAACATCTTTTACAGATGCAAAATACTAAGAGTATATAAGTCTTTTTTATGACCAGGAATTGAGACTGAAACCACCAGCAGATTAAGGGGCTGCTACAGTAATGGCAGTGTGGCTTGGAGACATGTGGTCTCAAAAGGGTTCGAGCGGGCATGCCCTCTGAGTTGTAGCGGGCAAAAGCTCCCCAGCTCCCAGCATCTCCCAGCATCTCTCAAGGTGGGCGAGGCATGGCGAGGCACACAGATCAGTTTGCACATGTCGATGCTTTTGGCCTTGCCTTTGGCTTTGCTCAATCCCATCACGAACCTGGTTTTGTCTGACGAGATGGCGATGGGTCAAACTTCAGGGCTGAAACAGGGGTGACCCAGCCAAGGTTGACTCATGCAAAACGATGCAAAACGGAGAAAAAATGGAAGAAGTGATTCACTAAAAAAATTCGCTGAGGAATTCTATTTACCGAGAAACTGGTGGATAGTGATGCCTCCATGTCTTTCTCCTTCCATGATGTCGAAGAAGGCTTGAGCTTCTTCATCTGAAATCCCCATGAGTTGCAATTTTTGATTCACTGCAGGCATTTCGATCAGCTTGTGAAAGGCCGCTAAGCCTAACTGCGGTTTCGGCTTGGTGGAGAAACTCCAGTTGAAAGAAAAAGCCAAATTGATTTGAGTACAAAAAGGGATAAATGGCATGAAAAGGCGGCCTTTTAAAACAATGCAACATCAGTCAACCACCCACCGCAACCCCCTCAACCATCGGGACCTCCTTTTTTAAAAGGAAAATCAGCCAAGATCGCCAGGGCACTCAATTTGCCATCCATACCGATGCCCACACGCAGATCTTCTTCCAACCCTCTGATCAGGGAGTCGTGTGCCTTGGACAACAACTTCTCGTGCAAAACTGCTGACTCCCCCGAGATGTTGGAGACGCGATCGACCATGATGGCCACCAAGTGATTGATCACACCGAAGTTCAGGAGGAACAGGGTGAAGCAAATCCTCAGAATTATGGAGAGTGTCTTGATGTCATTGGAAAGCGCTCGGAGAAGCATCACGCTCAGCCAAAATGCTATATGATATGATATAAGGCATGGAGAGATCTACCCAGCAATTATATCTGCCACTATCTGTCTACTTATAGTATGCTTCCTATATGTTCCTATCAAGCTGCCCAGGCACGTGACCAAAGATAGTGGAGAAATCTCGAAGAGGGCTATGGCCACCTGCAGCTGAAAAAAAATGTGAAATGTCCGTTGCACTTGGAAAGTGTCCCACAAATCATCATTCGTCCGATGGTGGAACATTGGGTTGGAGGCATCTCAAGAGCCGTCCATCTTTGGGCAATATGTTGAGAAGGCGTCAATGTTTTATAGATATGATTCAGATAGATACAAGCATGACCGCGAACCTGTCAAGACAAATGCACTATACGAAAAGTGAGCTCTTGGAGGCCTCTTCTCCTGAGACTTGCACCTCTTTATCATGATCGTCATCATCATCATCATCATCAACAACAACAACAACAGCCACAACCACCACAACAACAACAACAGCAGCAGCAGCAGCAACAACAACGACAACGACAACGGCAACGACAACGACACATCTCACCAGCTTCGTCACCTGATTTGGAGCCCAGGCATTGGCAGAAAACGAAACCCGTAGCCCATCCTGACCCAAAAAAACACCAGCGCCATCGCTGCCGCGGTAGCCTGACCTCGGACCAAAAGTCCAGGGTCGCCAACTGCATCACTGTGATCGTGGAGCGCCACACGGACCCTGCGTACCTTGCCATGGGAGGTCGTTCAAGGGGGCAAGGGTTGACACATGGTGTTTCGGCGTTTAAAAGCCAACATCAAGTACATGGAGATGAACAAATGAAGTCAGATAAACTCAAATCAACAATACCTCGATTGGGATGAGTAACATCTATGGCTGTCTGGGGACTTTTGTCACGACTTTTCGCCTCAGAAGCCCAGTAGTTGAGATACCGAGTTGCATCTTGGCTTCCGGCCACCGGGAAATGGCATAAGCATCTTGAGCAACTAGGGAAGTGAGCACTACAGCCATCCTTGTCACCAGATGAGCAATCTGGTTCCCAAGCTCATTCACCGAATACAAACTTACTCAAAGAATTTGTAGATATCCGCTGTATATGCAGAGCTCATTGACTTTGGAAAGTGCAAACACAGGAAAAGCACTTTCCACTATGTCCCAAGCCTTATCGTCTTGTTGAGTGAATTAGTAGACAGCCGTTCGGCCACAAAAGCATCATAAAGCATCAACATCTCAAGGGCCCAAACCCATTGCTTTAAATGCCAGGATCTGCAAAATAGAGATGTCCTCTCAGCTCAATTCCACCCACTATTGGCCAATTACTTGTTCAGGGTTCTTCACCGGACCCAGCGATGACTGTAGATTCATGTTGGACATGTAAAAATCGATATCCCTAAATCCATTGGTTAATCCTGGTTCATCAGTTACTCATGATCATTGTTAATGGCAGTTGGCAACTTCCCATCACCCCATCATGTCTGCACCCAGTCTCATAAACACAAAGACAGCCGTGATGATGGATAACTGGAGCACATGCTCCACGGCATTGGCCAGTCCTGCACATGCGGAGCTACTTTAAGGATCTCAAAGGTGATTGCAGACTCATTCAAATCCAATCACTCGGGTTTTCATTGGTTTCTTAGCACTTGAAGTGGGGTATGACTGAGATCTTCAATGGTTAACCAGAACGAAGCCACATAACTGGTACTGGTCAGCCACGTTTCACACTGGGACCCGGGTCGTCCTCGTGCGATGACCAGCAGATCACTCTTGGAGTTGTCCAACACCCGGACGATGCGCACGAAGCGAAAGACGCGAATCGTGGAGGCCAGCTGCACTCGCTCTCGGTAGGTGGACGCCGAGGTGGCCACGTCCAGCCACGAAGCAATGACCAAGGAATAGTCCAACAAATTTAAGAGGTCCTGAAGGGTTGAAAAGTCGGAAGTGACGGATTGACAAAAGGGTTGACAACTGAGAATTCTTCACCTAAGCCTCACAACTGACTCGTAACTGACTCATAATCCTCATTCATTGAGGTTCTGGAAGATCAACATCGAAGAAATCTGTGTATCTTTGACCAATCTTGGCTGGCTGAAGTTTCACAGAGGGATCTTAGGTGAGTTCCACTGGGTGGTGTTTTTGATCGCACCTGGTGCAGCCAAGCCTCTTGAAAATAGCCCCAGGACTGTTGATCAAAACGGACCAACAATTCGAAGGTAAAGAATAAGCCTCAGAAAAGACCATGCCTGTGGAAACCCAGCTTCGCACCCTTCTTTTTACCTCTAGACTCTAGAGCAGTATCAATGCTTGTTGCGCAATTGTCCAAAAGACTTGGCACTTTGAACAGTTGAAATCACACATCATGTCTCTCTGGGTCAAATTCAAAGATTGTGTATCCAGCTGCAGGGTTGCCCAATTAACACAACCCTCAATTTTGTGTGACTGTATGGGCATTGGTCCGGCTGGGTTCAATGCGTCCTGGAAAGAAGGAGCCATAAACACGTTCAACATTGGTTTTTTGGCATCCCACTTAAGTCCATGAATTCCATAAACCCACCCGTTCAGAAGATTGTATATAATCCGTTCCAGTCCCGTGTTTCTGCCAATTTTCAGAAGTTGTTCAACGGTTTTTAAATCTAATGTCCAATCATTTTCCCAGCCATAAACATCCATTCAGTTCGGGGGATGTTCCATTGCTATGTTGACGGAGACAGGAAGCAAAAGAAGGCCTCGATCGCCACAAAGCCTAAACGGTCCCATGCCATGACTTCTTTGGCCGAGTCCACTTCGACACCTCAGTGCACGGTGCCAAGAAACCTATGGGATATCCATTGGTTTTCTAATGACATCCCCGGCCCCTTCTACTCGAATGGTCTGCCATGTCCCCAAAAAACGCTTCTGGAAACGCTATGGCCCAAGGACCCACCAGGGTGGTGTTGATGACAACGGCCACCATGATCAAACCTCGGAACTATGACTACCAAACCGTTGGTTGGCAATCATGTGCAGTGGAAACTTGCGAAAGTATGCGTACACTATCATGTATACATTGCGTACTGTTATACAGCGTCTCTCATAAACTCTATGTAAAGGTGCTACCATCATGACTCCCTGGGTCCAAAAAAAACACACTGTGGGAATTTGTGCTTTGTGTAGGAACGTTAGAGAGTTGAGCTTGTCGACGCCTGGAATATCCTAAGTCACCTGGAGGATTGATGCAGCAAAATTGATCAAACTGGTCAAACTGGAGGATTGATGCAACAAAATTGATCAAACTGGAACAGCTTGGTCAACAGTTCAAACCAAAGTGCAGGTACGTTTGCACGACATCATGGATGGGTCTTCGTTGGCCTGCGAATGTCAAAATGACCAATCAAACAAATGACCGTTTGTTATAACGGTTTTCACACACTTGCTCAGAAATGTCTTATCGAATTATTGATGTGGAATGCATCTGACGTGCAAAAACACTCCAGTTAAACCTGACACAAAGAATGAACAGTAATAAATAAATATATATATATATAGACGTATAATCACACAGTAGACGTTGATCCTATAAAACAACAGAGTGAAACCAAAACAATTAATTTAAAAACAGAACTCAGTTCCTAGATACCTAGAGGTCGTGCGTTATTCCCTTGCCGGGACGGTAGTCAGGTCAGCCCAGAGGGCATATAACGGCTGTTCAAGTTCCATCGAATTAAGTGCACAACATGTTGTACCTTACCAGAAAACGACAAAAAGCAAAAAGGACCACACCTGGAAAGCGTGTACCTGCCTTGCATGTTGTGAAATGTTTCAAAAGCTTGAGCAGCAGCAAAACAAAATTGTTTCTGGTTGTTCGGTACGGCGGCCAGTACACAGAAGAGCGGAATCACAGGAGTCTCCAGGGACAGCAGGAACGGCGGGACATCATAAAAGGTGAAGAACGGAAAGGCCGACTGTTACACTTTACTTAAACGAATTACCAGATTAAAATGTGTTAATTCAGAAGCCCAGTCTGTCAACATTCACCCTAAGAAGGGTTGCCTCCAATGGCTCCATGGTACCACGTCGGAGCCACCATGGAAATCACACTAGATAAGAATGGATCTTTTAATCGATCCGATGGGAACTGAATCCCCTTCCGGTTCTTGGCTTAGCCGGTTGCCATGTCGGAGGGATGGAATCAAGACCCTAGAAATTCAAATTGAACTGATGCAAACACAGTACGGCGGTTAACAGAAACTGAAGTCAACAGTTCAACTTATCAAGAACAGGTACGTGATCGAGGCGTCCCTCAATCATATCCTGACGAATGGCTGGAGCTTCGTTGGATCAGGCCAGGCCAAACGTCCCTGATCCCCCTGCAATGTAGAAGGAGAGAGAAAAAAGAAAAAGGAGAGGTTTTACACACACACGGTTCGGTCCCTAGACTATTCCCATGCCATAGTTCTTTATCAACATCGCTCGAAAACAGGGTTACTGGATGATGCTGAATTTCGAATTCGTGGGAGTTTGAAATTCGAATTTTAGACTTTCTGGGTTTCTGGCTTGTGCTATGCATCTCCATAGCTGAAATCTGAATCTTATATCTGCCAATTTCCTCAATGAAATTGTACCATGGATTGAGAAGGGGTGAAATTCAAATTGCATCCCTTTTGTGTCTTTGCTCAGCGCAGCTCAGCTTTCACCCGCTCCTCTGCTTCGAGAGGCGGCCGGCTTTCTAAAGGACACGTGGCTTCATAGTGACACCAATCGACAAATCCCAAGACAATGGGATGTGCTGCCACCAATCGAAACTGCATGCTCAATCCGGAGGTGGAAATTCAAAGTTCAAATCAAACGGAAGGAACGAAGAACTGGTTCAAACATTCAATTTCAACTAAGTGCAGACATTCGGCGATGGAAAATCAAATTTAAACCCAACAGGTAGCAACATACAAAATTCAAATGTTAGCTGTTGCAATGTGGCCAGAAGCTAGAATTCAAATTTTAATCCGAAAAAAAAAGGAAGCTCTAGGATAACAGCTGAAATCGGAATTTCAAACTGAATGCAATGGAGACCGTCTTCCCAACAGATTGAAATTCAAACTTCCATAGGAAATTTGAAAACAAGACATATCCTGGATGCCTAGGATGCCTGCCCTGCTTTAAGTAACAAAAATGGCAAAAAGCACCGGCAAACGATAAATAATATAAATGTGCCGCCAGAAAAACCGTTGAAGAGGGGCGAGTTGGCGATGTGTTTCTCCTGCCGGTAAAGATGTGTGCGGTATTCAGGACCTCAGAGATCCAGCCGAAGTAGCGTAAAGGGATTGTGAAACTTGGAGCTTTCCCTGGTCAACTCGGAGAGTTTCCCAATGTTTCTCCAGTTTTCTCGGCTTTCCAAGGTGCTGAATCTGATTCAATCTGGAATCTCTACTGGAATCGAATGAACTCTCATCTGGCAACTGACCCTCTGTACACTTCAGGCCAGCTTTATGCCGTTACCCAATACACACAACAGCACTGCCTTCAGATTGAAGAATTGGTGATCCCTGTCCCAAACTTGAGGGCATTATCTGAGCCAGTAAGTTGTAAAGTCCTGCGTACTGCTCGTTCCATGTCAAGTCTGCTTCAAAATTGTTATACAGATCGTCACAGGATTGGTCATGATGGCTCCATCAAAACGCTTTCGCCTCGGTACCAAAAAGGTCCCAAACATCCACGAAGCCGGGAACATCGTTGCTCTGCGGTTGTAGGGAGCTTACCAACCTCGCATCAAAGAAGACAACCAGGACCAACGCGGACCCAAATGGGTTCCATTAAATGGGAGGTACCCCCAAAATGGATGGTTAATGATAAAAAAAAACCATTCAAATGAATGATTTGGAGGAACCAATATCAGCCAGGAGGCGAATGACATCTCCCGCTGAACCGTCTCGACAACCAAGACATGTGGAGCCGCCCCGTGGGGGCGACCCCCAGGGTTGCATGGAGCTCTTGAGGATTCACTGGGAAAGGGTCACCTTGACCATGGCGAATGCTGATTGGATTTTGTTCTAAGATTTCCAAGCCTTCCAGTCCTGTGCTTCCGGAAACCTTCAGAAGCTTCTGATTGTCTATGCTGGGTGGCTGCAGTTTTGCTTCTGTTTCTGAACCCAACGCTGCAAAGTGCACAGAAAAAATGGAGGTGGCTGTACCGAAATCAAATGGGCTAGACAGATGGTTGCACATCACATATTTTGCAATGTGATGTATGTCCAGCTAGAAGAGAAATGGTATCCTGATACAGATTCACAAGACTTGCGAAAGTTCATGAGGTAAACCCCCCAAGTGCCTTTAGACCTCTTCATTCAAAATCATGGGGTTTCCGGCTGGGGGGCCCAACATCTGCATCTTACAGTATTTGCAGAGACCCTTTCTCACAGGCAGGAAGATCCGTGCTCTAGAGCCAAAAAGGGTAGAAGAGCTTCCTTAGAAACCCAAAAGATAGGTTTGGAACCAAGACGAAAAAATGAAAAAAAAACTCTCTATTTGATCTCTTTGTGAACCCCGATCACTTACACACACACATGAGATCACACACACACACACATGAGATCATTGAATGTTCTTTCGCTTGGGGCTGAACCCCGGACCAACCTGAGAGATGTAGAGCATCAGCACGAGGCTCACCCTGGCAATTTGGGAGTCCATTGAGTATAGTGGTCCCCGAATGGCAAACGAACGTCAAGTTCCAAAAAAGGTTTTTAAAAACTCTATTCGACTCATTGCCATCTATTTCCAGACCAGAAGATCATCGTCCTCCAATGGGCCCACTGCCTTCGCCTTCTCGTCCAACTCCTCCTTCTTGGCCACACCTTGAAATGGGAGCGGAAACCACAGAAAGTGGCCCTAGGCTGCAGTTTGGGTTCATAGATTCTGATACGAAGCTTTGATCAAACGTGTGTTCTGAAAATGACACAGACCTACTGTCAGCTTCTGAATCAATAGGTAGAGGATGAGCGGAAATCAGGAACTGTACGAACATACAAACCCTATCCTGGGCAACCCTGGGCAGCTACAAACACTGTTCGGACCATTCGAGTGCGTGGAAGGGCCTGCCACTTTCATCTCAACATCGCCACCAGCCTTCCCAACACGTGTGTAACGAAAGCAATGGTTCCGTATTTTGAGTATGAAGGCAGTTGGGGCGGGTTCATATTTTTGAGTCTCAAACTCTGTGACCAAGTGCAATCCAGCTTGCATTCCCTCAACAAAGCGGAAATGGGGAACCTAGGCGTTTCCCTGCAAAGCGGAACATGTAAACGTGACGAAATCATCGAATTTGGGGCTCCCCTCCCCAATTTTGTGGCGCCATGCCACGCCTCTGTCTTGGCTTGTGGGTCAGCTTGTGGCTCTGCTTGGGGCTCCTCCTCCCCGCCAAAGTCAGGCTGATCCTCCACATCCTGAGCCCAGCCCATCTATTTCATGCCATCTATCTGCATGAAAATCACACTGGCCACTCACATCAGCGCCTCGACGACCTCGGTCTTGACCTGTGCCTCCGCCAATGATCGTCCACCATGTGCCACCAAACACTCCCTACACTTTTAGATTCTGCAAATGTTGGACATCCAATGACCAAGTACTTTGGAGCCTCACAACATGTTAATACATGTTAGGACATCCTCCGAGCACTTCCCAACCTGAACTGCTGCAGGCATGGCGAACTTTCGTAGCTGCTGCGGCACCACGGGATGCACCGATTCTATCGGTGATTAGCGAATAGTTGGGGACTGCTGCTAGTCTGCTAATCTAAGTCGAAGAATTAGCAGGGAATTTGCGATTCATGTTTGATCTGGGCGAACTTCCTGCAAAAGTTGCATACTCTGCATTTGTCGACTGCTCGGCACCTGGCTAGAGAATCCAATAACTTCTTAGGCCTTCACGATTACCTTTGATTCTGACGAAGTTCTCAAATTTTGGGGCTTCTGATCCTCAGACTGATAGCCATTGATTCATAGCCTGTGCATGAGCATCATGAGCCAAGCTTTGAAGAACAATCTGAAGAGCTCAAGCCCTGGGATCCGAACGGGGGGATCGCAAACCCCATGCCAGTCCCATCCTAAATAGTCCTGAAATACATGATTGATCATGATATAGCTGCTATATTTCCGGGACATGGGGAAATTTGGGGATACTGTACGGATACTGTACGGATACTGTACAGGATATGCTTGGGGGACACTGGACACTGTCTGGTTTTGAAAAATCTGCTTTGCCAAGTCCCTGCCAAAGTAGTCACTTTTTTTCTCACTTTGCGCTGGTGCAGGACCACAAACATCTCTATCATTTGGGACTCACACTCAGCGGAAACCGCAGTGTCAGACCCCAAAGGTTCAACAGGGAGGCTCAGCATGCCCCCAGAGCCAGCAGATTGACAGATACCTTCAGCTGACCACTGAAAAATATCAACAGCTGAACTGGACCGACCATCTGCGGCACAATTTGGCCGGCTGCCCAAATGAGTCTACAATTGGGTTGACGGCAAAGAACGGATGACTACTGATTACAGCCGAAAAGAGTGAATCAGATTTCTTCTAAGTGATTCGAGGCAAATTTACATAAGATATCACTACCAGGAAAAACGTTCGGTTCAGGTGTTTCCAAGCACATGGTTTTCACCAGTGCTTCAAGCGGGCTTAGTTTTTTAATCAGCAATTTACAGTATGTGTTGTAATGACTGCAGTGATCCTTTCCGGGTGCAAGACATAGGCTGCAGCAGTTTAAACTCTCGGCAAATCTCATCAGGCAGCCAGCCGTGAAAATAGGTGCTCAAACATCCCGGTTTTGGCCACGGCCATCATGGAATGCACTTTTTGGATATCATGGGCCCATGTGTCCATGTCGTGATTCCAGATCCGCGGTGATCGGAAGAATGCCACATCTCTCCAAAACCGGCGCTGCGAGCGACCCTTCGTGACTCCGTTGTGCCGCACAGCGGACTTTGAGGGATGGCCTACCTGTCGGACTGGAGGCTTTGAAACGCCAAAGATACCAAGAAGTGGTTTTCAACCCGAAGCATCAACAACTCAGCTGGAATCATCAAAAAATCATCAGATCATGTTTCAGATAACTCATGACGGATCCCTGCCGGCACCTGGCGTCTCAATCGTCATCGGCCAGGAGTTCAACACCTCCCTCTGTGCCCGGCACGTCAAGCCTCGGCGCAAGGCCGGAACTGTAATGGCAGGGCTGGGGATGTGAACCTCGTATGCCAAATCGGATCATCATAAAATCATGTGATATGATGTCATTACATGACGTAATATGATGTAGATCGAAACAGTGTGACCAACATGGTGATCTTGAAACTTCGTCCCGCAGTTAGATACCAAGAAAACCAAAGTCAACTTTCCCACTACCACTTTTCCGATGTTTGAAGCTTTCCTGAGCTACCTGCCCTGCACTGGCGATGTACTCGCGAAGCCTCAGCCGTCAGTTCCAGGGTTTCTGCAAGGATCAAATAGGAGCTGCTTCATCATCTTGAGACTGGCCCCAGCATCAGCCCAAAAATTAGACCAAGACCAAAATCATTCGAAATCTGCGGTTTGGCAATGGCTTGACTCATAGCCGGTGTGTTTTTGCTCAGAATACTTTAAGCTCTTGGCAGTTTGACTTCCTCTGTCCGCTTCCTGAGGATGTCCTAAACGCACAGGAGAGGCGGTTTGACAAGCCCCAGTTGATGTCAAAGGATGACACAGGTAGCAGTGAAATTGGAATGGTCACTATTTGGGGGGTTCCCTTATGAAATTGTTTCTTAGCTAGTCATGGGTTACTGATCACTGATCACCATTCCATGATCAATAATGTCCACAACTAGAGTGATGGATGATTTTGATGATCGGATTGAATGGACGTGGACGATAATGACAATAGTTTTGAACCAAGATGGATCCATGGATTCTTTGATCCAACCATTGTGGACATCCATGATCATCCATGATCAATAGAACCAAGATGGATGATTTTCATGCGATTAGCAGCCTCCCCACAGCCAACGGCCAACCTTGAGATCTCTGAACTGAGAGGAGGAGCCCACGTGCTGCGCAGCGCGTTGCCGGTCACCCTATCTGAAAGGTCATTTAGTAAATCTAAGTAATGTTGGTAAAGCAATAGTAAACCATCCCCCAAATTTACCATAAATGGGTGGGATTGAAACCATCAAAATGTGGGTGGCTGCCTATTGCTTTACCAACATTACATCTAAGTACGCTATTGTCCATCAAATGTTGAGGGGTCACTTTGTGTGTGTGTGTCGACTGGACAAACGCAATTTCGAAGGATTCTAGGAATGCCATCTACCTCCACCCGTTCTTGTGCTGAAACAAAGAATTTCAACCAATTGAATTTGCTGCCTTGGAGAGACCACAAATGTGTGGAAAGAGTGTTCTGTGTGATACAGGTAAACCCAGCCTCAAAGCTAGGCAGGTACAAGTACCCAGATCGATTTCTATCCTCCAATGATCCAACATGACAATGCTAACCCCCAATCATCTGCAGGAAAAATCATATTTCTGCACCTCAGAAAGTTGGCTCTGCGAAAGGGCCACTTGAGCGCCTGCCTTGCTGTCGGGTTGATGAGATGGACTGCAAATTCAGCTACAAAGACTCGTGCACCAAGAGTAAGAGGGTGAGTTTACCTCCAACCATGATCTTGGAGAAATCACAGCATTACATCATCATCATCATCATCATCATCATCATCACATTTGACTGGAGTCTTATCCTTCATCCCTGTTTTAGTCTTGTAAACAACTGACATGCTTTTTGATTTACCCATTTTCATTACAGAAAAGTATAGAAATGGATCCATGTTTTGGTTTACATGGTACCATATATTATCATGGCTGTTTTCTGTTAATGCAACTGATCCCATTTTGGGATGATGAAATGAGCTGATCTCTATCCACAATGCCTGATCCAGTTGCTCGGACAGTTGCGACCTCTCATGTGTAAGCTCAGAGACCTGCGCTACGTCGCTACGTCGCTACGTCGCTAGCGTGTGGCTCAGTGCTGAGATCAGAACATCAAGGATATGCCAACTAGTAGTTACCAACAGTCATGCTATATTCATGGTGAAAATGAAAACCTGCGACTTTAAAAATGTCACATCCAAAAATCACCAAAAACACCTTTCAGTATCTTTCAGTTAGGAGTGGCTGGAAGTTTCGAGTGGATTGCCTCGCCTGTTGTTGCATCTGGGAGTACCGTTCTCTGAGCTGAGCATTGTCTTGCTCAAGCTCCTCCGCAAACAGCGTTGGTCACGGCTGAACTGCAACTACATATGGCGTGCAAATGATCACTGTGAAAGTATGCCACATAAATATGGTTGATTTCACGGAATTTAAGACCCAACTCTGAACTTCAGCCACAAGACCAGTTGAGGCTTCATAGACTCTCATCTCCAATACAGCTTGTTTTGTCTCCACTCCTGCATTTTGGCCATTGTATTTAGGTCACCCGCTGGACCCAATGGCGAAGGAGGCGGCGGCACGCCGCCCAAGGAGGGAAGATTCGCATTGCGCTTCCCCATGGCCGCTGGCACCTGCCGAAACATGGGCCCATTCGCCCAAGGATTTCAAGGCCTAAAAAAAAACTCAAAGGTCAAACTTGTAACAAAGCACAACACAACTCATGCTGAAGTTGTGAAGTCATCCAAGTTTCAGGCCCAACGAAACATATGGGCAACCAGCATCGCACCCTTTCAAACAACGCCAGAGGTACGAATCCTTGCAAAGCCAAGGAAGCGATCTGATCGATGGAATTCCTGAGACCGTAAGAGCTCTCCAGCAAAAGACACAACTACAAATTCAATTCAGATCCAACCATGATCTACATTACCATCCATCTTTCATTGGATGTCCATGCATATCCATAGCAAATCCAATCTGGCAGATCATAATCATACATCATATGAATAACTATACTATCTGGTTGGTGGTATACCTACCCCTCTGAAAAATATGAGTTCCTCAGTTGGGGTTACTATTCCCAACTGAATGGAAAGTCATAAAAGCCATGTTCCAAACCACCAACCAGCTATAATATGTCAACGAATGATGACACCGCAAACATCCAATCCTCACAACACAACCCCGACACGTCGAACGATTGCTGGGTCCCTGGACTGATCCTCAATGGCTGCCATGTCGATATCGATCGGAACCCCGAAGCTTTCAGCCTGAGACCGACCCAAAAATCCATCAGCTCTGGGGAATGTCCACGAGGAAAAACCCTCACTTGTGCGAAAAACCTTGGCCATCTTCTGTGAAAAATGTTGTGAAAAATGAATTGAGGTTGTACTGTTTGGTTGTAGTGTCTAGTTGCAGTGTTTGGTTAATTGGATATATGTTCAGATAGTTAAGATGACAGTATAGATCAGTTGATTGGCAGAAATAGGGGTTTCCTAAAATGCGGGTACCTCCAAATCATCCATTTTAACAGGACATTGCATTATAAACCATCCAGGTCTTAGGGGACCCCCATTTTAGAAAACCCCCAAATGGGTTGTGTAAGTTGTGTAGGTTAGTCTTGGTACATCCCACTGCCCATTTTTTCTAAGGCCAGCAGCCCGATGAAGGACTTGCGAAACATAGACCGCAGAGAGGTTGACGAAGCCCTGCAGGAAGGCTTTCTGTAGACACCCCTTCGAAAGGAAAAGTGTCCCATTTTGAAGGATCCAAAGCGAATACACTAACCAAATATACAGTAAACAGGAAAAACAATGGGAAACAAAGAAAAACAAACCATGAAACATGCCTGGAGCATCCTGCAGCCTTTTGTTTGCAGCCTTTTGTTTGCAGCCTTTTGTTTGCTTCCAGCTGCAAAGCAAAAAATGCATCCAATTGCTCGTTTTCCTGCTGCACTTGCTACACTTCAGACTCTTCGACTACCCAAAGGTCCGTCTTTCCAAGCTAGACCCCAGCAGTGGGGATCTTGCAACTATACCATAGACAAATTGGGTTGCTGTGCAGCACGAATTGCTCTAGTTGGCATGACACACACGTCACATTTCATGAGTCACATTTCATGTCACCGTTGTGTGTCACGAGCTGTGCGGTGCCCCGAGCAATGCCACAAGCTCGTGGGCTGGGCTCGACGAAGGCGCCAGAATTGGGTGCCGACCAGAGGCCCACTGCAACAACGGGAAATGGAAAACAAGTCCAAAAGCTGATTCCATTTGATTGCTGGACATCATCAAAGGTTTCACAATTTAGCAGTATAGGGTATGGTATAGTATGGTATAGTATAGTATAGTATAATATAGTATAGAAGAGTACAGCAGAGTAGAGTAGAGAATAGTATAGAGTAGAGTATAGACAGTATAGCATAGTACAGTACAGTACAGTAGAATATAGTATAGTGTAGCATTTTATATTGTAGTACAGTATAGTGTAGTATAGTGTAGTATTAATAGTATAGTATAGTATAGTATTTTATAGTATACTATAGTAGAGTCTAGTCGAGTATTTTATTTATAGTATAGTCGTGTAGTATTTTATAATTATATAGTATACTATGGTAGAGTCTAGTCTAGTATTACTATATAGATGTATATAGAGTATGTGTATACCTGTACGTGTATATTATATATATATACACTGTATAATACTGTATATACATATGTATACTATACGAGATCCAAACGAAGCACTCCCGGTGGTGCACAACATGCTAGGGGCTTGGTCTTTAAATGTCCCCGTGCATAGTCAAATTGGGCGGACTGGCAAACGACCGTGTGCTTATTCCAAGCATCACAGGTGCCTGTCCTGGAGCTATCAAAGCTATCGAAAACTTACGACCTCAGATTGACCAGCAGCTGGCAATCTTACCAAGTCGTCCAAATCTAATCTAACTCGAAAGGAGCTGGTGACATGGAAGCCTTAGCCTCGAAATGATGCCCTTGAGGAAATGCTACTGAGAAATTGAGCTATTGGCACTATTGGCTATTGAAGCGATTGGCTGATGGCATCGGCTCTCCAGTTCCCTTCCCACCTTCCAAAAGGCCGCGGCCTTGAGGCCGACTTTTAGGCGCTAGTTGGATCCGGTGGCGACAGGTGTCCCAGGTGTCCCAGGTGTCCCACCATGTCATTCAGGATCGCTCGCGGAGCTGGGGGGATCCCGGAAGGACCAAAAATCCTTCTGAGGTGCTCCTGCAGCCAAACTATGCCAAACTTAGGATTCTTTGAATTTCTGTGATGCAGTTCATTTGGTTTCAGCTCAAGTTTCAGCTGTGGTTTCAGCTGTTTCCCAGTGAAAAATTTCCAAACCAAGGACGGACCACCCGGTCCTCCTGCGGCCTGGGCTCAGGGGATTGAAATCGTCGGTGTACATCCAGCTCCGACTGCCAGGGACCACTACCCGAAGTCGACAGAGATCCAAGGTCCAAATGGTCCGTTTATGGTCCGTTTCCATCTTTGAAACATGGACTATAACATACTATAACCACTTATAACCATTGTTTCACCAGCTTCTGCGGAACAAGCTTCACCAAAGCAGTGACGCTATGTGACAGTGCCAGCACCATGACCCACACCTTAGATCGTCCTCGGCGGTTCCGTGAGCGCTCCCGGGTCACAGAGGCTGCCATGGTCATCTCTTCGCCGGCGCTCGGCGGTCGTCGAGCGAGTTCTGAGCTCAAAACGCTGCCACTTTTGTCGGTCCCAGAGAATGCTAAGGAACTGTTAAGGAACTGTTAAAGAGTGTTACAGTTCACACCGTTCACACCGTTCACACCCCAAAAAAGTGCATGAAATTGATGATTGGATCTCAACCACAAATGTGGTTTGGTTTTAGCTGTGACCCATACAATCCCATTTAAATGTTTTTGGGAGAAGCTTTTGATGCGAACCTGGATGAAGCTGGATGTTTCAACTACAAGTATACCGTATACCAGTTCTTCAAAAGTTGCCCCCCACAATGACTCAACCGATTCAACTTACAGACCCTCGTACTTTTGCCGCCCTCTGCATGCTTTGATGCTGGAATCCTAGCAGGGGGGGCAGCCATGACTTCGTCAAGCCGCCCCAGGTGTGCAGCTGGCGCTGCATCGGCATCTGGTGAGCGTCCAATGAAGGGGCATCAACGATCAGAATAAGTTGTGTCACCACATTGTCCCCACAGAGGAATGATCTTCGTGGTTTTGGAAGATTTTGGCATCAGCTCACCGCTCAGATCCGATATGTTGCAAACTCCGACTCAGCTGTCTTGGCCTGCACCGGAGTCACATCTGCCTGGGCTTGGCACAGACGTTCCTCTCAACACAAAATACTCCATGCCATGGAAAATCCTCCAAATCTTTGCATAAATCATCACAAATTCCTAGTACTATTAGTACTGGATTCTCACGGCTCCAAGGTACAGAGCGCCGAAGTCGCCCTGTATGTGAAAACGCTCTCACACGGATCCTGGGGTCATCTGGGGTCGGCTCGTGAGAGTTGCTCCAAACAGTGACCACAAATCGCTGTGGTAAGTTCTTCCAAGGCACGAAGATCTACTGAGGAACAAATCCTGAGGCAGCATGATCAGCATGGGCTTAGAGATCTGCAATTTTGCTTCAAAAAAACTAGTGCCATGAGCCAAGTGCCATTTCAGTTCCAAATCGGTGCCAAATGCCGTCCCAGGAACAAAGAAACCATAGGCATCGTCGTCACCCTTGAGTTCCGGCATACCTGGGCCGTTTCCATAGGGTGAGCTAAAGGGGTAACCGGACAACCACTTCACCTTGACATGTGTGGCAGATTGGCATATGTCTGGTTTGATGGAAAGCTGAAAGCTATGAAAACGATGAAAAATTGGGAATAATGCAACTTGCCTCATGGCTTGTCCCATGTCTCTGACAACACACTTCAAAAATGACCCAAAAATCTCCCCTCGCAGGCGCACGGTCCGAAGTGATTCCGCCACCGCCGCCAGAGATAATGGTGGCGAAAGGAAAGGCTGGAGCCTCGGCCCATGGTTTCAGTCCAGTCTCTACAGTGACTCTACAGGTCTCCACCACTCCACCACTCCCCTGGGTGTTCCGGGCAGTTTTTGTGGTCTCACCTGGCAACAAGAGTTTCTGGTAATGCCGATGACCAGAGATGATCAAATCGATCCCATACCTGTCGAGCAAAGGCAGCTTTTGCACTGGCTCTGGCTACAGCGGCTACAGATTAAGTTGGAAGTTGGTGAATCTTCAGCTCCCAAAAGCCCAAAACCATCCAATTTATGATGGGATCCAAATTTTTGTGGGCAAACTGAGACAACCCTAGCGACGACCTTTTTGTGCTGCAAAATCTCTGAGAACAACAAAGTGCTGCTTTCAAGGGCCAAGCGAAGAGGGCTGGGGTTTTGAAACAAACTGCCCGTCAAGAATTCAACACTCTTAGTCCCCATACTATGCCACGACACCAAGTGGCACTCTGCTTTCACCAACCACCCAAGCACGGTCCCCACCTAGTACCTATCTCGGTCCAAAAGTCTGCCTTTGGCTGGGGTGGAATGACACTGCGGAAGCTATGTTCAGTGAACAAAAACAGGGAGGGAGTCTATTTCTACTTCCCTCGGTGCAAATATACTCCCTTGTCCCACAACCTTGTGCAAACTACCTGAGACAAAGCACACATCAGCGTTTCACATCTGTGGTGACACCTGTGAAACTCGACCATTGACCTTCCAGCACCACTATTTCAGGTAAACCCTTACATGCTACCTGCTGTAACAGACCTAACAATACTCATCCCAGCGACATTGTACTCTGGCGGAAAATGAGAGACCACGATTTGCCAGTCCTAAGATCAGCGCAACATTTCCCAAGCTATGACCGGACCTGGCTATGCCATGTTATTCCCCTGACCTGAAGCAAAAACCAGGGCCTAAAGCCTAAAGACTGCAGAAAGTTGGCAAAGTGCATTGGCGAAACAGTCTTCAAAATAGTCTTCACAACAATGATGTCATCCTTTACTAGACTTTACAATGCTTTATCATGCTTTTTTTTCCTTGCCATACCCTGCTCCGACTCAAAAGTCAGCTAATCACAAGGCGTGGGCGTAGCCAAGAAGTTAAAAGAGTCTCTGCATTGCGGCTGTATAAATACCGTGATCATCATCAATTTCAGAATAGAGATGTCGGTTCAATACATGTTCATGGACATACTTTTTGGTATGATGCAGCTAGTTCTGCCTTGGTTTGCCAACGCGTTTCTTTCCATAATCAAGTCGATGGGCTGAGTCTGGAAGAAAAGACACTTGTCTTAAAGGATCGTCTGCATTAGTCCGGAGGATGTCTCCCATAAGCTTGGCCCTTCGATTATTATGAAATTCGCTGAATAACTGAATTTTGCATTGGTCTCCAGGGGCAGTATATACAATAGAGGTTGCCTCTTCGAGCACCCTTTGGTTCGTGCAGGTTCTATCGTAGAATGTGGTCGGTCGACCCAAGATTTTTCTCAGGCCCCTCATTTGGAAGGCGTCTAGTTTTTTAGCCAAACTCTGTGTAAGATGGAGGGTTTCTAGACCATAAAGCAGTGCTTCGAATAATTGCATCAAACACAATAAGTTTCCATTTTTTGCTTGATCTGGTCGCTTTCCAATAAGGGGTCAACTTGTACTGTACCAGGTCCGTCGAACTTCTGACATTTTGTGTTTATAATTTCATGTCTGACATTCACTTCTTTATTGATTTCATTGCCTAAGCACGTCAAAAGGTCTCGTGCTTCGAAATCTCCACCCACTGTTGTCCCCCATCAACGTCAACGTCCAAGCTTCGGCTTTCGACAATTTGAGGCGATCATCTAACCACCTGCCCAGTGCCAGGTGACAGGATGACCCACCAGCGACCCCAACGGCCTTGGCACACTACAGATCTGTGCATTCACTTTTTGGTGATGGATAGCAAGGATTGCAAACAGTTTGGCATGCTGGGCGAAGTTACCACACCAGAACCGTGGCGACATGGTCGACAGAGCAGTGCAAGAGAGTCGCACCTCTTCTGCACTTCCCAGAGGCTCTCAAACCAACTGTGGCATGCATCTTGGCTCACAGGTCCTGACTCTCAGCATATTCATGACATACACGAACCAAAATGAGACATGAGTCAAAATGATCTCTGCCACAACATGTGGCTTCTTGTGCACGTCATTTATTTGTCTGACCCCTACCCAGATCTCGCCATTTGAGTCAACATGAGTCAACATAATCAACCGGATCATATGGATCTGGAGAGTCCTGTAATGGAGCACCTCAGAACGCTGAAACAGCCGCTACTGCGAATTGACGGAGCAAGAACTTCGAAACTTGGGAGACATCAAAAAATGGCAACATGCTCAGGGTAGAAAAGGAACTTAGGTCACTTCGGCGTCCCCAACCGAACAGTACGAGTAATAGCCAGTAGTAGCGGTAGTGATCAAGGCACCCTCCTTGCGAGTTGTGCGACTCGCTGCAGATGTTGTGCCCGTCTTTGGGATCTGATGCATTGAAGTTCCACGCATTGTTCACGTTGGTGTCCTGGGACAAATTCCGCTGGTGAGACCAACTGGACAGGTGGCATTACTGGACCAAGATCTGTTGTGCGATCTGTTAAACCCAGTTTAGGATGTTTAGGTCAGCAAAAAAAAGAGAGAAAGTCTCAAGTCCGCACATCCCACTGCTTCAAGTGATTCCACTTCCAGGTGTTCAGGCAGGCGTCCACGAAGTAATAATCGATGGAGAAGTCTAAGTAGCGCACTTTCACCTCAGGCCAGCGCCGTCAGCGCCATGAAACATCTTGAAATAGTTTTTATGCGCATAAAAACCACTTGAAATGCTCACCAAAAATCACCAAAAGAGTTTCGGCCAGCTTTCATGGGCAAGTTTTGCACAACCAATTTCATCCAGTGATGCTGTGGCATCCCCCCGTTGTCCCAAGGCCTGATAGAACTGTGCAGGTGTGAACCATCGTCCAGTACCTTAGCGCCGCAATCCATTGCGGCTGACCGATCCTGACTTTTGACTGGTGACCCGACGGACAGAGTCCCGTCCAAGCAACTGTGGTGACCTGCCCAAGTGTAGAAGATCGTCTCGTGCCAGCCCGAATTAAACTTGAAGCCTAACGGGCAAGTTCCGATGCACTCTTTGCATGGGATCAGCATGGATCAGCAGATCATTCATGCGGGGCTCCCAATTATTTGTCAGACTCAGAATTAATTGACCCATACCGTACCCATCTCGTTTCTACCAAAGTCAGTCTAGGAGTCTTCGAACAGGCCCCAAATTCCGGAGTGCCAACCAGGACTATTGCACATACTGGAGGATGTCAAGAAGCAGAATCAATCCACTGCAACGGCGCAATGGAAAAGAAGTCAAGTCGAGAAGTCCCGCCCCAAAAGGAGACTCACTTTGATTTTGCTAATGATTTGATGACCTGCTATTCTATCTTTTCGGACACTGTATGACACTGTGATACATTGGGTCTGCCACAGCTGTGGTTCGCCACCATCCATGGTCACATCGGTCACTGTGCCCGCCTCCATAGTCATGGTTTCCAAGGACACCCAACCACTGCTTGCCATCCAATCCGCCGCCTGGCAACGCTCGCAATTCACTCTGCTACCAGGGATGATCATGTCCACGTTCCCAAGCTGATTAAAATCTTACATGGGCTGACAGCCAAACGCATTGATAATATTTGATAATGCTGCTGCCAAACGTGCGGATGATAGTCCATAGTCAAACCAGATCTGAGAACCAGCCATAATCTCTGTGGAAATCTCTCGTGAAAACCTTCGTGGCACATCGTGGCACATGGCAAAATCTCAACACTGGCCTCTGTACATCTGCTCGAAAATGGGGCCCCACCTCTCAGTGGGAGCTGCGGGAGCTGCCAGAGCAGATTACAACAGATGGATCTTATGGATCTTAATGGATCTCAATCAATGGATCTCAATGGGATAACTACTTAAGTTACTTAAGTATACTTAAGTTACTTAATGCATCTTCATGGTTCACATCCCATATCAACGCTGTTTACCATGTAAACTCCTGAGGCTCGTGAGGCTTGCACTGATTCCAGCTGAATCCGGTGAGGAATGCATTGTCGTTGCAAGTGGAGTTTACTCCGCCCCAGTAAAAGTTGTCTCCTCACCGGGCAAGCTGCAAGCGGCAACAAGCAACAAGCGGCAAGCTGCAAACTGGCCAGTTTCAGTTGAACTCAGAGCACCCCTGTCCATCCTGCCCCCTTGGTCCCCATGGCCCTGTCCTACATTCAACACATAATCTGGCGGCTCGTACATGGACAAATTCAGCATCGCCACAGCAACGCGGTGCCTTAGTGCACTTTTCTAAATTTGAAGGTGGTTCAGGGCCGATATGTGCCACATCTGAATCAGTTGCAACTGTGCCCATTCTTCCCGGTAAAATCAGGAAAAGACAAACATCACTTTCCATCACTTTCCATCACTTTCCATCACTTTCCATCACTTTCCATCACTTTCCATCACTTTCCCATATTTCACATTTTTTTTTACATGCTTTCAGCCCAAGCAGCTGAGCATAGTCATCCACTCCCCGCACGAAGTGTCGAGCCCTCTTAGGGAAGAGGTGCGATCGATGGTCCGCCGGCATGATGGGCATCTCCTCCTGGGCCAAGGATGGCGAAAGGAAAGGGAATCCCAATGGAATCCATAATGGATCCGTGGATCCATCCCTACTGTGGTAAATCCTGCACCAGTTCAAAAAGGTGGTTTATCATGGTTTATCCCATAAAAAAGGGCTTCAACCATCCTTTTGGTGCAGGATTTCGCATCCACAGTAGGGATGGAACTTCCAACATCTCCCAGTCGACTGCGGTCCGTGTACTGCACACCGCCCCAATCACCTGGCAAACACTGCTGCGGTGCTTGGGGGGGCCCAACAGTTTTACGAACCCAGCAGTGAACAAAATACATGACAGTGGGCAATGCTGTTACTAAGTCTAGGGACTTGCGTCCCCCTTTTTACTTTTTGCTGCTTAAGTGCTTTCCAAATTCGTGGCGTCCATTCTTTAATCTGCCCAACAAAAACATGTCCAAGATCTGGATGATGTCATTTTAGGGAGTGGCCTATGAACATTGGGTACAGATGGGTACAGTACCCTAAATCTCCAGTCACCAGATTGGATCCTCAGTCTCAAAGCCATATCGGACCAAGTTGCCTATCACCATCACATGTCGGGTGGCGCTCCTTGGTTCCGAAATTAAACATCAAACGGAGAGTGTTTAGTAAACGTTGAGCCAAGTTTTCCGGGACATGCCTCTGAATGTCGAGTCCCAAAATGCCAAAGCTATCCACAAAATATCAAAAACACAAAAACACACCAGGTAAAGGTTGATCAGTCTACTTTCAACACTTGCACTCTCATCTCTTGAAAGGATTTCAACGGCCCTTCTTTTTGACGCCAAGCATCTCCCAGAAGCAAACATCACGGATGGCCTTTGCAGCGACTTGGACTCAGAACAACTCAGCACAGCACAGCTGTTCCAGCGCGCCTGGCCATTGTGCTGCATGGGATCTGTCAAAGGCTTCAAGGGACGTTCGAAGACAACATTCGAGCAGTCCTGGTCACAGGTCACTGACAGGTCACCGGATGCTTCAGTCTTTGACATGGCGACGATATGAAAATCATAGGATACAAAAGTGCCAAATGGATAAGATTGGAGTTATGGTTGACAAGTTGACAAGAAAAAACCTGCATATATAATCTACAACATGTTTCAGTCTGGACATCTTCAATGAAAGACTGCCATCGAAAGTTCGTTCGGTCCACCTACGCAAGACAAGAGGAGTTGTTGATTCTACTGCTTCCAAGTTGCCGTTGGCAACGGCTGAACCGTCCTTGGAAAGGACAAGCCGCAAGCCAGGCAAGCCAGGCAAGCCCCTTTTCAGTGGCTAAACACACTGGACTTCACCCATCTTCACCCCCAAATGGATCCCCGTGGATCCCCATGGATCCCCGGACCTCAGAGAAGTCAGCACAGCAAGCGCTCGCAGTGCCATCGCCCCGAAGCCCATGGCCACAGGGAAGGACACAAAACAGCTACTGAGAAGGATCTGAAAGGATCTGAAAGCCTTAAGAATGAAAAATATGGAAAAATAATGAACAAATATGAACAATATCAAGCAAAAGTGTTTAAGATATGACTCAAGAGCTACTCGCAGCTGCAGAGATAAAGTCTGTGATAAGTGTGATCTCTCTGGTTCATTTCCAATGTAGCTGGTTCGTTTCTTTGTGTTTCCCTCAATGCCGGAGAACTGAAGAATCTGAAGATAGGAGTCTTCAAGTCAGTGAGGTCTTGTCCCAGCCTGTAGCATTCATGTGATGCAAGAGCTACACTTATTTCATTGCCAGCCCTTAAGCACCTCAACAGCCTCAACACCTACGACCTACGCTGCAGCAAAATGCGGGCAGTCGGCTACCCAGCGGACCATGATGGACCATGGCTCAACAAGTTTTTGTTCCCAATGATTTCTCCAATTCTTGGTTGCCTTCAAAAAAATGGACTACTGCATCAGCATTCATCAAGTGGAGGATTTGGGGTATCCCAAGTCTCTCGGGTATCTCCCAACCTAGAGACCCGCCTCTAGAGCTTCACGTACACTTCCAGCGGTCTGGGAATGGAAGGTTTCGAGCATCTCTTCAACCTTGTCCAATTGGAGTCCCAAACTGATCGCCAAATAACAGGGAAAGTGATGATCAACCACTAGATTCACTAGATCTGGGTACCTCAGACGAATGTTGGATGTGAGGCCATTGAAGGGGTCACTGTAGTTTGCCTAAGGTCATTTATTAGTTTGTGGATGTTTGTGGTCTTTGTCTTCGCCACCTTGACCTTCAACGCGCATTGCTGCTGAGGGGAGTTCATCTGCTCTGCTGAAGATGGCTTGATCGTCGGCCAACCTGGTGTCTGGGGACGATGGGGATTTACAGACCAGCAGACTCTGTGGCTTTACATCTTTTTCGGCATGTTCGAAATCACTTTGCAATTGAAGTCAGATTCGAAATAGCCAACAGGATCGGATCACAATGCACCGTGGAAAGTTTTCTGAATGGTATAGTGAAAAACACTAGCTGTGCCTGTCAGAAATGAACTCGGTCTTCTCTGATTCTCGCTCAGCCAGGAGACGTTCTCGTTTGGCTGCGCAGGTGACAAGCGGCCATTTTGCAACTGGGTGCCAAAAGGTAAGACCAAGAAAACGAAGAATTCTATACATATATATATAATATAATATATATATATGTGTATTATATATATATATGTATATAAAGACAATGCCACTGCCACTGCAAGAAACAAATGTGTAAATTCCAATTGCAACGAAACCCTTTTTGGTCTCCACATTTCTCTCGGTGCAAAAACTGGTCGTCTAAAGATCCATTTCAAATGTTGTAGGCTGACAGAAATAGACAGAAACTTGGCCGCACCCAGAATAAAACGTTCAACGGAAACGCCTTTGAAGTAGGAGATATATCTCTGGACTTGCGCTTTGTTCAAGTCACTCAACTCCTGGCATCGGGCAGAATGGATGGCAGGTGAAAGGGTGGTGATGGATTCATGGACTCAATTCAGGAGCCGATCGTGTCGCCATGGATTTGTTTTTAGCGCTGGCTGTCACCTGTTGAGCGCCAAGTTCAGGGTCAACTGATCGTTTCATCATTTAACAAATTGGGTACAAATTGGGTTTCAAAAGGGCCGTAGCAGATCCTGGCCGGACAATTCCGAGCAAATTCCGAGTAAACAATCGGGATTGCCGAAATCAAGTTTGGTTGATGGCGACTGTGCAATGTGAAGATTGTGGTTTCCATTTTGAGCTGAATGCCACAATTTGTCATCCTGGTCATCTTAAATTTGAAGCAAATTACAGAACTAACTGACTGAAGGTCCAGTCCAGGAGCAATCAATCACACAGTTTCCGCTCGTGGAAAAAGAATACACAAGTTATGTGAGAGTTTGCCAAGTACCCCAGTTGTGAAAAATGTGGATGCCATAATTCAAAACCAAAGTGACCAAAGTGTTCTCTGGGCACTTCACCAAAAGGGAGTTCCAACTTCCAGGGTGGCAGTGGCAGCATCCAAGACTCCCAGCAGACATGGTCTCAGCGAAGCCGTCACCTCAGATGACCCCATCCATCCCCATCCGGGCCCCATCCCTCCAGTTTTTGGTGATCTATTGGTGAAATAAAAAACAACAGAAAATCAAAATACTTTTGCTGATGGTAGTGTGTCAACTCAAATATATTAGAAATAACGTTTTGTACTCTGTGATTGATCAGTATAGTCATTTTCCTGTTGATTCGAATTCATGTCACTGGCGCATGTGCGTCACTATCTTATAAACCGTTCGGTTTTAAGTGGTAAACAACCATGATATCCCACCGTTCTTGTCCCGCACGTTTCGGTGCCGAGTCACGAGACAGAGCGCCGGCGGGTGCCGGCACAAGGGGGCCCTTTCGCCCAGGATTGAGCCAAGGAAACTGACCATAAACATCGCATTACGACGCACACGCTCGTGTTTGCATTCTTTGGTGCGTTGGGCGAGTCAACTGCTTCTTGTCTGACTCGGCTGCTTGTTGTCTGACCATGTCTGACCTGTGTTGTCTGACTCGCGTGCTGGTGTTGCTGCCACTCGGGCGTAACTCCAGAAAAGGAAAGCAGCTCTGCAGCCTGCAGGGTTTTTCAGTCGGTTTCTTTGATGGCAAAAACACTGATGGCAAATCAGTGATGCCCTCAGCACTTTTAGATACATGTTGCACTTGGAAATGTCTATTCCAACCCAAATCCTGACACTTCATGAAATGCCGTCAGTGGGGTCAACAAGTCACACATTGGGAAAAAGGTGCCAGCTGCTGCTGATGTTTTATCGATTTTGTCAGCATCGATACCTGGGGTGCTTCATGTGTTTTCCGAGCACCTCTGCTAGACGTGTTCAATTCCGACAATTTTCGCGGCTTGGCCGCAACTGTCAGCACTAGTGTGGCAAAATCAAAACCATGGTCCTGTGGTCCCCATAACTGTCACAATCTTTGTTTTTAAGCATTTTAAAATGTTTTTGGACATCGTTTGTCTTCAACTTTGAAGCCAATTTGAAACAGGGACCGATCGTTTTCGATGTTTTGAAGGACCAACGTCGGTTCCCGAAGGGCACAGATCAGCCCGAATCCATCCGAATCCTTTGCAGCCGCTCTTCAGCGGCGGAGCTGAAAGCAATTCAACTGGAAACTGGAGATGCGAACGACTCCCTGCAGTGTCAAACTCGGAGTCTGCTGATGAAAGGGCTGACGGACAGGTGAATTCGCGCTGTTGCCGTTCGCACTCAGGTCCAGCGAAGGAAAATCAGCAGGCTATCTGCGTATATGTCGCATATTGTCGCATGATGTCAGCGGGTCCTCCAACCCTTGGGGATCTCTCTAGAAACATTAGAAACAATGTACATATGATACAAACCTTTTCAAATCAAGGGCACGCGACATATCCAAAAGTTCCTTCAAAAAAGGAACATCTGAATTTGGTGCAAAAATGTGCAAATGTCAAAACGGGTCCAACTTCTTAGAAGCTGATGCCTTGGGAGAATGCAATTTCTCTGAGGTCTTGTTGTAGCTCGATGAACCACGCTTTCTGCGTCAGAAAATGCCACAAGACAATGACCAAATACATGACGAAGGACAACAACATTCGATTCCGTCGCGAACTGGATGCATTGTGACCTAGAAGCTGCACCCGATTCTGCCAGTTTTTGGTGTAGTCGATCAAGCCAGCCACTGGATCGATGAGGCCTGCAACGAGATGTTTGGTTTCGTTGTACCAGTTAGTCTTATGCGTCAAAGATTCAAAAGAGTATATAAAGCAAGAAATGGCACTTCTGGACACTTCCTGGGAGAGACTAGAATAATAAGAACCTTAAGAACCGAAAGAGATTAAAGAGATTGCCCAAATCATCCACCAAAAACAGCCAAGAGACTGGTGAAAAAACTGTCCAGTTGCATCCGCTTGTCGCCAATGGCCTTGTCAATGGTGAATTCATACCTCCAGCGTTCCATGCGTTCACGCCAACTTTGCAGAATCTTCAGGGTGTCTTCATAGAGGTGAACATCCAGTTTCACCAGCTTGTTCATGATCTGAAGCATTGCAGCCAGAATGCACGGCAAGAATAGCACGCAAAACCATGGAGTGATTGCGTGTTGGCCATGGATTAAGCCAACGGAGAATGCAAGGATAACGGCGCACATGACCATGATGATCGTCAAAGCAAAGAGGACCACTTGTGACTTCACCTCCAAAACCAAACAGTCTGCCCGGGCAAAGAGTTGAAGCAACGCGAATTTCCGTGTTTCAGGGAAGGTGATTTGCAAACAGTTGAATCCCTCCACATGATCATTGCCATCACCTGTGACCCCATAGGCACAAGGATCGTCTTCACCAAAATCAGGTTGTTTGGATGTGATTGCTTCACCTTTGGGAGTGGCTTCTGCAGGAATTGATTTGTTATCAATCTGCAACACCTGCAAAAATGACTGCAAAGTGGACAATTCATATCTCAAGTGACGAAAGCCCTCAGCAAGTGTCTTTCTGAGAAGGTTGTCATGGTCAAGTTTTTCTGCTTCGATGAGATCCACTGTCTCCACTAGGTTTGCCTCTTCCATCTGAAATGGCCGCAAAATGAGCCTCTTAAAGCAGGACTGATAGGTGGTGGTGAGCATTTGACGACGCTTGAAGGGTGCAGCCAGAAACAAAGTGGCCAACTGAGACAGCTCCATGCGGTCCAGGTTTTCGTTCAAATCACAACAAGAGCTGATCAGGTGTGCAGATGACGCGAAGGCCATCAACAAATATGCACGTTGGCAGTGTTTCACACCGTCATTCATGGAGAAGAAGACGTCTTCACAATCCGTCAGAAAACGCCAAATCGTCGGAAAGAATGCAGGGCCAAGGCTGCAAACCATCAATACCAGAAGCTGCAAAGGCGAGGCCTGGACCGGTGGACCAGTACTAGAATTCACTAACCACTCCAGCAATTCATGCAAGAAATCTACGCGTAAGGTTTTCCGCGTGACTTCATTGGAAAACATCTGAACCTTTAGACTTTGGACTATAGACTTTAGACCGATTGAACAGAACCAACAGCGACAACTCATTGAACAGAATCCGCACCAGCACCACACCTGCTGGGGTGACATCGACTCCTGCTTCAATATTTGGCCCAACTCCAGTTCCGTCATCTCCTGCACCAAGTTGACATGCACAAGGCCCTGCTATGAAAATCTAAAACATATGGGGTGGTGAATTGGCTGGAAATTCTGATAAAATCAAATTGTTTCCCGTTCGAAACTATTACACAAAACTTGAAACACCAAGTCCTGCTTGTCATTGTTCACTGCAACCAAAATTTGCTGCATCACCTTCATGAACTTACTGGTCAAGCTGCGTGACGGCCAAAATTGTACGTTTTCATAGATCTGTGTGTCAATGTAATGGATGATCTCCAATAACTGGCCTGCCAAGTTGCTGTCGGAGTCTGCTGCCCGGTCGCCACTCTTACGGATGACATTGAGTTCATCCATTTCATCCAGGACCATCTTGGCAATCCCCTTCTCAATAGAACATTGGCACACATCTGCCAGAAATACCAAGGATGAGATCAGAAGACAAACATAAGGGCCACAAAGTTCGAGCATGGAATTTTCAGCCTTTCTGAATTCTTGCAAGGTCTCTTTTTGAAATGCCACCATCGTCATCGTCCACAAAAGATACGGTGGCAGGAGGGCCAAACCAAGCATCAAGAGTAGCAGTAGCCGGTCATGGCATTTGCGATCAGAATCCCACATTGCGCAAAGAATTGCAAATGGCACCAAAAACGGACCCAACAAGATCAGGAAGACAACTAAGCACATTGCCATTACCACAAAATGGACTGACACCATGTAGACACCCTCAGGGTTCACACGGATCTCTGGCATGTAAGCACTGATGATGTATGCAAGTTGCCAGTAATATTTGGTAAACGGCATGCGCACTGTCCATTTTGTGCGCTCTGTGGGGTTTTCTCCAGTTTCACCATTTGCCAAAAGGGTTTCCCGCTCCAAAGAGCTAACTCTGCCCGCTCGATTTTGTACGATGGAATAGCGTGGGGGTTTTCGCCTTGCCTCCACCATCGGCTCATCAGCAATTTGCCACATCCCCAAAAACTCGCCAAGGGCCAAGACTTATGAGCACCCCACCCGCTTGCCCTGAGCCAACCGGATATTGCAACACAAGGTTTGACGCATGCGTTTCGGGAAAAAAATACTAAAACAATCAAATCTGATTCTGCAGATTCGGAAATTGTCACACCAGCACTCTCGCATGTTCCAAAATCAACCAAATTTTGCAACGCAACCGAACAGCACCAAAACCATTCCTGTTGTCAGGCCTTCTCGCAAATGGACAAATTTTTTATATGTTCACACTACAGCTTCCGTTGCTTCAGTTTCCCTAGTATGATATATTACGTTTGACATCCTACACATGAGTGTCAAGGCTGCTGCGCGGGTGCATTCTATTTTAAGGGTGGTGCAAAATAGGTCCAATCTGCACACAATGTTTTAGAACCAGCGGGTCCAAATTAAGTACAGCAAGACCTAAGATACAAATCCCCCTTTTAAACTGACACCTGTCAACAACCCAATCACCGGGGTATGTTGGGGTCAACCATAGAGGTGGGGAGTTCAAAAAGCACCACTTCCAAGACCACAAAGTGGTGGTGCATGGGGATGGTGGTGGGAAAACGAATCAGGGAAACTTCAAGCAAAAATGGCCACGGACCAAACACTGAAGTTTCCGGGTCCAAAGTATGAACACATATGTACAAGTACATGACACGTTCACACTACATCTTCCGTTGCTTCAGTTTCCCTAGTATGATATATTACATTTGACATCCTACACATGAGTGTCAAGGCTGCTGCGCGGGTGCATTCTATTTTAAGCGTGGTGCAAAATAGGTCCAATCTGTACACAATGTTTTAGAACCAGCGGGTCCAAATTAAGTACAGCAAGACCTAAGATACAAATCCCCCTTTTAAACTGACACCTGTCAACAACCCAATCACCGGGGTATGTTGGGGTCAACCATAGAGGTGGGGAGTTCAAAAAGCACCAAACAAATCGACCATCGACCAGCCAAAGCGAGAACTCCCCAAAAACCAATCGATGGAAGCACCCAGTCAGCGGACTGCAGCAGACCTTTTTCTCGCTGATGAATGTCAAAATGTGAACGCCACTTTCGACCAACTTGGGTGATCACAATGCCGGATCACTGCAGCAACTCCATCCACGGGACAGTCATCTGAGAAGCTGGATTTAGTTCAGTGGACAGTGTTTCTTTGAAACGATTCAATTCGTCTGCCAACACATTCAGTCTGCCAGGGATGTGAGTGATGTGAGGATATACTTGGTATCGTCGCATAAATTTGAAGTATGGGAGTCAGCACCGCTGCCGGGGTCATAGTGAGCCCTTTGGCAGAGGCGGCGTCCGCCGCACTGTTGTCGGTAGCCTGATGACATGCAATGGGGCCACGAGTGCGAGGCAGGTGGGCGTCAATGCAGAATGAAAGCGCGAACTGCGCAAGTAGTTCCCATGCTGCAATGTGCTTTTGCATGTCATCACCTAGCCATGGCCATAGCGATTGAGCTTCAGCCAGTGAAATGCGAAACTGGAACCAAGTGGAGGAGCCATCAGGAAAGATGGCTGCTCCCCCCAATCCTGCCATAGACTGTGATGCCATAGCGTCAGCTGTAGCGTTGACTTGTATCCAAACTGGAGGATACATCAACAGTGAAAATGGCGTGGAGATCAGCAATTGTAGCCATATGTTCAATGTCTCAGCTGCTTCATCATCCAGTTTTCGGTTTGGGGTGGTAGGATCAGAAATGCCCACCCAAACGCGACGAGATTTGATATGTAGCGATGCAACATCAGTCAACGTGTGGACATTCGCATTAGCCACACGACACAAAGTAACTCCTTTTCGAAGTGACTGGTGTCTGTGGGTCAACTGTGTACGCGGTTGTAACTGATCATCCAACTGTGCCGTCAGGTTTGGAACGTGACATGGTCCATACCCACCATAGTAGTAATAGGGATTCGATGCAGAGCCTTGTACAGTGGTATAAGGAGTGGGCGTAAATGCCGCCATGCCGAAGTCAGCCATAACAGACGTCCCACAAGAGACTGCAAATCACGTAGCGTCAGGCGTGTGGATCTCTGGATGGACCGAATCTGAGCAGTGATTCGCTCCAGTTTCTCACAAGGGACTTCTATAGTCCAAGAAGAGACAGATATCCGCCATCCTATCCAGTCGATCGTGTCTGAGAGCGCTGCTTTGTGCCATGACATGGGCACCCCCAAAATAAGCAGTAGTACAACAATCAATGAAGCCCAAAGAGGAGAGGAGGATTTGTCCAACCAGGGAAGCAAGTCGTCCACATACTGCCACAGAGCATGCCCATGGGCCAGCAAAGAGTGGCAAGAACGCACCATGATGCCAGCCAATCTACCCCAGTACCAGCCACTTGCACGGGCCCCAAAATTGAGTGTGATACATCTGTAAAGTTCCCCATTGGCATGAAAGCAGAGCAAACCACCATCATCTGGATGAACCAAGATTCTGCGATGAGCTTTCGCTACGTCAAGGGTGAGCTGTGTCATCTGTTGGATGGCCATACCTTCGGGGGCACATTGAATGACATCAGATATGCGTGGCAGCAGCATATGGTTAGGCAGAGCTGTGTTGGCTGTCACCATACTAATCGAACTGTCAACTACCAAGCGTGGAGAACGACCAGGTGCGAGGACAACGCCCAACTTGCCAATGGCCGTTTTGGAGTACAACTGCTTAAGTTGTGGTACTCCCCCTGGTACGTGAGCGATGAAACCAGCGTCAAGCTCTTCTTGAATGAGAGAATGAACAATATCTGGGTGATCCTGGGCGCTCTTCCAACTATCAAGGCAGTCTTGCAAAGGCTGGTTGACTCCCAACCGCACACCTTGTGGTAGTTGTAGTCTGCGTCTGGATCTCGTAACAAGGTCGCCAAACGATGCCACAGTTTCAATCGAAACGGTTGGCCTGCTGCAATGTCCAAGAGGAAGTCGCCGGGTGGACAGTCCAGTATCTCAAGCATGTCGTCAATGTAGGGCATGAGCTCACTTTCTGACAAAGGTGGTTCTTTACAACAGTGATTTTGAGGGACTGTCTGCTATCACTAAGGCGTTTGAACCATCTGGATCGCAGGGAGGCAAGCTTGTCATTCCGTTGGGGAATCATATGAAGAGCAGTGCTTGGCAGGCCACCTCCATCCTCGATGCGGCCTGGTGGATCTGGCCAGGAAAGCTGTTTGGGCAATATGGTTGGCCAGTCCGCCACATGTAACACTGGGTTGCCAGTCGTAAGAAAAGGTCTGATGATGAATGCCAAGGCTTGTGCAAGTTGAGCTGGGTACTCTGCTGTGATCCTGCTCTTGAATGTACCATCAGGGAGACGTACGCCCACGATCTGCTCAATTTTAAATATATACTATTATTGTTAACCCGGATACGATCGAACTCCGGCAAACCCAAGATTTTTTTGCTAGCTCCCCTTATCACTTGTTTTCTTTTTTATGTGCTAGGAGTCTAGGGGGTGAAAGGGGTGCAGCGCATCGACACAAATCTAAACTGGCGCCATGATCAAACCACGCAGTCCTGGAATCGCACAGAAGAGGAGAAATCACCCGAGGCCTCAGAAATGATCCGGCAAGCGGTAAAGACAATTGAATCAAATATTTGATGGGTTCAAACATGGCATGACCAAGCAAAAACACGAATGATAAAACGCAACTTGACCCAAAACCAAGTGTCTGCAAAAACAAAATCTAAAGTGCAGACTGAAACACATCTGTAATCCCACTGCAATGCATGGCATGAACCCTGCTGGCACAGTCATTCTCTCTCTCTCTCTCCCCCTCTCTCCCTCTCTCTCTCTCTCTCTCTCTCTCTCTCTCCCTCCCTCGCAACCATACAAGGTTCACACGGATCGCTGAAATTACGCAATCCTTGCTGCGGTGTGCAAGCATGAACTTAATTAACGTTTGCAGGCAAGCAAAAGATTCTTCAACAATCGTCCTCGCTCTCAAAAACCTCTTCTACTGCATGCTACAGGATGCTTCGCCAGGTCCCTGAGCCCTGCACAGACAGCAATCACGAAAGCCACGCAATCAAGTTCAAACAGCTGCGGTAACCCTTTGAGTGGATGCACAACCCAAACGAACCAAAACCGTCAAGACGTCCTACACATCTTTAGCAACCAACATCTCCCAACTGAACACAAAAATCTGCCTGGCTATCTGACAACTTTCAAAGCCGATTTCTTTTCAAACTGGATATCTCCCCCCGACTCCAACTTGAGATGTCAAAAAGGGATCTTAAAGAATACACTTCTGATTCGTGCGTGGCATCAAATGAGACCCACAGGTTGGCATGTACATTTCTCGGCTTGCGCACCTCAGACCTTGTTCCTGCCACTCTGTGCAAGCAAATGTCAAAAAATTTGGGTTGCAGAAACTTGTTTCCACATGTTGAAACAAACAATCAGACAAAAGTTGCAAACCTACGCGAGCGTTGGAAAAGTAGACAACACAGGCAAGAAGGATGCACAGAGGGGCGAGTCAAGAGGAGCAGCAGAAGCAAAGAAGGAAACAGCAAACCACCAATTCAATAGCAAAGGGCCCGAGGGACGCATCGGGCGTCACAAGCGGTAGGAATTTTAACGCGTATACCACAAGTCATCACTAGACACTAGACCTGTAAATCCTATAAGCCTTCGCTAACAACATGCATGACGAAATCTGCACTCGGGCTTTGACAGGTTGACCTGACCAAGTTGCGAACAGCGACGAACAAGAAATGAAAAACAAGTTCACATCACAACTTTCCGTGGTTTCAAAAAAGGAAAGACCTAGAGGCCAACACCGCATACGCAAAACAAAAACAAGCGTCCGACTCCAACCAACTGACCACGCTTCAAATTAAGCAGAACGCTTGCGAAACGCACCAGCGCGCATGTAGCAGATGATTTGAAAGCGCAAGAACCCTGTAATCAGGAATCCCTCCGTTTGCTGCTATGTTTTCCAGGCTCCAGACACTTATGGCTTGGATCCCATCACATCCCTCTCTGTCTCTGCGTTGCAACAGCTTGAAACTTGAAACTTCACA